GGCATTGATGAATACACCAGTCGCGAGGAATCCGATCAGCCAGAATTTCGTATCGACTTCTGGGAACTTGTTAACTCCAAATTCATTCGCAGTTGCATTCATTTCAGTCATTTTCAGTCAACAGCGCTTCTCTTTTTGCAATTACTAACAATACTCGAATAAAAGTACACAAATATGAAAATGAGCATGAGTTTTGGGTTGGATTTCACGTATTGTAAATATCATTGAAAATAATTATTGCGATATGTTGATTTTCTCAAAATGTCTGATATTTATAGTTTTGTTAATATCAGATTTTGAGCCAAAGAGAATTTCGCCTATGTTTGAATACTCTACGTGTCAAAATGTAAATTTCCTTGAACCGTAGCATTATATTCACGAGAAACATGGTCCCGCCTCGTTTTCGAAGCAATATAAGTGATTGGCAGTAATTGGACACTTTGATCCTGAAAACTTCGAAATACTACTAAATAAGTTCATATGATATGAAACTGTAATCGCGTTTTTTCTATTCTTTTTTGAGATATTTTAGTTTTTTTTTGCCGAATGGCTGCCGAATTATCAATTTCATTTAAAAAGAGCTTTTTGGATTTTCTATACCCATCATAATATATGAAAGAGCATTTTTTGTAAATTTTAGCCGGTTTGGTTGTGTCAAAGGGCAAATCACAGAATTGATCGACAATTTATCGAATAAAGGTTTCCGATTGCTGAGCTCGCAATAAATAGATGGATGTTGAAAAGGCAGTCAAATTATTTCCCACGATTTACTGAGTTAACTGCATCAATACATTTTTGATGTATAAAAAATAGAAAAGGAACTCATCGCGATCTCCCCCGCCGAGTCCTTTCTTGCCTTCTTTTATTTCCTATTTATTCATTTGTAATGTATTAAAAACACGGCCTATTTTGTGCAGACTACTCAAATAAAAGACTAGCATTCAAACCTTTAAAACGAATAATTGATGAGAGCTTTTAACGCTTTCGATTAAAACTAATCTCGCTTCCGTTTGACCCAATGCGTTTGTTACTCTACTTCATCGAATTCCATTCAATCACTAATCCTTTTACAATTTTCATTGTTTGTGCGCTGATCTTTCGACCAACAAAACACGTTCTAATATCTTTGCAAAAAGAGACCCTTGGGGCGTATACGGACCTGCATATTTTTCTGAATTCCCAAATAAACCCCGGGAACTCAGGGAACACGGCTGCTTGTTTGACTTTATCATTCGTAGTAGTGAACTCAAAAGATGGAAATTCTTTGAACTCGGTATTTTAGAATTTGAGAACCGATTTCTTTTCGAATTTGATACAATCCAATTCTAAATATGGATATTATATTTCACACATTATTTTAAGTGAAATTATTGTAACAATTTGAATTTCTAATCATACAAATATGAGTGCAGTTCTCACGAACGAATTTTTGATTGTGTTTTTAAATATTCAATTTCCGACAATTCAAACATTTTAATTCCTGTTATTTTTTCTTTTCAGATGTAGTGCAATATTTTTTAGAATATATTCCAAATTTGATTCAGAAAAAAATGCTGGATAATAATTCTTAAAGTGTGTTTAGAACTGAATATATATAGAGGAGAAGCTTTGATTTTTGGTTTTTTTTGGAAGTGAATAGTAATAATTAAAGAAACTGCAAGAATTGGCAAATTCAAGAATCACGATGTCCAGACACATTTGGTTTTTATTATATTCGTTTCCATATTCATCTCGTTCTTCTCTCTCTCTTTTTTGTTGATAAATCCCGTACATATATGCGCATCTGAGAATTCGTCTCACAAAATTCTATTTGGCATCTTCGCGCCTACTTGACATCGAAAACCAATCGTTTTGTTCGTCCCAAAAACTTATTTCCTTAGGCTTACACACGCGAACATTATTTCATTTCTATTAATATTAGTTCATCACATGTATTCCACTCATCAATTTGGCAAACATTCGAATTTTTTGCTCTCTTTTTTTTATTCACGCTTTTAAAAACGATAATCTTTTTTTGAAGATTTTTGATGAATGTTGAAAACTAGAGCAATAAATTGTATAACCGAGTCACAAATATTTCAAAAAGCAACAAATATTCATTTTGACGACTCATCAAGAAGAGAATGTTGAAACCGAAAGCTATCCGAAGTTAAATACTATCGAAAAGAAATTGATAATTCGCAATTTCACCTAGAAATTTGCCCAATTCCGGAACAAATTGATTTGGCATTTAGCAAAGACTCTGCGCAGCTCAAAGTAAGAGATTCAATCGTCACTAAGCCAGCCTGAGAATCGCTGAGCCTCAAACGAGTTTTGATAAACAATCTGATTTGGAAATTGTATGACGCTATTTTTTTTAGTAAACACGTTCACTCTCAAATTCAAGAAATTTTCAGCAACTGAGGGAAAGATTAGCCCCCCCAGTGTTTTTCATTTGGAGCTCCCATAAAAATGTCAAATAGTTAAATTTTGGAGTGTGCTCAAACACAATGGAAGTATAAAATCATAGGACATTTTCGCACCGCCATGGCCCAAACAAGCTCGGTTATGAGAGTTGGACCATGTTTCTGAGGGTTGACAAAGCCAGATATTCTTCAAAATGAGCTGTGTGAGGACGGTCACAGCTAACTGTAAAGGTACTATGCAGATCTTAAAAAAGAACCATCAAACAATTCTAAAACCCTATGAAGATTGCGCTACGAACTAGTTTTTTTTAGTTTTTCAAGTTTTCCTTGGTTTTTATTATATTCGTTAGTTTTTTTTTTAATTTAAAAATTCGTATCAATTAATATTCAGACAATCCCAATGATCTTTTCTTCTTCGCCAAAACTTGATCTCTAAATTTTAATGTGTAAAACACGTGCGAAATCCCATTAACAAGATCAGCAAATGTACTTATAAAGCATGTTATAAGCACTATAAAGTGAGCATTAGTAATCAAAGTTTTTAAATCTCTGAACGAATGAAAAATTCATTTGATATGTTAGTTGTGCTTAAAAAAATCTCTAATCTCTCGCGTGAATGATCATATAAATGAGTATGAGAGACTATAGGGATTACTCACACCAGTCGGTCACCATGACTACGCCGATATTTTGGCACATCTCAAGACATTCCCTCCTCAATTTTTATATATTCGATTTGGACGACGTCACGTGTTCGCACGGAGCTCGAATATTGCGATTTCTCACACTTTTCCTGTTGATTCACGCTTTTGCAGTCACCCGTTTTTGGTGCCAAAAAAATGTTTCGCACACCAACTTGAGTGCTCCATAAAAATGCGACGCGTCTGAGTGGATGAACAAATTTACATTTAAATTGGCATTTTGATGCTCAAATGATGGTTGTCTTCTCGTTTTATGAGGTTTTCATTTATGTATGCATGGGCCGATTCTTGATTGTTGCAAGTGCAGGTGCAATTCCATTCTGCAATCGGATTCGCATTATTCTCCGAGCTACGGGAATATAGAATCTAGTAGAAATCACAACAAATCCCTACACAGAAATCAACTCTATTATTCTCAAAATTCTTGTTCCCACAAGTGTTTTTCTTTATTCCAATGAGTCAGTCATATTTTCTACTCAAAAACTATTCAAAAATCGACTTTACCATAAAAACACTTCTTATATTCCAAATAACTGATGATTTTAAAATTTGCGAAAATAAAATTCAACTCCAAAATCGCAAAAAACACATTTTTAAATTTCAAAACCTATATTTCTTAATCGAAACCCCATTTCTTTTTTTTTCGATACAACTTTTTGTGAAATTATATGCTTTCAGAACAACGTTTACATAATTATATGTTATATTTTCAGAGAAAAGTTTGTTTTTCGAGTTTTCCTTCCTTTTGACATTTACTAAAAGCATTGCCAATTAGCGAATAAGGTAATGGGACATTACAGTATTTTCGTTCTCCAAAAAAACACGTCCATTCGTTTTCCAGATGTTCACAAATCTGAAAATTTTCAGATAAATAGATTAGTCTATTGGGAGATTAGCTGTGAAATAGAAAAAATTCACATTTTTCATTTCTTTCTTTTTGCCGCTTCATCTACGAGAAACAACTTTGATTCATCCAAAGATCGCTTTGAAATTTGACACCACGCGTGAATTCTCACCACTGCCTAAATATGGAAGCTTGATTGATTTTTTTAGTGTCTCATTGTGTGTTGTGAGAAGAAAACATGGCACTTCGAAACTAATTGCTTCATTTCACTCATAAAAATACGCGTTTTAATTCCGCGAAACATGCTGAACCCACGTTTCGCACTTGCGCACCGAACACAAGATTTATACGGCACTTCATCAATGTTCAAAGTGCATTTACCCGCGCTACTCAATTTTCCGTTGAACTCTTGCCCATTTCTCGTATTTTCCCTCTGTTTTCATTTTGCATTTGTCGCTATTTTCGACATCGAAATGGTTGTAAACTCAATTTCTGCTGGCCTGAAAGAAAAATTTCCCGCTAAAATCAAAGATTCGTGTTCTCGAAGCACTCACCCCCCGTCGACACTTTTCGAGATATTTCAGGTGTCAGAAATGTGTGAAATTTTGAAACACATTCGCTTCGAGACCAAAATAAGATTATGGTTTCAATATTACAAGGGCGTGTACATTATACCCAAAAAGAAGGACAATATAAATCCGAAGCATAACACTGAATGTTTACCTTTACAGTTCATTCACGCTTTACATATAATTTCACTGGAAAATCTCAGTTCCGTTTTGAAAAAATAATATTTTAAGTGTTTCATCAAAAATTCCATCTTCTAAATGCCATAAGTTATCATAATCTTTCCCTTTCTTTTCTCCCTCTTTTATTCGACAATATTGCAAGTCCGCCTTGCCGCCTCTTGTCAACGCCGTTTTCGCCGTCTGCTTTCGTGGGGGTATAGCTCAGGGGTAGAGCGCTCGCTTCGCATGCGAGAAGTCTGGGGTTCAATTCCCCATACCTCCAAATTCTCTATTCTTTTTTCAAAAAATATTTTTTTTAGAAATGAGTGAAGAGTTGCCTCTCATTGAGGCGCATGCGAAATCTCCGAGCTCAATTATTATTGTGAATGTTGGCGGAAGACGGGCAAGATTGAATCCTGAAATTATCACACGACGATTAGCTACTTCGCGACTTGCAGTCTTTTGCGAGAAGAGTCATGTTGAGCGATTAACAGACTGTGATGCTTACTTCGAGTCAACTGCCGAATATTACTTCGAGCGTTCTCCTATCATTTTCGAGTATGTAGTCGACTTCTATACTACTGGAAAGCTTCATCGTCCAATGGATATCTGCCCGATTCGTCTTCGATACGAACTCGATTATTGGCGAATACCGACACCATTTATGTCGCCATGCTGTGTTCTTGAAGAAAACAACAACGTAACGTCTCGAATTCAAGGCGAAAAAGTGAGAATATCATAAAATAATTTTGCGACGAATCGCGAATATATCACTAGGCTTATGTCGACTCATCAATGCCTTCGTCTAGTTTCGAGAAAGTCGTTCTTGGACCGCAACGGCTTAAGCTTTACCGTCTTATGGAAAATCCGCGATCATCTTTTGGAGCAAAAGTGTTCTCGATTAGTTCTGCAGCGTTCGTGCTTCTATCGCTTCTCGGGCTTGTTTTGAGCTCGATGCCCGAATTGCAAGACGCTCATAAAGAGCCGCATTATCTCTTGAGATGGCTGGAATTATTGTAACAACACACATTTTTTGATGAAATCAACAAATTAATTAATTAAAGGTGCATGGTGTACTTCACCATCGAATATATTGCCCGGTTACTTGTTAATCCCAAGAAGGCCGAATTCATTCGATCACCTTTAAACGTCATTGATCTTCTTACCGTATTGCCATTTATGATCGAAGCGTTCAATGAACTCCAATGGATGAAGGAATTTCGAGGTACGCTTCGTTTCTCGCTAACTCAATGAAAAAGCTTTCAATTTATAGGAGCAATGCTTGTCGTTCGTGTAATGCGACTCGCTCGTGTTGCCAGAATTTTCAAACTGGCACGATACAGTACCGGATTACGTGCGTTTGGAGAAACGATGAAGAAAAGTGCAGCCGAGTTGAGTATGCTCGGAATGTTTCTTGTCACTGGTTCGTTTATTTTCATTTTCTAAATTTTCACAGGTTTTTGTTTCAGGAATAATGCTATTCTCAACAGCGATTTACTTTTTCGAAAGAGATGAACCCAATTCGAAATTTTATAGCATTCCAGCGGCATGCTGGTGGTGTAAGCAACAATATACCAATTTTCGACCTCATGTCTTGCATTCTTTAGGTGTTATCACGATGACAACAGTTGGATATGGAGACTTGGTCCCAATAACTGCAGGTAATTTTGACTTAATTAAAGCTGTTTACCTAAGAAAGATTTGAGGCGGAAAAGTTGTTGCTGCCCTCGCATCGGTTTGTGGAATCATCGTACTCGCATTCCCTATTTCAATGATAATCGATAAATTCGCCGAATCGACTGGCGGATGGTCGGGCGGCCCTGAAACAGAAGATGAAGAACACGGACGCCACAATGGTGGCCCACCAGCAAAGAAGAAAAGCAAACGATATGTTGGATTTTAATATGGGTCCCGATAATTTTGCAAAAGTAGTACAGGGTGTCATTTAAGTTCCCGCACAAAAGTTTGACGCCATGAAGAGCTTGGCTGTCGCACTTTTCGTGCACCAATACAATTTATTTTTGTTAAATAAGGTGTATTTTACTTACTTTCCAAGTTTCACCTCATTCGGATGTGTTTCCGAAAAATGGCGAAGGCTAACATCCATCGCGCTTCCATTATCGAACTTCATAAGCAAAATGTGAGCCCGAGAGACATCATTCAACGGGTCGGTGTGCCTCGTAGAACGGTTTATGACACTATCAAACGATTCAAGGAGCTAAATACGACCAGTGACCGTCCCAGACAAGGAAGACTCGTCTCAGTAACCACTCCTCAGAAGATCAACGCCGTCAAATCGAGGATGAGGCGAAACCCCCACAGGAGCATGAGAAAGATGGCGTCAGACATGGGAATGAGCATCTTCGCTATGGAACAAATCGTCAAAACGAAGCTTGGACTGACCCCATATCGTGTCCAAAAAGCGGCAATTCTATCGGCCGCCAACAAGTAGAGACGCTTCGAAAAAGCAAAACGACTTCTTGCTCGCACGCGGTCTGGAGAACACCTCGTCACTGTCTTCTCCGACGAGAAGCTGTTCACTGTGGAGGCGGCATTCAACTCACAAAACCATTGAGTACTTTCCCAGACATCCCAGCAAGCTTCTGAGAAAGGAAGAACAATTCATCCAGCCTCACATCCTGCCAGTGTGATGGTTTTCGGTGCCATCTGCTCAACCGGGAAGTGCCCCCTGGTTTTCGCGGATCAGGGGGTGAAAGTGAACAAAGAAGTCTACGTTCGGGACATTTTGGAGAAGCATGTGATGCCCTGGACCCAAACGCATTTCGGTGGGCAGAAATGGGTCTTTCAACAGGACGGAGCACCCGCCACCACTGCCAAAACTACTCAGGAGTGGTGCCAGACCCATTTTCCCGACTTCATCAAGTCATCCGAATGGCCTGATTGCTCCCCAGACCTGAACCCGCTTGACTTTTCCGTGATGGGGTCTTGCAGGAGAAGGTCAACGCAAAACCCCATTCAAGTATAGAGGCTCTGAAGAAGACATTACTGGCGGAATGGGACAATCTTTCCATCGAATACCTGCGTACCACAGTCACATCCTACCCGAAGCGTCTCCGTGAAGTCATAGCTGCGAAAAGAGGCCGAATCGAAAAGAGTTAATAGATAATTATTTGTTATACTATAGATAAAAAATATTTTGAGTCTCGTTTGATTTGGACTTTTAGTTTCAGAAATATACGTCTTCAAAGTTGTGCGGGAACTTAAATGACACCCTGTAGATATTTTCGAAATATTTGTAGATGTGTAATTCGGGTATAATTTTATTTTTAAGTAGCACTGATTAGTATAATAATTTGCATTTCTAGTGCCTTTTTGAAAGTGTGTAATAAAAATAATTTATCAATCAACTTACAACTTATAGCTTTAAAAATCCGAGCATTTGATGCCAAAAATTAAAAAATTTGAAATACCGCTATTGTCGTAATTTATGGTGCAACTCTGCGTTAAATATTGCACCGTTTTCAAAACACCGTAGTCATTGTTCGCGTATATTTTCGTATAAACAAATCCCACAATTCGAATTACCTTTGTCGGTGCTGTGCTTTCAAAATAAAAAAAAATCAATAAATGTACCTTATTCGATTTACTAAACGTTTTAGAATTTGAAATCATCGATTCCTTTCGTTTACATTTTACATCGCTATTTCACATTATCCAAACGCACTAGACGTTATTACATCGAAGATTTATTCTACAATATATCACTGATAATGTTCTTGAAGTCAATCTGTTTTATTTCAAAAACAACTTTCCAGATTTTCGATTATCATATTTCATTATTTTTATCGGATTTTTGATATATCGGTCATACGGTAAGTTATTTTGAAAGAAATCAATGTCGACAATTCTAAGTAGATTAGAATATCGAGCGTTGAGCACAATGGCACGGCGCGGATTGCGAAGCAGCGGCAGCTCAAAACTGTCATCGCGTTCCCGTCCGTCTTCAGTCACTGATGGCGATCGCTCGACTGCTTCAACGACGAATGAGAAAAGTGCAAGAAGCACCCCAGCGATGAGCGTCGGGCGTGGGGTAATATTTATTTATTTCAATTATTATTAAATAAAAAATGTTGTTTTCAGAGCAGGCCAGTCAGTCCATCGTCGCCAAAGAAAGGTCTCTCTTCGAACAAGGCAGGTCGTACTAGTCATTGGAAAAATAGGGGTGGCTTTCGTAGTTCGAATGCCAATTCAGACCCGAAGTTTACAATAACAAATGAAGATTTTCCTGAACTTCCTGTCGCGAATGTCGCCAGGAACGCAATCGCAAAAGGTGGAAAGAAGGAAAAAGATTCTCCACGTCCCCAATCAACGGATCTTTCGGTATCATGTTTTCTTTAATATACATTTATATTAGGATTTTTAAGGAACAGAGTATTTTGTGTCCTTCTACTGATGACAGCGGTGTTTCGTCAAGCAGCCGTGGAACCACTCCACAAAACGATTCGGACGATGTGGAACCGAAGAAGAAAACTCATGACAAACAATCGAATCGTAAACCGACTCCGTCGCCAACTAAGGATACTCCTGTGAAAACGACGCCTAAACAATCGTCGAGATGCTCAACAGCTAACGGATCTCCAAAGAAGGTATTCAGAATAATTTAGCAATTTTTTATTCTGCATTTTTTATTTCAGAAAACTGGAAATTCTTCTCTTAGCTCGCCATGCCCACCGTCATTTATTAAAATTAGCAAATCTGGAATAAAAGTACCAGAACGACGTGGCGCGAATTCGAAAAAAAATGAGGCTAAGTCATCAGAGAATGGAACAAAAACTGAAAAGGAAATTTCTGGGTGCTATTAATTAATTTTATTTCGTAGTAATGAAATAATTTAGAACGGACACTCCAAAAGTCAACCAACCAGCTTCCGATAATAATCAAACAACAATTGAAAATGGGAAAAGTTGTCGAATTATTGTGAATGACGACGGAGGTGTTTAAACGTTACACTTCGAAATTTTAATAGGGTTCTTTAGAAATGTCGAATATTCCACCAACTATGCTCACAGATCAATTTGGACTTGCCGCCCTTCTTCCAATTATTACCTTGGCGAACAGACGCAAAATGAATCCGCCAATTTCGGAAATGACGGATGAACAAAAGAAAATCAGGCAAAAAGAGGAATCTGTAAGATGATTAAATATAATTATTTTTGACGTCCTGCGATTGCGGAAAATTGGCTAAATGCTAGAAAACAATGGTTGCGGTCTTGGCGCAACACTGAATGTGTAGATTTTCGGGTATTCATATGGATAGGTTAGGCGCACACTTCCCTTCACCTCTCTAAATTTTTGGCATTTAGCCAATTTTCCGCGGTTGCACAACGTCAGCAATTTATTCTAATTAAACAATTTTTAGATCGAGCTTCTCACCTTAGGTATTGATTTAAACAATTGTGGAGTTCCGATGAATAATAGCCAAAACAAGTGAAAAAACTATCCCTAACAAAAATACTTTCGAATCAATTTTCAGGCCAGTTTGGAAAAATTTTTCGGGTGTTTATGGACATGATCCATTGCTTCCTCCAAATATTGATATTGATGTAAATCTAATAATTGTCGATTTATGTTCGAAGGACTTTGTTTATACAGGCTTGTGATCTTCCAAATGTTTATTATACGGCATCAATTATACCAGGATTGAGTAATTTAGATAGCAGAGTTCCAAAAAAGGTCGTTATTCCATTTATTTTTCGTCTAAATTGATATCCGTTTTAGCTCGGCATTCATGAGCTTTTCTTCATTTTCTACAATTTTCCCGGAGAATACTGGCAAGTTGCGGTTACTGTCGAACTGTAGGTCTAATTCGACTGATTCAAATTCTCGTCTCATTCAGTGTCAACCGTGGCTGGCGTTTCTTTAAAGGCGAAAAAGTTTGGGTGCGTAAAACACTGCATGATCAAAGTAAATGAGTTAAATTTTCAACAAAACGAAATTTGAAAATTTTCAGATTTGATGATGCCACCAAATTTCGCTGCCGCCGGAGAGATTGAAATGGGAATTTTTGAGGTTTACGACAAAGATAAAGCTCGAATTGTAAGTGCATTTAACTAAGAATTGCTATTTTTTATTACAGATTTCCCGAGAAATGTGTGTTCCAAGTGCCGACTTACTCGCTCCCAACTGGGAGAAAGAGGTGCATTACATGGATAAATATGTTCGAGATATGACAAGAAATTCGATTCTGAAGAAAGTTTCCAATGAGCCAAAGAACACTGCGTCATTTTCGATTCCTCTTTCGACCAGAGCTGCTTTCAATAGGTTTCGTTTTCTATATTGAGCGAATAAACAAGGTGCTTGTATACAGAGGTGCCGGCACAGAAACTTCGAGAAGTACTCAAAACCGTCGCTTGCTTAGTTTTGTCGACTCATCACCTGACCGATCGCCTTTACCGCCCGAATTACAATCGACCCAATCAACGGAAACCGCTCGTCGACAGGTACGAAACAAAGATCTCACACTGTCATTCGGTTTGATTATCGAATTGTTCGAAGAATTAGAGTGGTGGTGTTTGTTGCGTATGTTTACCTAACACCTCATGTTTTTAACATTGGGCTACAATAACTCATCAATCCTTCATTTTCAGATGTACCAAGTGTTTCTCCAAATGCAGCAACAACAGAAACATTATAGTCAACAGCAGCAGCAACAATTTCGCAACTCGTTCCCAGGTGGTCCCTACAATCCATCTACGAAGCACTTCTAGACTCGCAAGATTTTCTTTGTCGTCGATTCTGCACTGTTCTGTTCATGTTCTTTGCCGTCTTGTGTCCATAGATTAAGAATTCTTGCGTATTTCTTCAATTTTTATATTCATTTAACTACATATTCTTTTCTCTCGACCTCGTTGACGCCAAAATTGTGCGTTCTCCCTTTTTAAAGTATTTAAATTATTATTCATTTGATCAATGATAACATAAAGCTTGATCTTCTGTGTTGGTCAGAATTGACCGGGTGAAAATAAATGGGATGTGGGTGGTTAGCTAACCGTAAAGAACGTAACGGAAAATAATTAATATTAACTAAAGCAAATAACAGGGGGATTAGAGATCTGGTCTTCCAATTATTAGCGACTTCAGGCAGATTGCAGGAATAATTTAAGAGAATGGGTAGATGAGAAAATGGTACAATTGTTTGAGAAGATAAGAATACACATTATACTGTACGTAGAATGAGCCGAACCAGAATGCATACATTCCGATGATTTTTGCCCATGAAAATGCGATGCGGGTTCCTTTCTCGCCGGGGTTAAACTCTCCAGTTTCGTAATAACGGGCTGCAAATACTTTATTATTACTTTTTCATTTGATTTTCCCACTAATTTCCATTAAAAAAGGATAAATTTGACAATAAGACTGATGCAAGAATTTAATCGAAAAAAATTGAATTGGCTGCTCTTTGAACCATCTAATACACAGTAAATGGTCAAACAACATCGATGGGTTCTTCTACTTCTGATAAGATAATCATCAGTGTGTTGAAAATGTACACGAAAAAGTGACAAAGGTCGAATGAAGATGCATTATCGCGAAAAACGCATCGATTGTGTGTGTGATTTTTGGAAATTATTGCAAACTATTCATATTTGTTGCAAATTTCATTCGTTGTTTGATCTACTCGGCATGTTTTGTTTGAATTTGGCGGAAGAACTCTTGCGATTCGCCAATCAGTCCAAAGATCGTTCATTTTTATTGAAAATCGTCTGTTTTGATTACTCAAATATATCTCTTCCTTGTTTCTACCAGCTAGTTTATATATTGTCAAAGACGGATGAATTTGATAACCATTTTTGATATTAAGCAACGCCTCCCTTTCTCCTAAATTCGTTCGTCCTCGACTATATATTCATTTCGACCTTGATTTTTATCTCGTTAACAGATATTAATCAGAAGAAACATATATACGTATACCTATATATTTTAAATTTATATTCTGACATCATTATTTTTGAATTCAATATTTAAAAAATAAGAGAAAACACTCCGAATATAAAAATCTTTCCTTCATACACCAAAATTAGTTTCGCTCTACGAAAAAATGAAATTTGCAACAACAAAAAAAACAATACTCGGACGCATTATTCTTCTCAATTTATACGATTTGTGGGTTGACTCTTTTTAGATTTAGAAATCCCATCTTTTGTCTTTCAATAACGGATAAACGTTTAAAATATCCAAAAGAATTGGACATCAACATTACAATTTAAGTTTAATTTTTTCTGGTAGATAATGATATCTAATGCTTACCCATTGTTTCTAAAATACCAAATATCTAAAATATTCATAAAAAAAAAGTGTATGACTTTTGATTTTCCTTTTTTATAAACACCAAATTCGGCGCTATCGCTGATTAATTTCGATTTTCGTGTTTCGACCGCGAAAACGAAAAGCGACCTGGCAACACCCGTTACTCTTATCAGCAATGTTCGAACTGATATCGAAATGTTTAAAAGGTAAAATCTCACCGAGCATCTCGTCTTTCTCTTTATAAACTTGGTACATCCAATCTCTTAGCTTATCGTCATCTTCGAATGGTACCTAAAACGATATTTTCAGAGTATTTCATGGCTCCTGATTCAACGTTAGTTTCTCAAAATGTTCAACAAAAACCTCATTCACCGAAGCGGCAATTAAGTCGATCGGATAGCGATGAAAAGGTATGCGTAATCTTGTTTACAATTATCACATTTTATCAATTGCAAATATGGTTCAGGTTATCGTTTAAAAATGTGCAAGATCAGCACACAAATGGGTATTTATACCAAATAGGCCATTCGTTTTTGTTGTAGTAGCTTACCTCAGTCGCGTCATAAATTTTATAGTTGACCGCAATATCGCATTTTTCGCGTGTTCCAAATCCAAAAGTCGCCAAAGTAAGAGGGATTCCGTTCGGATATGCAATTGTAACATCCAGTACATATTTAATTGGTGGGCGAGTATCTATAAAAATTAAACGAATATTATTTTTATTATGGAAATAGATTGATTTTTTTCGTCCCAGTATTTCAAATTTCGTACATCTGAGAGAAGAATGGTAACAATAATCTAAATTTCTAGTTCTCCTTAAGCTATTCTAAACTTGATATTTTGGAAATTTAAAGTATTCGCTTTCATTAACAGAAGCGTGTTTATATTGTCTAGTAAACATTTTACACACATTTATGGCGAACTTATTGTCTTCCACACTTTTCAATCAACTTCTATTTTTTTTTGTTCATCTTGACCAAAAGACTAGTTCCATTAAATTTCACAATTTATTTATAATAATGGGCTTATTAATGCAATTAAAAAATGTAATATCTTTTCAATGCAGGGATGTAAAAAATGCGATTTCACTTTTTTTGTATTTCATGAATAGGTTTATTATGGAAATGAATTTTTTTATTATGGAAATAGTTGTTCCCGCTCAAAATGAACTTCTCATATATGTAACTAATTGGCATCACGCAATAGATGAAAATCTTTTCGTTTCTCGTTTCAATTTCAGATAGATTGAAATCAAAATACAGAACGCAAAGAATTGTTCTAAATTTCGAAATCTTACAACGAGTAGTTGGGAGAATACTGGTTCTTGTTGGTAACTGCGATCGGCTCAGTTCGCTCTCTTTTTCTATCTCACTCATTCAACTACCTCAATAAAATAAACAACGTCAGTGTCTTGTGTCTTTTCCTCTCGTGCCCAAATTTTTCTTATGCTGTTGCGATTTTCGTGAGGAAAAAAAATGTGAATCCGCATTGCAATCGCAACACATGTCTACTCGTTCGCACGAATACTTTTTCGATTTGCGTTGTAAAAATTTGCTCGATGCTTGATTATGATTCTTCGACCGATCAACCATAGATATTCAGATGCCGCACCTACTAGGAATCGAGTGGGCCCCACTGAGTATTCCGTTGGAGCGGCGTCTCCAAACTCTGGGTGCTCTTCACTTCTTTTTCATTACTCTCCTCACACCGGTCATTGTTCTTCTTTTGCCATTTTATTTGGTAATTTTTTGCTTTTTAATTCGGAATGTTATTTTGATAACTTTTAGCTCTCTACCGTATTCTGGCCTTTAATTGTTCTCTATGCAATTTGGCTCTATTTCGATTGGAACTCTCCGAAACGCGGTGGTTATCGGTCGGAGTGGTTCATGAGACAGAGGATCCATACCTGGTATGCCAACTACTTTCCAGTTAAACTTCACACGACTTCCGGATTGGATCCAAATAAGGTGAAAGAGTAAAATGTTGAAAATGAAAAATAAATTGCAGAATTATTTAATTGGTTATCATCCGCATGGAATTATTTCGATGGCGGCTTTTATAAATTTCGCAACGAATGGCACAGGAATTTTGGATATTTTCCCAAAAATTCACTTTCATCTTTGCACATTGGTAGGACAATTTTGGACTCCATGGCGTCGCGAATGGGGACTTTTGCACGGAATGGTGGATTGTAGTCGAGAGTCTATTAAATACTTACTTAATAATACGCGGAAAGGAAATGCGGTAGTGCTCGTTGTCGGTGGAGCCGAAGAAGCGCTTGATGCTCATCCGGGACATCACATATTGACATTGAGAAGGCGAAAGGGATTCGTTAGAATTGCAATTCAAACTGGAGCTCATCTTATTCCTTGCTATTCATTTGGAGAAAATGACATTTTCAATCAGGTATTATCGATAACTATTTTCTTAAAATAGGGGCTCTTTCAGGCTGATAATCCGAAAGGTTCCACCATTCGCGAATTTCAAACTATGATGAAACGGATTTTGGGATTCTCGCCACCAGCATTCCACGGTCGCGGTGTATTCAACTACACATTCGGATTGCTGCCCTTCAGGTAAGATTTTTAGTTGAAAATGGCATTTTTAAGTTAATCCGTTTAGAAAACCAATAAATACAGTACTCGGCGAGCCAATCGAAGTAGTGCAAAACTCGAATCCGACCAGTGAGGAAATCGAAACGGTCCATCAGATTTATATGAAAAAACTCATGGAACTCTTCGAAACTCATAAAACGAAATTCGGAGTTCCGGAGAGTGCAAAGCTAATAATCAATTAAATGATCATTACTTCCAATCTATGCCGGTTTCTCAATCTAGTACACATGTTGTCTTTTTCTCGCAAAGAAAAAAGGCGTGGCTTAAAACTTGAATCGCGCGAAATAACTCTGGAGACAATTAGCCACTCTTCTCGTGCAATTCAAAATTTCAACAGTTGCGCGGAAACGGCAACGTAATATTATTATATTATATTATTATTATTTTTCTCACTCAATCTGTTCAATAGCGTGTAGTTGCCACTTAATGATCTCTATCAATTCGAATAAATTCATACCTTTCACATATTTCTTTTCTCGAATTGCTCCAACTGTGTCTTGAAGCAATTTCAATTTGCTGTTGCTCCTATCGCGAGGCTCATCTTCTTCATCCTTTCGAGGTCCAACTTCTTCAAGAATCGCCTTAACGGCTCCCATTCGTGGAAGGGTCGTGTACAAAAGATGAGGGAATCCGTTCTTTTTACCATAAGCCTGACTGCTTTCAACACGCTTGTAATAGAATCCTCCTTCAGGGAACAGTATCACCCAACGACGATCACGGTCCCAGAAAACGTCGCGCAAATGTTTTTTGAGGCTGAATATATAGAATAGTAAATTAGATGAATTTTTAGAAACTTACTTTACAATAGCCTTGTCTCTTGTCGCCTTTCCTTGCTGAATAAAGTGATCTCCATGATTATTTCCAACAATTCCAAACGGCGTCCAACGGAACATTATATCCATCAACCAAAGTGTCTTCAAATTTTGAAATAGGAAAAATTAAATAAAGAATTACCTTTCTGCTCGCAACTCCCTTGTTCTGCAAAACCGTCATCAAAGTGGGAACATCAGCGGTACTTTGATGATTGCACATCATCAATACTCTCTCATCCCTATAGTAAGTTGTAACATCATCCCCATACTCATAGACTGAAAAAGAGAAATGTTAAATATTCCAGATGTTTCCTCAATTACTATCATAACCAGCGGTGTATCCCCAATAGGCAATAAACGATTGAAGCCATCTATACAGTTTTCCTTCAACAAACCAGTAGAGCCTTGGCCATACTGTTCTCGCCCACATGACCGGAAGCATAAAACCGAAATATGTTGCAAAAAATACTGTAACAAGAGATAAACACATAACCGCGCGAAACGGCACTTTGATGAGCCACCATATTCGGGAGAAAATCGAACCCTGTTCAATAACAAGTCGTGAACCCGGCGGACTGAAATTAATAATTACAATCGTATATTAAAGTTTTTTTTTTCGACTTACCGTTCTCCATGCACCCTATCAATGAGTTTTCTCGTTTGCTCGTCACACATTTGTCACACTAAAAAACCAGAGAAATGAGGATAAATGTTGCGGAATTGTCAGGTGAAATGAGAAGAGAGCGAAGATGGCGGACGAATAACCCAACAAAACACTACATAGAGTAAATATTTGATGGCGAGATACCGTTAAGTGCAACGACGGACACAAAAAAACACTATATAGTTTCTAGAAGTTTTGTCGTAGAGGATTTAATATTTTTTATTAGAATTTCGAAATTACGGGGAATTGGTAATCGGATAATCTATAGGTTTCATCGTGAGAAGGACCATATGACTATTCATTTTAATCAATGTATGATGAAAAATGAGGTGATCACAAAATGCATTCTCCGCGTCATCTGTTTTCTTACTACGGTCCGTTTAATGTGACTCGTTTATCATAGTATTTCAACAATGCGATACTCGTATTGTTTTTTGTTTGATTCACGTGACAAAATATGACTGGTTCGACATTTCATTAACCGAATGTTGTCTAGATTAATTTTTATTTTTGATACCGAAGCACTTTTTGAATAAATCACTGCTTGAGGGTTCTTTGCAATTTGGTTTTGCAGTTGAAAGATTCGCGGCGCGTTGCGTATCATTTTGATATCGATTTGACACTTTGTTCTTTTTCGCCTTTTAAGCGTTTCCAGTATTTCAGTTACACTTTTTCCTAGTTTGTTTTCGTTTTTTTTTTGAGAAGTTTCAAGTTACTAAAGTAATGAAGACAACATTTTTTAATCTGCACTAAAATAACTATATAATATAATCATTCAATTAAAAGATGTAAAACAGGTTATTGTATGCAAATATTTTACGATACATAGATACAAAAAAGGGTATGTTAAATGTATTCCAACACGTATTTTATAATTTTTCTTTACAACTATTCTATCGCAAATTTTGCCTGGTGTTTCAATTAAGATTTCGATTCCGTGAAAAGGAAATGAGATTTCGTTAAACATCAAGGGTATGAATAGAATCAGAAAGAAAGATTATAAGAAAATCCATGGAATATGAGAAAAAATATATAGTTAAAAAGCCGCTCTAATTGTTAGCTACAAAACAACAAGCAATAACTAATATGCGCTAGAAATAAGAGGGATGCCTGGTTTTCTGATATTTCGATATTGTCGAAGTCGCGCGATTACCAAAAGTTTATGATAAGAAATAATGACAGTGGATCATAACCTATAGATTTATGATCCTAACTATAAGGATAAGTTAAAGGTGCGTCGACGACGACAATAACATTACATTGATCATTAGAGAACGGAGTATAGATAATAAGTTTATTAATTACACGTGATATTCATTTTGATATTAATAGTAAAATAAACATAACAGAAGTGAAAAAAACTCGCTTATGTCGATAAAAAATGACGCGTTGGAAGTATTGAGAATATCGACGCAGGTGGTCAAACACGCAGAAAGAGTGCCCATACATGAGAAACACAGAGTGCAGTTCGAAGACGTTTGAAGAAGTACAAAGATAAACAATACACGTGTTCCGGGAACAAAAAATACAACGTTTTCACCGACAAAATTTTCTGTGTGGGAGGATAGATAAAAGACAGAGAGAATGGGTGATTGAAAAGTTCAAAGAGCACAAACTGAAAATATTTATTGTTTTCCCGAGTTTCCAAAAGTCAAACTTATTTTTTTTCTCAATTTTTGCATCATCAATATAACAACTGTTGCGAAAATCAAAACATGGATTTAAAAAAAAAATAGCCTCCAATTTACGCTAAATTGCTGATAGGCGTAAAAATCGGAGGGTCGTATTTTTTTTTTCCATTTCATGATGTAAATTTTAAATTTCATTGTGTAATAATAGGCCAATAAATCTATATATTTTGCAGATGTCTAATGACACGGCGTCAAGTTCAACATCTCCACCTAGTACAGTCAAAAGAATAGCAACTAAGGTTTATATCATTAATTATGTGAGTTAATATATTTTATTAGTATTTTTTATCATGTTCCGCTGCGCTCGTTGCCGAAACTGTGACTTATCCGTTAGATATAACGAAGACGAGATTGCAAATTGCGAAAAATAAATTAACCAAGGGAGGTAAATGTCTACTGATTTTGGAATATATGATTACCTTGATATTGTAGGCATGGTGCAAGTAACATGCGATATTATTCGGCGAGAAGGCGCAATGGCACTTTGGACAGGTGTCGCACCAGCAATAACCCGGCATTACATTTATACTGGAATACGAATGGGAACTTATGAGCAAATTCGAACAATGACATTCAATAAAGAGGTGAAGGCTTTTTAAAAATACTCAAAGTGATATCATTTTAGGTAGAAAAATCGTTTCCTTTGTGGAAATCAATGCTTTGTGGTGCTTTTTCTGGACTTATCGCTCAGTTTGCTGCTAGTCCAACCGATTTAGTCAAAGTTCAAATGCAAATGGAGGGTCTTCGACGTCTTCAAAACCAGCCTCTTCGATACACTGGAGCGTTTCACTGTTTCTCGTCGCTTTACAAAACACAAGGTTTTAAACGTTATAGTGTGAAAATCATTAGATATTTAGGATTCTTTGGATTATGGATTGGATGGGTTCCTAATTGTCAACGTGCTGCTTTGTTGAATATGGCGGACATCGCCACATACGATAATGTAAAACACGGATTGATAAATAAATTAGATCTGAAGGTAACTTATTCATTAATTTCCTCATATTTTATACCTATCTAAAAAAACATATAAAAGTTTAAATACAAGCTATTAACGACAATAAGTTATTGCCGATAAAACTTCTATAACACATTTTATGCGATAAAATAATTTTTATTTTCAAGCACATAAAATCACTTTGGAATATATTCTTCTGTGGGCTCTGGTATTTTAAAACAAATCATATCCGAATTGCACAAAATTTATAAACAAATACGAAACATTTCCAGCACTATAAATCTTCTATTGTCGTCGTCGCGCAACTGCGGAATAATCCTCTAATTTCCTAATAACAATGACAGCGATCTTTGTCTAAATAAAATAACGTGTAGATTCCGTATAATAACGTGTAGACGCCATATCCATATAGCATTGAAGCGGAACTATAGCATTAAGTCACAATAAGGCATCGTACACAAAAACCTTTTTCTAAATTATTTGGCACACAGCCGTTAATCTTTGTTGTGAATCATTTCAGTTAAAACTAAACGTTTCCATTTTCTTCATCATATCATTTAAACAAAATGATTTCAGGATAATTGGCTCGTTCATGCGGTTGCGAGTTCGTGTGCTGGCCTCGCGGCAGCGATTGTCTCTCTTCCGTCTGATGTTGTCAAAACACGAATGATGGATCAGATCCGACACGAACTAGATGCCAAAATGTATATTATATTTCTATTTATTTGCTATCTTTGTCGGATCTACATTAAAATTCTTCCATGAGTTTCGTGACAATTCGTCTAACTTGTAAGGTCATTCTAGTGTAGACACCGTTACTTTCCCATGCGACGAAATGAACCATTAAAAAAAAACAAAATGTTTTCAGGATGCACAAAAAGAATACACATGCAGAGTTGTACAGCGGCGTCGTCGATTGCTATATAAAAATAATCAGAAATGAAGGATTCTTTTCACTTTACAAAGGATTTCTTCCATCATACATTCGTATGGCACCTTGGTCGTTAACATTTTGGGTCTCGTATGAAGAAATTCGCAAGTTAACAGGCGCATCGAGTTTTTAGATAGTTCCGTCAAAATATGTTTTGTTCTAGTCCTTTTTTAACCTTCTTTCGACGGGTTTTTATTTTTTTTCTAGAATGTGCCCGAAATTTTATGTGCCATTTATTTCAGAAAGTTGCTCAGTTTGATAGGACTCTAAGATTTTTACTCAGAAAGTAATAAACGTACTCTCGTTATAATACATTTATAATTGTATGGTTTCTGCCTTGTTTATCGTTTTTCCTTTTATTAAAATGTTTCAAATTCGTAAAATTATTTTAGAATGAGGCTACTGTCTTCAAACATCGCTGTTTGGGCAACATCGAGTCGCCGTCTTTCTTCTTACTATGATACAGTAATTGTTGGCGGTGGGATGGTTGGAAATGCAATGGCGTGCTTATTAGGTTATTTAATTTGAAGAAATTTTTGGAGAGTGTGTTACAGGGTCAAATAAGGCATTTCAGTCGAAGAGTGTTCTCCTTCTAGATTCAGGAAATGCACCGAGTGTTGAAAAATTCAAAGACCCCAACGTTTTTATGAATCGAGTTGTTGCCACAAGTCCGTTGTCAATTAGTATATTCAAAAGTATTATTTCTTTTCAAATTCACAAAATGATTTTTTTAAATTCAGGATTAGGTGTTTGGGATCGAATCACAGGAATTCGCGCTAAAAGAGTCAATCGGTTATATGTAAGATACTGAAATTTTTAAACGATTAGATTTAACTTTTGCCGTGGTATTACTACACGCTAATATTTATTTTGCTATTTTTTGAAATTATTATTTTTTTTTACTGATTTTGTCATTTCGTTGCATTAGAAATGGACTCTATAATGCAAAAAGAAAGCCGTATTCCCGTAAATGTCCCTACGTATTACTCGCCGGGCGCCGACTATGAAATCTGCTGATTTGCAGGTCTACGAAAGTTGCTCAACCTCAGAAATCGAGTTCAAAAGTCCTGGAAGCGAAGGTTTTGAAGAAATTGTCTACATGATATCCGCTTCACTTTATTATTTCAGAAGTTGCATACGTCATTGAGAACGATGTTATTGTTGCAGCATTATACGAAAAATTGCATAATTTCAAGAACCTTGAAGTCAGGTCACTTGCGAAAGTCAAAAATTGCAGGTAGAAACAGTTTCGTGTAACTTGGAAACCCGAATTTCAGAATTCCCACCTCTTTGGAAAATTTAGCAACGGTGACTTTGGACAATGGGGATGTCATTGAAACGGCTTTGTTGGTAAAAAACGTTAAGAAAATTGATATCTCATGCAGAAAATGCAGTGGTATTCGAATAGCCTATAAGAAATTCTATTGTCGGTTTCAAATAATATTAAATGTGCGTACGCAGATACGCGCCCATTTTTTGCATCGAGTCAATTTGGAAAATAGCCATTTTTTCAATTTTCAATATGTCTTTTGACAACAATGGTATAATTTTTTTAAAATTTAGTTATTTGATATCTGAAAATGGTAAAACTGAGTAAATTTCAGAAAAAACCGAAACCAATTTATGTTAAATGAAAATCACAAAATCTTGAAATACAATTTTGATTAGTAGCGCGTGTGTTCTCGTTAGTACAATTTTATACAACTTTAGATTGGTGCCGATGGCGTCAACTCACGTGTCCGAGAAGCTTCTAATCTAGACTACACCTCATTCAGTTACAACCAGCATGGACTTGTTGGAATTGTGAAAATCGAAGTAAAATCTTACAAAATTGTGTTGTATGCGCGAAACGACTGTAGGGAGGTGGGGCATTGAGAATCACGCTTCTCTTCGTCTCGAGGCACTTGGCACGAAACCTGCGTTTTTTTTTATTTGTTCAGTCGTTCAACGCAGGACAATAATGGTTCTTAATTTATATGGTTTTCATTTTTAGGCGCATGATGGTAAAAATGAGACAGGGTGGCAGAGGTTCACAAATCTAGGAACAATTGCTTTGATTCCGATTTCTGATGATACCTCCGGTTTGACATGGTCTACTTCACCAGAAGAAGCAAAGCGATTATGCGCCTTGCCTGATGACCAATTTGTTGATGAGCTTAACCGTGTTTTGGTATAACGAGGCATAATTCTAGCATCACATATTTCGTTCAGTTAAACCAAGATGATCAGAATGCGTTAATCAATCAAGCACTGTTTGCTGTTGGTCGTCTCAATCCGTTTGCAAGTGATTCATTTGTCCGCAAAGCGGAAGGAACTGTTCCACCTCAGGTTTTGCAAGTGCAACCGAAATCTCGTGCTTCGTTCCCTTTAGGATTCGGAAATGCACACAGGTTTCAGTGTTACACAACGTAATGTATACTAACCATTTTGTTTAGTTACATTACAACCCGATGTGCTCTTATTGGAGATGCGGCGCATCGCATGCATCCGCTTGCAGGGCAGGGCGTTAATCTTGGATGGAGTGATGTTGAAATTCTTGGAGATGTTCTAGAAAATGCTGTACGTGACGGCGCTGATATTGGTGGCATCACATACCTGAGAGAATACGATTCAAAAGCTCAAAAGCACAATGTTCCAATTATGGTATTTTTATAACTTTGAAACTCATATCTTTTGAATATTTCCAGTTTTCCGTCGATTTGTTAAATCGTCTTTACCGCACTGATGCCCCGGTCATTGTTGCTGCACGTTCATTTGGTCTCAACGCATTCAACAACTTCCCACCAATCAAGAATTTCGTAATGAATTATTTATCAGCATCTCGATAATCATATAATAGGAAGTAATAAATTTGTTTAGAAACAAATAGTGTATTATTATTATTATTATTATTATGCGATATATTCCAAAAATTAGGGAGTTTCGCTAATTTCTCAAAACTTCCAAATTTTCACTTTTTGAATTAATATTTTACATTGATTTTTTCGTCTAGACATCTTGTTTCTTTAGTCTCAGCGGTTCGATCAGAACAACAGAGGGCAAATGGTTTTTGGTTTGGGACAATGTGTACAGCAGGGTTGTGCGGCAATGAATTGCCGATTGCTGAAATTATCGAAATTGCCGATTTTTCAAATTGCCAAATTGCCGAAATTTATATTTTCGGCAATTTGATGTAAAAAATCAGCGAAACAAAAATCAATGGCATTGAATCATTTGAGATAAATACCGTGAAAATTCGGTATTTATATTTCGAATTATCGAATTATGGGGTGATTGTACTTGAAATAAGATTTTTCCTTTACGTGAAACAAAAATAGAAAAAATTTCGTTTTTTAAAGCTCAATCTTATTATATAAAAAAATTTTAAGAGAAGAAATTGGCATCTGCTCAGGCAAATAAAATAAAATATTTTGAGAATCAAATATTCAATAATAAATTCAAAAATATTCTGAGAAATACTAAAGTTTATTGATACTTTCTAAAATTTATTGAGCAAATTCTAAATTATCTCAATAAGTTCTAAAATCTTATAATTGTTTCTAAAGTTCATTAAGAAAAATCTAAAATATTATAGAGACACGTTAGTTTCTCAAAGAATTTCAGAATATTTTATTCGATTTACCTGAGTGGGTGCCGCAGTAGATGATCTCGAGCTGACCAGTGCATTTGGCACCGTCAATGTTCCTGAAAAAAGGAAAAGAACCCTGCTTTTACCAAAAACGAGCGAGAGACCTTTGCGAACTGCTAAGATTATTCGAACAACTAGTTTTCTTGCAAGTTTCATTATTATTAAAAACATTTATTGTCGGCGTCAAACGACTGAAAAGAGACGTGGCCTTCTATTTCAGGAAATCAGTGAAGATTTAAATTTTGCGTTGACTGAATATTAAATGCGCGTACACTATAATGCAACGTAAGCAGTCTTGCGTACTTCACGCTTTCACGAGACGCATTGGCACATAGCCAATGTTAAAAAAAAAAGGAAAAATCGTTGTGGTAAAAAACGCAGGAAAAAATCGTTGTCGTAAAAAGCTATTCTGTTGACGAAGAATCTTGAAAGCACTTAACAATCAAAAAACATCTCGCAATACTCCTTTCGAGTCAGAATTCTTTATTCACTAAAAAATTCCATTAAAAAAAACATTTATTGCAGTTCCAATACACTCAAATTCAATAAATCGGCTGAATTTTTTCATCAATTCATTCTAAAAATAAACTTTGGGGTCGTTAAACCAATATAACTACCTAGGTTTTCGATTCGTCTACTGTTTCTTCGGTCTTCATCCTCGTTCCTTCAAGTCGTCCTCCGATCAGCCTCCCCCTTCTTCGGTCTTCTTCCTCATCGTTCCTCAAGATGATCAACGTCGCCTACCAGCCCAGTGATTGTCGTCGCTTCAAGTCGTCCTCCGATCAGCTTACTCCTTCTTCGGTCTTCATCCTCGTCGCTTCAAGTCGTCCTCCGATCAGCCTACCCCTTCTTCGGTCTTCATCCTCGTCGCTTCAAGTCGTCCTCCGATCAGCATTCCTCTTCTTCGGTCTTCATCCTCGTCGTTCCTCAAGATGATCAACGTCGCCTACCAGCCTAGTGATTGTTGTCGCTTCAAGTCGTCCTCCGATCAGCTTACTCCTTCTTCGGTCTTCATCCTCGTCGCTTCAAGTCGTCCTCCGATCAGCCTCCCCCTTCTTCGGTCTTCATCCTCGTCGCTTCAAGTCGTCCTCCGATCAGCATTCCTCTTCTTCGGTCTTCATCCTCGTCGCTTCAAGTCGTCCTCCGATCAGCCTCCCCCTTCTTCGGTCTTCTTCCTCGTCGTTCCTCAAGATGATCAACGTCGCCTACCAGCCCAGTGATTGTCGTCGCTTCAAGTCGTCCTCCGATCAGCTTACTCCTTCTTCGGTCTTCATCCTCGTCGCTTCAAGTCGTCCTCCGATCAGCCTACCCCTTCTTCGGTCTTCATCCTCGTCGCTTCAAGTCGTCCTCCGATCAGCATTCCTCTTCTTCGGTCTTCATCCTCGTCGCTTCAAGTCGTCCTCCGATCAGCCTCCCCCTTCTTCGGTCTTCTTCCTCGTCGTTCCTCAAGATGATCAACGTCGCCTACCAGCCTAGTGATTGTTGTCGCTTCAAGTCGTCCTCCGATCAGCTTACTCCTTCTTCGGTCTTCATCCTCGTCGCTTCAAGTCGTCCTCCGATCAGCTTACTCCTTCTTCGGTCTTCATCCTCGTCGCTTCAAGTCGTCCTCCGATCAGCCTCCCCCTTCTTCGGTCTTCTTCCTCGTCGTTCCTCAAGATGATCAACGTCGCCTACCAGCCTAGTGATTGTCGTCGCTTCAAGTCGTCCTCCGATCAGCTTACTCCTTCTTCGGTCTTCATCCTCGTCGCTTCAAGTCGTCCTCCGATCAGCATTCCTCTTCTTCGGTCTTCATCCTCGTCGCTTCAAGTCGTCCTCCGATCAGCCTCCCCCTTCTTCTGTCTTCTTCCTCGTCGTTCCTCAAGATGATCAACGTCGCCTACCAGCCCAGTGATTGTCGTCGCTTCAAGTCGTCCTCCGATCAGCTTACTCCTTCTTCGGTCTTCATCCTCGTCGCTTCAAGTCGTCCTCCGATCAGCCTACCCCTTCTTCGGTCTTCATCCTCGTCGCTTCAAGTCGTCCTCCGATCAGCATTCCTCTTCTTCGGTCTTCATCCTCGTCGTTCCTCAAGATGATCAACGTCGCCTACCAGCCTAGTGATTGTTGTCGCTTCAAGTCGTCCTCCGATCAGCTTACTCCTTCTTCGGTCTTCATCCTCGTCGCTTCAAGTCGTCCTCCGATCAGCCTCCCCCTTCTTCGGTCTTCATCCTCGTCGCTTCAAGTCGTCCTCCGATCAGCATTCCTCTTCTTCGGTCTTCATCCTCGTCGCTTCAAGTCGTCCTCCGATCAGCCTCCCCCTTCTTCGGTCTTCTTCCTCGTCGTTCCTCAAGATGATCAACGTCGCCTACCAGCCCAGTGATTGTCGTCGCTTCAAGTCGTCCTCCGATCAGCTTACTCCTTCTTCGGTCTTCATCCTCGTCGCTTCAAGTCGTCCTCCGATCAGCCTACCCCTTCTTCGGTCTTCATCCTCGTCGCTTCAAGTCGTCCTCCGATCAGCATTCCTCTTCTTCGGTCTTCATCCTCGTCGCTTCAAGTCGTCCTCCGATCAGCCTCCCCCTTCTTCGGTCTTCTTCCTCGTCGTTCCTCAAGATGATCAACGTCGCCTACCAGCCTAGTGATTGTTGTCGCTTCAAGTCGTCCTCCGATCAGCTTACTCCTTCTTCGGTCTTCATCCTCGTCGCTTCAAGTCGTCCTCCGATCAGCCTCACCCTTCTTCTTTCTTCTTCCTCGTCGTTCCTCAAGATGATCAACGTCGCCTACCAGCCTAGTGATTGTTGTCGCTTCAAGTCGTCCTCCGATCAGCTTACTCCTTCTTCGGTCTTCATCCTCGTCGCTTCAAGTCGTCCTCCGATCAGCATTCCTCTTCTTCGGTCTTCATCCTCGTCGCTTCAAGTCGTCCTCCGATCAGCTTACTCCTTCTCCTGTCTTCTTCCTCGTCGCTTCAAGTCGTCCTCCGATCAGCCTACTCCTTCTTCGGTCTTCATCTTCGTCGCTTCAAGTCGTCCTCCGATCAGCCTACTCCTTCTTCGGTCTTTATCCTCGTCGCTTCAAGTCGTCCTCCGATCAGCCTACTCCTTCTTCGGTCTTCTTCCTCGTCGCTTCAAGTCGTCCTCCGATCAGCCTACCCCTTCTTCGGTCTTCTTCCTCGTCGCTTTAAGTCGTCCTCCGATCAGCCTACTCCTTCTTCGGTCTTCTTCCTCGTCGCTTCAAGTCGTCCTCCGATCAGCCTACTCCTTCTTCGGTCTTTATCCTCGTCGCTTCAAGTCGTCCTCCGATCAGCCTACTCCTTCTTCGGTCTTCTTCCTCGTCGCTTCAAGTCGTCCTCCGATCAGCTTACTCCTTCTTCGGTCTTCATCCTCGTCGCTTCAAGTCGTCCTCCGATCAGCCTACTCCTTTCTCGGTCTTCATCCTCGTCGTTCCTCAAGATGATCAACGTCGCCTACCAGCCTAGTGATTGTTGTCGCTTCAAGTCGTCCTCCGATCAGCCTCCCCCTTCTTCTGTCTTCTTCCTCGTCGTTCCTCAAGATGATCAACGTCGCCTACCAGCCTAGTGATTGTTGTCGCTTCAAGTCGTCCTCCGATCTGCTTACTCCTTCTTCGGTCTTCATCCTCGTCGCTTCAAGTCGTCCTCCGATCAGCATTCCTCTTCTTCGGTCTTCATCCTCGTCGCTTCAAGTCGTCCTCCGATCAGCCTTCCCCTTCTTCTGTCTTCTTCCTCGTCGTTCCTCAAGATGATCAACGTCGCCTACCAGCCCAGTGATTGTCGTCGCTTCAAGTCGTCCTCCGATCAGCTTACTCCTTCTCCTGTCTTCTTCCTCGTCGCTTCAAGTCGTCCTCCGATCAGCCTACTCCTTCTTCGGTCTTCATCCTCGTCGCTTCAAGTCGTCCTCCGATCAGCCTACTCCTTCTTCGGTCTTCTTCCTCGTCGCTTCAAGTCGTCCTCCGATCAGCCTACTCCTTCTTCGGTCTTCTTCCTCGTCGCTTCAAGTCGTCCTCCGATCAGCCTACTCCTTCTTCGGTCTTCTTCCTCGTCGCTTCAAGTCGTCCTCCGATCAGCCTACTCCTTCTTCGGTCTTTATCCTCGTCGCTTCAAGTCGTCCTCCGATCAGCCTACTCCTTCTTCGGTCTTCTTCCTCGTCGCTTCAAGTCGTCCTCCGATCAGCTTACTCCTTCTTCGGTCTTCATCCTCGTCGCTTCAAGTCGTCCTCCGATCAGCCTACTCCTTTTTCGGTCTTCATCCTCGTCGTTCCTCAAGATGATCAACGTCGCCTACCAGCCTAGTGATTGTTGTCGCTTCAAGTCGTCCTCCGATCAGCCTCCCCCTTCTTCTGTCTTCTTCCTCGTCGTTCCTCAAGATGATCAACGTCGCCTACCAGCCTAGTGATTGTTGTCGCTTCAAGTCGTCCTCCGATCTGCTTACTCCTTCTTCGGTCTTCATCCTCGTCGCTTCAAGTCGTCCTCCGATCAGCATTCCTCTTCTTCGGTCTTCATCCTCGTCGCTTCAAGTCGTCCTCCGATCAGCCTTCCCCTTCTTCTGTCTTCTTCCTCGTCGTTCCTCAAGATGATCAACGTCGCCTACCAGCCCAGTGATTGTCGTCGCTTCAAGTCGTCCTCCGATCAGCTTACTCCTTCTCCTGTCTTCTTCCTCGTCGCTTCAAGTCGTCCTCCGATCAGCCTACTCCTTCTTCGGTCTTCATCCTCGTCGCTTCAAGTCGTCCTCCATCCCTCCGATCAGCCTACTCCTTCTTCGGTCTTCTTCCTCGTCGCTTCAAGTCGTCCTCCGATCAGCCTACTCCTTCTTCGGTCTTCTTCCTCGTCGCTTCAAGTCGTCCTCCGATCAGCCTACTCCTTCTTCGGTCTTCTTCCTCGTCGCTTCAAGTCGTCCTCCGATCAGCCTACTCCTTCTTCGGTCTTCTTCCTCGTCGCTTCAAGTCGTCCTCCGATCAGCCTACTCCTTCTTCGGTCTTCTTCCTCGTCGCTTCAAGTCGTCCTCCGATCAGCCTACTCCTTCTTCGGTCTTTATCCTCGTCGCTTCAAGTCGTCCTCCGATCAGCCTACTCCTTCTTCGGTCTTCTTCCTCGTCGCTTCAAGTCGTCCTCCGATCAGCTTACTCCTTCTTCGGTCTTCATCCTCGTCGCTTCAAGTCGTCCTCCGATCAGCCTACTCCTTCTTCGGTCTTCATCCTCGTCGCTTCAAGTCGTCCTCCGATCAGCATTCCTCTTCTTCGGTCTTCATCCTCGTCGCTTCAAGTCGTCCTCCGATCAGCCTTCCCCTTCTTCTGTCTTCTTCCTCGTCGTTCCTCAAGATGATCAACGTCGCCTACCAGCCCAGTGATTGTCGTCGCTTCAAGTCGTCCTCCGATCAGCTTACTCCTTCTCCTGTCTTCTTCCTCGTCGCTTCAAGTCGTCCTCCGATCAGCCTACTCCTTCTTCGGTCTTCTTCCTCGTCGTTCCTCAAGATGATCAACGTCGCCTACCAGCCTAGTGATTGTTGTCGCTTCAAGTCGTCCTCCGATCAGCTTACTCCTTCTCCTGTCTTCTTCCTCGTCGCTTCAAGTCGTCCTCCGATCAGCCTACTCCTTCTTCGGTCTTTATCCTCGTCGCTTCAAGTCGTCCTCCGATCAGCCTACTCCTTCTTCGGTCTTTATCCTCGTCGCTTCAAGTCGTCCTCCGATCAGCTTACTCCTTCTCCTGTCTTCTTCCTCGTCGCTTCAAGTCGTCCTCCGATCAGCTTACTCCTTCTTCGGTCTTCATCCTCGTCGCTTCAAGTCGTCCTCCGATCAGCCTACTCCTTCTTCGGTCTTTATCCTCGTCGCTTCAAGTCGTCCTCCGATCAGCCTACCCCTTCTTCGGTCTTCATCCTCGTCGCTTCAAGTCGTCCTCCGATCAGCCTACCCCTTCTTCGGTCTTCATCCTCGTCGCTTCAAGTCGTCCTCCGATCAGCCTACCCCTTCTTCGGTCTTCATCCTCGTCGCTTCAAGTCGTCCTCCGATCAGCATTCCTCTTCTTCGGTCTTCATCCTCGTCGCTTCAAGTCGTCCTCCGATCAGCGTCCCCCTTCTTCTGTCTTCTTCCTCGTCGTTCCTCAAGATGATCAACGTCGCCTACCAGCCCAGTGATTGTCGTCGCTTCAAGTCGTCCTCCGATCAGCCTACCCCTTCTTCGGTCTTCATCCTCGTCGCTTCAAGTCGTCCTCCGATCAGCCTACCCCTTCTTCGGTCTTCATCCTCGTCGCTTCAAGTCGTCCTCCGATCAGCCTTCCCCTTCTTCTGTCTTCTTCCTCGTCGCTTCAAGTCGTCCTCCGATCAGCCTTCCCCTTCTTCTGTCTTCTTCCTCGTCGTTCCTCAAGATGATCAACGTCGCCTACCAGCCCAGTGATTGTCGTCGCTTCAAGTCGTCCTCCGATCAGCTTACTCCTTCTCCTGTCTTCTTCCTCGTCGCTTCAAGTCGTCCTCCGATCAGCCTACTCCTTCTTCGGTCTTCTTCCTCGTCGTTCCTCAAGATGATCAACGTCGCCTACCAGCCTAGTGATTGTTGTCGCTTCAAGTCGTCCTCCGATCAGCCTACTCCTTCTTCGGTCTTCATCCTCGTCGCTTCAAGTCGTCCTCCGATCAGCATTCCTCTTCTTCGGTCTTCATCGTCGTCGCTTCAAGTCGTCCTCCGATCGGCATTCCTCTTCTTCGGTCTTCATCGTCGTCGCTTCAAGTCGTCCTCCGATCAGCTTACTCCTTCTCCTGTCTTCTTCCTCGTCGCTTCAAGTCGTCCTCCGATCAGCCTACTCCTTCTTCGGTCTTCATCCTCGTCGCTTCAAGTCGTCCTCCGATCAGCATTCCTCTTCTTCGGTCTTCATCCTCGTCGCTTCAAGTCGTCCTCCGATCAGCCTTCCCCTTCTTCTGTCTTCTTCCTCGTCGTTCCTCAAGATGATCAACGTCGCCTACCAGCCCAGTGATTGTCGTCGCTTCAAGTCGTCCTCCGATCAGCTTACTCCTTCTCCTGTCTTCTTCCTCGTCGCTTCAAGTCGTCCTCCGATCAGCCTACTCCTTCTTCGGTCTTCTTCCTCGTCGTTCCTCAAGATGATCAACGTCGCCTACCAGCCTAGTGATTGTTGTCGCTTCAAGTCGTCCTCCGATCAGCTTACTCCTTCTCCTGTCTTCTTCCTCGTCGCTTCAAGTCGTCCTCCGATCAGCCTACTCCTTCTTCGGTCTTTATCCTCGTCGCTTCAAGTCGTCCTCCGATCAGCCTACTCCTTCTTCGGTCTTTATCCTCGTCGCTTCAAGTCGTCCTCCGATCAGCTTACTCCTTCTCCTGTCTTCTTCCTCGTCGCTTCAAGTCGTCCTCCGATCAGCCTACTCCTTCTTCGGTCTTTATCCTCGTCGCTTCAAGTCGTCCTCCGATCAGCTTACTCCTTCTTCGGTCTTCATCCTCGTCGCTTCAAGTCGTCCTCCGATCAGCCTACTCCTTCTTCGGTCTTTATCCTCGTCGCTTCAAGTCGTCCTCCGATCAGCCTACCCCTTCTTCGGTCTTCATCCTCGTCGCTTCAAGTCGTCCTCCGATCAGCCTACCCCTTCTTCGGTCTTCATCCTCGTCGCTTCAAGTCGTCCTCCGATCAGCCTACCCCTTCTTCGGTCTTCATCCTCGTCGCTTCAAGTCGTCCTCCGATCAGCATTCCTCTTCTTCGGTCTTCATCCTCGTCGCTTCAAGTCGTCCTCCGATCAGCGTCCCCCTTCTTCTGTCTTCTTCCTCGTCGTTCCTCAAGATGATCAACGTCGCCTACCAGCCCAGTGATTGTCGTCGCTTCAAGTCGTCCTCCGATCAGCCTACCCCTTCTTCGGTCTTCATCCTCGTCGCTTCAAGTCGTCCTCCGATCAGCCTACCCCTTCTTCGGTCTTCATCCTCGTCGCTTCAAGTCGTCCTCCGATCAGCCTTCCCCTTCTTCTGTCTTCTTCCTCGTCGCTTCAAGTCGTCCTCCGATCAGCCTTCCCCTTCTTCTGTCTTCTTCCTCGTCGTTCCTCAAGATGATCAACGTCGCCTACCAGCCCAGTGATTGTCGTCGCTTCAAGTCGTCCTCCGATCAGCTTACTCCTTCTCCTGTCTTCTTCCTCGTCGCTTCAAGTCGTCCTCCGATCAGCCTACTCCTTCTTCGGTCTTCTTCCTCGTCGTTCCTCAAGATGATCAACGTCGCCTACCAGCCTAGTGATTGTTGTCGCTTCAAGTCGTCCTCCGATCAGCCTACTCCTTCTTCGGTCTTCATTCTCGTCGCTTCAAGTCGTCCTCCGATCAGCATTCCTCTTCTTCGGTCTTCATCGTCGTCGCTTCAAGTCGTCCTCCGATCAGCATTCCTCTTCTTCGGTCTTCATCGTCGTCGCTTCAAGTCGTCCTCCGATCAGCTTACTCCTTCTCCTGTCTTCTTCCTCGTCGCTTCAAGTCGTCCTCCGATCAGCCTACTCCTTCTTCGGTCTTCTTCCTCGTCGTTCCTCAAGATGATCAACGTCGCCTACCAGCCTAGTGATTGTCGTCGCTTCAAGTCGTCCCCCGATCAGCCTACTCCTTCTTCGGTCTTTATCCTCGTCGCTTCAAGTCGTCCTCCGATCAGCTTACTCCTTCTTCGGTCTTCATCCTCGTCGCTTCAAGTCGTCCTCCGATCAGCATTCCTCTTCTTCGGTCTTCATCCTCGTCGCTTCAAGTCGTCCTCCGATCAGCCTCCCCCTTCTTCTGTCTTCTTCCTCGTCGTTCCTCAAGATGATCAACGTCGCCTACCAGCCTAGTGATTGTCGTCGCTTCAAGTCGTCCTCCGATCAGCCTACTCCTTCTTCGGTCTTCTTCCTCGTCGTTCCTCAAGATGATCAACGTCGCCTACCAGCCTAGTGATTGTCGTCGCTTCAAGTCTTCCCCCGATCAGCCTACTCCTTCTTCGATCTTTATCCTCGTCGCTTCAAGTCGTCCTCCGATCAGCTTACTCCTTCTTCGGTCTTCATCCTCGTCGCTTCAAGTCGTCCTCCGATCAGCATTCCTCTTCTTCGGTCTTCATCCTCGTCGCTTCAAGTCGTCCTCCGATCAGCCTCCCCCTTCTTCGGTCTTCTTCCTCGTCGTTCCTCAAGATGATCAACGTCGCCTACCAGCCTAGTGATTGTCGTCGCTTTAAGTCGTCCTCCGATCAGCATTCCTCTTCTTCGGTCTTCATCGTCGTCGCTTCAAGTCGTCCTCCGATCAGCCTCCCCCTTCTTCGGTCTTCTTCCTCGTCGTTCCTCAAGATGATCAACGTCGCCTACCAGCCTAGTGATTGTTGTCGCTTCAAGTCGTCCTCCGATCAGCTTACTCCTTCTTCGGTCTTCATCCTCGTCGCTTCAAGTCGTCCTCCGATCAGCCTCCCCCTTCTTCTGTCTTCTTCCTCGTCGTTCCTCAAGATGATCAACGTCGCCTACCAGCCTAGTGATTGTTGTCGCTTCAAGTCGTCCTCCGATCAGCCTACTCCTTCTTCGGTCTTCATCCTCGTCGCTTCAAGTCGTCCTCCGATCAGCTTACTCCTTCTTCGGTCTTCATCCTCGTCGCTTCAAGTCGTCCTCCGATCAGCATTCCTCTTCTTCGGTCTTCATCCTCGTCGCTTCAAGTCGTCCTCCGATCAGCCTTCCCCTTCTTCTGTCTTCTTCCTCGTCGTTCCTCAAGATGATCAACGTCGCCTACCAGCCTAGTGATTGTTGTCGCTTCAAGTCGTCCTCCGATCAGCCTACTCCTTCTTCGGTCTTCATCCTCGTCGCTTCAAGTCGTCCTCCGATCAGCATTCCTCTTCTTCGGTCTTCATCGTCGTCGCTTCAAGTCGTCCTCCGATCAGCCTCCCCCTTCTTCGGTCTTCTTCCTCGTCGTTCCTCAAGATGATCAACGTCGCCTACCAGCCTAGTGATTGTTGTCGCTTCAAGTCGTCCTCCGATCAGCTTACTCCTTCTTCGGTCTTCATCCTCGTCGCTTCAAGTCGTCCTCCGATCAGCCTCCCCCTTCTTCTGTCTTCTTCCTCGTCGTTCCTCAAGATGATCAACGTCGCCTACCAGCCTAGTGATTGTTGTCGCTTCAAGTCGTCCTCCGATCAGCCTACTCCTTCTTCGGTCTTCATCCTCGTCGCTTCAAGTCGTCCTCCGATCAGCCTACCCCTTCTTCGGTCTTCATCCTCGTCGCTTCAAGTCGTCCTCCGATCAGCCTTCCCCTTCTTCTGTCTTCTTCCTCGTCGTTCCTCAAGATGATCAACGTCGCCTACCAGCCTAGTGATTGTTGTCGCGTCAAGTCGTCCTCCGATCAGCTTACTCCTTCTTCGGTCTTCATCCTCGTCGCTTCAAGTCGTCCTCCGATCAGCGTCCCCCTTCTTCTGTCTTCTTCCTCGTCGTTCCTCAAGATGATCAACGTCGCCTACCAGCCTAGTGATTGTTGTCGCTTCAAGTCGTCCTCCGATCAGCCTACTCCTTCTTCGGTCTTCATCCTCGTCGCTTCAAGTCGTCCTCCGATCAGCCTACCCCTTCTTCGGTCTTCATCCTCGTCGCTTCAAGTCGTCCTCCGATCAGCCTTCCCCTTCTTCTGTCTTCTTCCTCGTCGTTCCTCAAGATGATCAACGTCGCCTACCAGCCTAGTGATTGTTGTCGCTTCAAGTCGTCCTCCGATCAGCCTACTCCTTCTTCGGTCTTCATCCTCGTCGCTTCAAGTCGTCCTCCGATCAGCATTCCTCTTCTTCGGTCTTCATCGTCGTCGCTTCAAGTCGTCCTCCGATCAGCCTCCCCCTTCTTCGGTCTTCTTCCTCGTCGTTCCTCAAGATGATCAACGTCGCCTACCAGCCTAGTGATTGTTGTCGCTTCAAGTCGTCCTCCGATCAGCTTACTCCTTCTTCGGTCTTCATCCTCGTCGCTTCAAGTCGTCCTCCGATCAGCCTCCCCCTTCTTCTGTCTTCTTCCTCGTCGTTCCTCAAGATGATCAACGTCGCCTACCAGCCTAGTGATTGTTGTCGCTTCAAGTCGTCCTCCGATCAGCCTACTCCTTCTTCGGTCTTCATCCTCGTCGCTTCAAGTCGTCCTCCGATCAGCCTACCCCTTCTTCGGTCTTCATCCTCGTCGCTTTAAGTCGTCCTCCGATCAGCATTCCTCTTCTTCGGTCTTCATCCTCGTCGCTTCAAGTCGTCCTCCGATCAGCCTTCCCCTTCTTCTGTCTTCTTCCTCGTCGTTCCTCAAGATGATCAACGTCGCCTACCAGCCTAGTGATTGTTGTCGCTTCAAGTCGTCCTCCGATCAGCCTACTCCTTCTTCGGTCTTCATCCTCGTCGCTTCAAGTCGTCCTCCGATCAGCCTACCCCTTCTTCGGTCTTCATCCTCGTCGCTTCAAGTCGTCCTCCGATCAGCCTACTCCTTCTTCGGTCTTCATCCTCGTCGCTTCAAGTCGTCCTCCGATCAGCCTACTCCTTCTTCGGTCTTCATCCTCGTCGCTTCAAGTCGTCCTCCGATCAGCCTACTCCTTCTTCGGTCTTCATCCTCGTCGCTTCAAGTCGTCCTCCGATCAGCATTCCTCTTCTTCGGTCTTCATCGTCGTCGCTTCAAGTCGTCCTCCGATCAGCCTCCCCCTTCTTCGGTCTTCTTCCTCGTCGTTCCTCAAGATGATCAACGTCGCCTACCAGCCTAGTGATTGTCGTCGCTTCAAGTCGTCCTCCGATCAGCTTACTCCTTCTTCGGTCTTCATCCTCGTCGCTTCAAGTCGTCCTCCGATCAGCTTACTCCTTCTTCGGTCTTCATCCTCGTCGCTTCAAGTCGTCCTCCGATCAGCCTACCCCTTCTTCGGTCTTCATCCTCGTCGCTTCAAGTCGTCCTCCGATCAGCATTCCTCTTCTTCGGTCTTCATCGTCGTCGCTTCAAGTCGTCCTCCGATCAGCCTCCCCCTTCTTCGGTCTTCTTCCTCGTCGTTCCTCAAGATGATCAACGTCGCCTACCAGCCCAGTGATTGTCGTCGCTTCAAGTCGTCCTCCGATCAGCTTACTCCTTCTCCTGTCTTCTTCCTCGTCGCTTCAAGTCGTCCTCCGATCAGCCTACTCCTTCTTCGGTCTTCATCCTCGTCGCTTCAAGTCGTCCTCCGATCAGCCTACTACTTCTTCGGTCTTCTTCCTCGTCGTTCCTCAAGATGATCAACGTCGCCTACCAGCCCCGTGATTGTCGTCGATTCAAGTCATCCTCCGATCAGCCTACTCCTTCTTCGGTCTTCTTCCTCGTCGTTCCTCAAGATGATCAACGTCGCCTACCAGCCCCGTGATTGTCGTCGATTCAAGTCGTCCTCCGATCAGCCTACCCCTTCTTCGGTCTTTTTCTTTGTCGTTCCTCAAAATGATCAACGTCGCATATCCAGCTCCAGGATTTTCATCGCTGACTTATTTTTACGTCAGTAAGTGGTCACATGGCTTCATTTCACCCTCATCTCTGATCATCCTATTTTGCTCGTCCACACTTCTTTTTTTATTGATTCCGGTAACTCAATACATGCATTTCTTCGCGAATTGCCGTAGCCATATAATTTTCTTGTTAGTTTCCCAACGGTAGGCGTAATTTCATCAGAAGCTTTTCAGGAGTTTTCATCCAGGTTGCAACACGCGCGAAAGACAATTTTGACCGATGAAGAAGTTCACCGCCACAAATTCTAATAGTTTTCATCTCATCAACGAGTTATATCGAATGGTTCGCAGTATGACATTATGTTGCTTTCCGGGACCCTATACAAGTTTTCGTCAGATCAATTTTTTAAATATCCTTTTCATTTTGTTTATGGATGGATCCAACATTCCCATGAGTGAATTTTCCCTTGTTCGTATTTTACTCGTATTCTGATTGCGTCCGATATTCCGGTTTCACTGCGATCTGATAGACACACAAGCAGTAATGTCCAATGAACTGTCAATCGCGCTACATTTTTCCTTCATAACCTTAAAATGAAATTTTTCAAATCAAAGCAAAACCTGCGGCAATCGTTAATAAGTAGCGGTTCCGCGCGGGAGTTCAACGTCACTCGTTTCAATGAGCGCTGTTTCAGAAACATGTCAGTAACCGTGAAGAAGACTCTCTGAGTCAATATTTGGGCAAAAAGAGAAGACGGACACACTTATGCACCAGTTTGATTGGCAATGTGAAGTTGCATTTTGTGTAGACTTTTTAAAATGTAGGCTTCCTATTTGATGACACGAGATATGTAGTTCTAAAAATTAATGTGAAAAAAAGCCACAGAAACTGAGAAAAGAAAATCCGCATTAGAAAGGGTATTTCGAGCATCTTTGAACTGTCGTCGTAGCTAGATTATCTAAATAAAATGTGAAGGATAGCCTTCGCATTATATTTATGTAAAAGAATTCCAAAAATGCCTGGACATCATTCAAAAATCCCGCAGTACGCCCTAGGAAAAGACTGTCGAAGAGTACGCATCAATAACTTCTTTTTCACCCCGTGGAAGTCCCATGGCTGCATGTTCGAAACTCTATAAAAGATTCAACATAATAATTCAAAAACAAATTTTATTAAATTAGTGATGCTCGCTAGAACCACCCGTATTGATGAGATCACAGAAGTCTGTTCTAGCTCGCATTGATAAATGTCACATATCCACAAAGAGCCTGATATCCTCGAAAACAATATCTTTCATCTCATTCTTCCTTATGAAGCAAACGAACGCGAATTAGATTGTTCCTTGTCCGATTTAGACCGCTTCGATGAACCTGAAAGAAACTTCATTTGCTAAGGGTTTACTTGCGCCGAGTTTTGAAAAATAACGATAGTAACCATTTTATCGGTATTTTCCAATACTCTATGAAGAAACACTTAATAAATCATCAATGTACAAACCATAAGCAGCACTCGATGAGAAGAATAGTGCCGTTGACGTGGTCACCCTTAGAGAGAAAGAGATTAAACTCTATCAATTCACTTTCATTTCGTTTTTGCCAGCATATGTTGGAAGATAAATTGTAAAAGTACTAACCTGTTTCTGATGAGAGTTGTCGAAAAAATTCATCTAGCCCGAATGGATCCGCTTCACTGGTTAGCTTCCTTTTCTTCATACGCGGTTCTTCACAATGCGCCCGACGATCATTCTGAACCAAAGGTTCGCCATTCAGTATGGATACCTCCGCAGGGGGAGTCGAAGTAATTTCAGAGTCACAAGTGGCGTTAGAAACAATAGCAGTACTAGAACGCCCTTTGCCCCCACGCCTACGATTTTTGCGACTCTCACCCATATGCTTACACAGTGAAGTGATGAAGCTCGTTTGCAAGAGCTCGCACCGGTAGTCGCGTTCCTTACGATTGTAGAGCGAACGTCTCTTCTTAATTGCCAAACTCAGGAGTTCAGTGGCAGTCATTTCTTCAACGGGTACTCGGTCATCTTCCGATGACGACGATGAGCTTGGTGAACAAGTGGTGAATCCGTTGAAATGCATCTTCAAAATGATTTGGATGACGAACAGAAGGATCTTCGAAATAAACAGCAAACGCAACGACAATGAGGGCTGCTGAGAATGCGAATGACAAACACGCGACGCACCCGTCTATTTATACTAACCGCGACGCGTCCAAATAAAATTCCTCCGCAAAGAGCGCTCACACATTTTCAATCGAAGATTTTTTGTTAATTTTTTAAGATTTAAGTAATTTTTCAAAATAGTCTATTGTATTTAATTGATGTGCTTCCGTTTTTTCTTAAATTACTTGCAATTTATCCAGCAACTTTATTCTTTTAACAAAGTTAATTAACCGAAGTTTCGATCAATATCTTTCGCCGCGACGCGGTCGGCCAGACGACAAAGTCGTTTTCGTTGCACATCACATGCTTCATGGGAATTCGAGGCATTGATTTAGTAATGACGTCACTGTAATGAATATATTAATCATTCTCAAAAAACGATGGCCCTGGGTACTTATGATCATTTTCGGGGGCAGTAATTCAAATATCAAAAAAAAATTGTAAAAAAAAAGAATGAAAATTTAGCCTGAACCATGTTTTATCCGCTTTTAAATCATTTTTTGTTATTAACCCATGATCTTATAGATCTTTTGATGCCAGAGCTATACGGAAATCAGACTTTTCCTGCCGTGGCACAACGGAATGTGAAAAAGAAAAACATTTTCGCTCCTACATGGAAGCGAAATGAATTTTTCCCGTTTTCCGCGGAAACGGAATTCCGACTCTGGTTTATGAAAATTATTGATAAAGTTAGCTATTTTCTTGAAAGATCAAATTGCCGGTTTTTTATAAACAAGGATATTTTACCATTTTAATCTTAGAATCTCAGGTAAATGAATATCAATCGGATTCGAAAATAATTTCTTTTTCAATCTAAATCGAATGTAAATCTGTTTCGAATTATTCCAAAATTTCAATCGAATTCGATTTCAAAATTGAAATTGAGAAATAAATCAATCGATTTCGGAGATTTTTGAATCGAAACCAAGATTTCAAATCGAATTTAAGCGTTTTCTCAATCGAATTTGAATTATTTTTCAATCGAAACAGATTAATTTATATTTTATTTTTCTTCGAATCCAATTGATTTTCATTTACCTGAGATCTGACTTTAATGGAATGCCGTAAACATTTGAGATTACAGACACAGCGTATTATATGTATTTATGCGACTGAGATGAATATTTCACAATACTTATTAAATTCGATATTAATTCAATAATTAAATTGATTTCAGGTAAACTTCATGTGTGTCGTTTCAGCCCGTCGAAACAAGACCTCATTTGCAACAGTTGCCTCGAATATTTTATGATAACCATTGAAATTAGCGGTCCTGAAAATGGCTATGAAATAAAAATATTTAATATATAAGTTAATTCTTTATTTCAGAATTGAGTCTTAATGGAAAAGCTTACGTTGAATTCGATGTATTTGTAGTACGTATCAGCTTTTCCCCTCGATATCCCAATCCTTTTTTCTCCATTCCAGATTGTCCATCTTCTTCCATTGAAAAAGCAACGGGTGCCACACGGCCTTGCTGATTTCGTCCTAATCCCGTTCCTGGTTTCCAGCCCATCCTATTTCACAAAAATTTTACAAATGTTATTAATGATTCATACTTGATTAATAAACGATTTCCTACAATATTATTTATTTTGAGATCGTCGTTTTCACTATATTTCCGTTTTCGCGTTTTTTGGGAAGGGTTTTTTGCCCTTCGCGTAAAAACAGATTTTTCCAATTTTCCAGATCTTAAGAGCTCATCTTCTTGCATTTCGACAGCAGCTTTAGCATCCAAATCTCCTGCTGATTTGCCCTCATAATACACAGAATAATCAACGTCCCAATCGTCAGCCCATGCCCAGTCGCAATCGGTTCCTTAAAACAAATAAAAATGGTGATTCGATTATGTTCGGCGCTACCTTTTTCGCGTTCGTCCCAATAATTTTTGTCTGTATACCAGACAAGGCCTGGTCCTCCTTTTTCCCACGTCACTTCCATTTCTTCTTCATATTTTTTGGGCTTCGTCCGGTCTTGTTCAGTGACGTCGTCGTGCAATGCTTCATGTCTCTCCCATTCCTCGCATTGATCATCGTCGTCATCGGGTCCCTCATCATTATCAGGAGGTTTTTGTCGTAAGAAATCTTCTTCTATAGATTCTTCTCGTAATGGCTAAAAATAATGGTTATTATTTTGAGTAAATCGTTTTCATTTAAACTTTTTCCGGGTTTTTGAAAATTTCATTCTTATTATTACTGGAATTTTCTTGTAGATGGTCATTTGATTCCATGCATTCGTTTTTATAATTGAATGGAACGGCCTCAAACTTTCGTTTTCTCCTTCCACTTTGTATACCGAGTTTTTGTATTAGACTCGACGGTAATTTACATTGACGAATTTGCTCTAGAAAATATTGGCTCGGTGTACCAATGTTTCCTTGTGGCATTACTGCTGGTGGCTTTAGTTCTATCATTTCTTTTAAATCTTCTCGTGATAGTAAGGAAGAAGAAGCTTCAGTCGTTGAACTTTCCACTTTTAAACGATCGATAAAACATCGGCGCATTAACTCGGTCCCCTCACTGTTTTGCCAAAGTCGTCCATGAAATTCTTTAGTAAATTCTTCTCTGTCTTGCATGTTTTTGAAAGCAACAATACAGCAACATGTACGACTTTTGTTTGCAGCTACGTCATCCTAAAATGATTTTATTACAATTGTTTTTGAAATTTGAAATTACGTTTTTTGCTTGTACTTCTGGGCGATGCCTATAATGAAAACAAGCAAACTTTTCGTGTTCTATGTAGCCTTTAAAATATTTTCGTAAATCCTTCGAATGTAATTCTTTTGGTATATTTCGAATAACGACATAGGACCCTTAAAACTATTATCAAATTTACAAACTGTTATTTATATCTTACATGATGAATTGTCAAAAGCTTCTGTCCGTGAGCATTCTTCTTTCTTCTTCGCAAAAAATCTATTTAGAATCTCTTTATTGCTGATTTTCTTCATAAATTTAAAATAAATGCAAGCAACTTTGTAAATCTACAACACGCTGGCCGTAATATTTTTGCGGTCATCTTTTAATGGTCATGAAAAATTCTAGGCCATGAGGTGCTTAACATTGCTTGCCACATGTGCAGCGCTGTGTTTCACTGAACGAGGATTCCCTAGAGATTACAGTACGTGTAATTAAAAGACACGGACATAAATAAAATGATATAAAATTTCAGGCGCCGAAAATTGTGGCAAACCTAAAACTTACACAACTTTTCAGTTGGCATGTTAAATATTAAAATAAATTTTGAAACAATGTTGATTTTAGGAAGATGGTAATGGAAACAAAGGATATCCTACGAACATGATGCCATGGGCGGTACAACTTCAACTGAAGCATGACGATGGTGTTGGATGTGGGTTTTTCAAAACTGGATATCGATGGATGTTTTTTCTTTTTCCAGCGGTTACTTGCGGAGGAACTCTTATTACAAAGAAACACGTCATTACAGCTGCCCACTGTTTTCAGAAAAAATTTTTGATTACGACAAAATCTCGGAATCCGTCCAGATTCTGCGAAAAGTAAATGATGTTACTTCCCCTCTCATTACAAAAATTTAAATATGCACGCATAAATAAGAATTAAAAAATTTTAGAGATAGCCGCTATTCCAATGAGGAAATATTGCGTAATTTGTATGCTCGCGTTGGAGCAACCTGCACAAAATTGAATAAGGATCTTGGTTGCACTAATAGAAAACAACTCGGAAAATTTGTCAACGTAAAAAGGTTCTATTATGACTTTCTTTTTCACTTTCTAACCGTTTTGTGTTCAGATTTTTGATGGGACCTTTGTTTGAAAATAATTGCGAAAATGGTGGAGATTATTTTATAGCGGAACTAGCTGAGTCTATCGACAATTTTGATGGAGCAAATCATGCCTGTCTACCATTCTTCAGTAATGTTACAATTCCAAAAAAAGGAAGTTTGGACGCATTTGGATGGGGTTCTGATCGTGAGGATGTTTATTTGATACATTTATAATAATATGCTTTAACTCCAGCTAGTCGCGCATATGACAATATCTCATATCCAATGCTTCAAAGAATAACCCTTGGTTTGTATAAAAAATTGGAAATATTATATTTTTTTTTCGTTTAGACATAATGCCATTTGAAGAATGCAACGAGAACTGGTATGAAAGTCTTCCTCCAGATGCTATCTGTACTGTAGAGGAACCCGAAAAAAACGTGTGCAAGGTGTTATGTTGTCTGTGTGTGTGTGTATTGAACAATTAAATTTCAGGGAGACAGTGGAGGGGGTCTTTTATATGCTCTAAACAATCGATTCTACTTAGCAGCTATCGTCTCATATGGAACAGACTGCGGAAAAATGCTGCTTGGCGCTGAGCCGAAAGGCCAAATAAACACAGACATCCGAAAATATTTTAAAGAAATTTTAAATTTCATATCATTTTAATTTATTATAAAAAGTGATACATTGGTTTTGTTTGAAAAGGTTAAAATATCAAATTCCTTTCATAAAGGACGCTATAGTGCTTAGAAATCGACAATTTAGTACAAAGTTCAAATATAGAAAGTTATACCCGAAGGAGAACATTTCGTGTACCATGATCAGAATATCTAAAAACTTATATTTGAACGAACGAAAAGAAAACTATGCCGCTTACGTTAAATGGTAATTGTCCGGAATATTCAACGCTTTCTTCATCAAAAATCCAATTTTCCGGTTTTCTTGGTCGTGCTCAAAGTCGCGCGTCCACAGCAAAACTTTCTCTGCGCGTCTTTTTCGTGTTACTGAGACACCGCAAATCTCTTTACCATACTCTTCGAATTGCTCACCGATTACAGCCATTGTGAGTTCGAGCCACGCATTGCGAAAGTATTTTTTGTAAAACTGGAAAAAACAGAAACTCTTGTGAGTTATGATGAATCGTATAATGAAACTATTCACGCAATTAAAGAAAAATAAACAAAATGTATTTTTTAATGAATGAGCCCATAACAACTTTTCTTGCTATATTACAATTTATACTTACATCAAGATAACACCAACTGCCACCTTGTGCATTTTTTTCATCTTCCCACATTGGTTTTATACCCTGAAAATATTTAATACAACTGCGATTTCCATAAAGACATCGTAAATTTTCCCACCATGTGAAAAAACGATTAAATGATTTAGGCCAAACCTCTTTAAATATATAATAGGAAGACAATTCGTCCAACTTGTGAATTGGTTCAATGTGATTATAGTGCTGCCAAAATTCTTCCACACTTCCAAAACTTGAAATCATCTGAAATTTGAGATTCTAAAATTAGTCTTCACGAATCACTAAACTATCAAACAGTCTTCGAAGTTTTTATTTTCTTCGTACTTCGAAAACCAAAGGCACCAACGATATTGCAGCTGATGTTTATTATTTGAACAAGGTTCCTGTTAAACTGAATAATGAATGTAATCTACCGTTTTTGAAACGCACCTCAATTAATTTCGACATAAATCTCGTAGCGTTGTTTGTATTGAAAAGAAATTTGATTCGATAGTTTGCTCGTCCATATCACTCTTTGGGTTAGGTTAAAAAATGTCCAAGTTCAATGATAACACGTCGAACGTGAGCAATGAAAAAGGCAACTTCGGTTTGCAACTTGAGCTAATCAATTTTTCATTAAAATTCCTTTCAATTGCAATCCTTTACACGTTTATTCATTCAATTTCAAGTCGATGCTTTTTCGTTTCTTTCTAAATTCGTTGTGACTCGATATAACCCAAATTTTGCCAAAATTGATCTCAAATTTGCTGATAAGAATATATGTTTATTCAGTGGAAAGGAAAGAATGAAGTTATCGATTAGATTATGCAAATCACTTATTTACATTTAAAAACAATTATTAACACTACCGGATTACAATTCGGCATGTGAATAACTTTTCTCAATCAGACGAGCATAATATGTCTCTACGGCATCAATTTCTTCAAATTTGTGAAACGATATTGGACTTCTAAAAAGATAAACTATTAAAATGATAATTTATATAATACCTTATTAATTCTTGAGCATAGTCAGTAACTCTAGCTTGATGAAACCTATTTTCGTGAATAATTTTCACTTTAGCCATATGTGCACACATTCCAATCATCATATCATCTGGATCCTGACTCGAGAAGCATTTTGGACATTCTTTCAGTATCTTCTCAACTGCTGGTCTAGTAAATACCATTCCAGCGCCACCAGTTGGATAATCATAACCACTATTTCCATCGAGACTAAATCCGTATCCATAGCGTTCTCCAATAATTAAATCATCTTTTGGATTATATTGTCCGAGCATTTTTCGAAGTCGATCCCATCCAATTAAAGTGTCATCATCTGCAATTAACAACCAAGACGGGCCATTGGTATTTCCATGAAAACGACGCATTATTTCCCATGTTTTTGAGCAATGTCCGCTTTCAGTATTTCCGACTTTCAAATCAATAGTTGGAATCGTCGGGTCTTCAAGATCACTACAAATTTCGGCTACAGGCAACTTCTTGAACCATGTTTGTAGAAGTATTGGAACTAAAAAATTAACATATTAAAAAATTCTGGTGCTACGCAGATTTCGCAAAAAATGACAAATTTTTAGTGCTTTTCAAGTTTGCAAAAAAAGTTTTTTAGAGCTTTTCTATTTTTCTTCCCAAAATCAGCATATATAATAAAATGAGACAAAAACTTAACGCCTTGTTTTGTGATTTCCATGAAATGTTTTGATCATGACCTGTATGTCATTACTTTCAACACTTTCCAATGGTTCTGTTTTGTTCTGAAATTACAAAAATTAATTCGTTGAGAATTCATAAATTACGAAAAAACTTTTCGCCAGATACCGCATGAACCATGATCATTAGGTTTTTCGCAGAAGAATTTGGGATCATCGATTAGGGTGATATTAAAGTTTTTGAAGAGTGAAACAGCGAACTGAAATTTCGATGAATCGCATATTCGACATTAAATAATGTTAGACTTCATGGCTGGAATCTATAGCAAATGAGGGAAGTTTGAGTGAATCAGTAGAATTCTTAATCCTTTAATTGTTCAGTTTCATTTATACATTTTAACAAATATCAATTACTTTTCTATAACTGTGTTCGATATTAAAACGCCAGCGGAAATAAGTGGATATTGGAAATTATCAGGTAAATCAAATCCAAAGTGATGAATTATAGTTGGTCTAAAAATGCAGAAATATTCAATATAATAGAGGTAATTCACCTTTTATCCTGTAACGCAAACCCAAAAAAATCTCCACTAATATTTTCGGCGTCTAATATACGAGATAAGACTTTTCGAATATTTATTTCCGAAGAATCATCAGCCAATAAATACCATTTCGAGTGGGTCGAAATCTTAAAAATTGCCGGAATTATTGTCCACATTCCTTGATGTTCTTCAAAATCGTTGACAACATCAATAACGTGACATTTTCCCTTCAAAATTCCAGTTTTTGATTATTTTTAAGGTTGTGGATACCTTGCAGGTTGAGTAAATATCTTCTTTTATTAAAAGCATTTGTTTTTTTGATACTTCTCCTTTAGACCCAATTAACAACACCGATAATTCATGAGAAGAAATTCTGTGAAACATCAAGAAAGAAAGCATAAAATACTTCATCATCTAAAAATTGAATATATGCCGTAGATTAGATTGTTTCCAGATATTTTCATAGGAACACCTGACATTTACGAAATAACAGTTGAACTGATGAAAATAATTTGATATTCATTGTTCTATTATATTTAAAATTAATAAATAAAAATATTCTTCAAAATTTGATACAATTAAATCAAAAATCACAGATTCTGGGCGATGATTCGCAACACGAATATAGAAAATATGAACGAATGAATAAAACAAACAAGTATAATTCGGAGTAATAGCAGAAAGATCGAATTGGAAATATTTGGGGCACTTTTGGCGTTCTGAATTGGATATATCTAATGTTCAAAATTACATGATTTGCTATTCATGGTGCAATGATGTGTAGACAGTTATCCATGAAACCATGAATGTAGCAAAAGCTGCTCCGAATCCTTCTTTTGCTAGTTCCCAAAAGCCGCCTACTTCATCTTCGTCAACCTGGAACACAAATTGATAAAAGAATTTCAGAAAGATTGAATAATACCGAGAGGAAATTGAATAATATTACACTTATTAACACAAGTTTCTGTTTTTGTAAAAAATTAAATGTAAAATTCAAATTTGGGAAAATCATAGTAAGATATTGTCGGCGTCAAACGACTGAAGAGAGACGGGACCTTCAAATTCGCGAAATCAGTTTAGATTTAAATTTATCGTTTAGTGAATATTAAATGCTCGTACGCTATAACGCAACGTACGCAGTTTTGGGTACTTCTCGCTGCCTCGGGACGCGTTGGCACATAGCCAATCATTTTTTAAATTTCGTCAAGTCGTTTAACGCCGACAATAGTTTACTAGTATAAACATAATTTATTGTCGAGGACGAACGAATTTAGGGGAGCGTTTCTTATTATTCAAATTTTGGCGCCATGGTCTTATAACCATTCTCGATTTGATCTAGTATGAAATGTATTGACAAGGAAGATCAAAATGGCTAGCGCGTTTGGTCATTCAAATTTTTCCAATTCGCCCGTCTTCGACAATAGGCATGAAATCTGTTTTTTTTTTTTTCTAAAAAAAAACAACTAAATACTACATTAAATTCCCCTTTTTTTAAATACACATTTAATGTACTCTCTCTTAAAGTTTTTGTAAATGATACATTTCACGAATAGGTCCATTAGAATTTAGCAATTGGGTTTATATTCTTGTGATAAAAATAGTACCTTTTGAAACTTTGTTACATAATGCTGGGCTACAACGGATGAAATGCACACGTAAGAAATAATCGCAAGAAATCCATATAGCGGAGTCATTCCAAAAACTACTCCCACAAAAAGTGAAAGGATCTGTTTTCCCCAATAAACCACATCTAATAATTCGTCTTTATCAGGCCATTCAGAGCCAGGTCGCAATGCTTTCGAAAGCTGTAATTCCACAAATATTCCAATTAATTTCCACAAATAAAAAGCTTACTGTTAAGTTCCACGTGGATTCTGGTATCGCGGACTTCTGTTTTTTAGGCGCTGCCATCCTAAAATGAATTGTTATTGTTTTCATATTAAATAACAAGTAAATACGTCACAAAAGCGTATTACATCGGAATTAAAAAAAAACTACTTGTTACGCGTAAGAAATCAATTAATTTGGAAATATTAAAAATAGAAGTGTAAAAATTTACGTTATAACCATAGGAATCAAATTTTGAGATTTTCGAGGATTTAACATGAAATAAAAAATGTAAAAATATAATTTTTTTTCATTTATTGTAAAGAGATAATTCATGAATTAAGGCCATGCGCTGTATGCACAATGCGATTTCCGCCGGAAACCACATGGTTAGGGTACGACTTCATTCGGAAATCATAATGTGCACACGTTCCTATTAGTGATTATAAAAGATTTACTAAATAATAGGCAACGAATTATCAAATGTGTAAATGATAGTCTAAAAACACGTCAGCGCGAGTTTTACGCCAGCCGAGTTTCATTGACATCTGACAGGTAACGTCTGGTGTCTCGTCATTGAATACACACTTTCTTCTCATATTCCTCGAGGAGATTCGTTCATTGTCTTATCACCAACCGACAATCTTTGATGATACGAAAGATTTATTTTTCAATAGGTAATTTTCACTTTTGTTAGAAATTCAAATTCTTTTAAGTAATTCCATTTCTTCGTGTGTCCTGCACAGAAACTATTTTTCAATTGTTTGGCCGAGAAGTGCATATTTATTGACTATAGTAACAAAAACTGTACAAGACACATTTTTCGGTGTGTAGCATAGACACAAACCACAAATAAGTTTACGATTTTTTTTCACAAAAGGTTACACACTTTCTTTCTACATTTACTTATTTCAGCTGATGAGTTCAGACCAACATAGTTACGCTGAAATAAGCGAGTCAAAGGTATATTTCTAATCATAATAATAAATAATTTGTATCCTTAGCCGACTAGTTTGGTATGTAAAATATGCACGCATACTGCCCACGGAGTACATTTTGGGGTATCATCTTGTCGTGCATGTGCCGCATTTTTCAGGTATTATATGAATATATATATATATTTTTTTTTTACTTTGAAAAGCATATAGAAGATCAGTAGTGCTCGGAAAGAAATACAAATGCCGCGGAGTTAACAAATTGTGTCCAATTAACGCCGCTGAACGTTTTTTGTGTCGACATTGTCGCTTCAAAAAATGTATAAAAGTTGGAATGACTGCTGATAGTAATCCTTTTCCAAAATGCATTTTATATAAGTAAATATGTTTAAAGACGTTCAATGGAATCGAGATGTACTTTCTATTAATGAAGAAAAACCGAAACAGAAAATAACTCGCAATATAAAACGAACATCCTCACCGCCAGCACTCTATGATATATCAGACACAATGAAACGAATTGAGCAAATATTTTCTGAGGTTTGAAAGCGGGAAAAATTTTGAAAAGTTTCATACTTTAGCCGATTCTTCCTATGCACAGTGAGAAATATCGTGAAATGAATACACTTCAAAGGCTCGATTGGGCATTGAAACAACATAGAATTGGCCAAAAAGATAAACGATTAATTACAGTTAATTTAAGCATCATCATGATCCTTACAAAAAAAATTGTTTTAGTTTAGAAATTTCATTGATCTAGGCCAGATTGTTTCTTTAAATCGAGAAGAAATGTGCCGTGTTGCAAAATGGATGATACACTGTGATGAATTCAGAGATCTCCAACTTAACGAAAAGGTTTTATCATTTTATCGCTCAAATTGATTAAACAATATACGTTAGATGTCATTTTTCAAATTAGTTTGGGCACTGTGGCAGAAATTAGAACGAATTACGCGATCTATTGACGTTTTTGGATTACAAATGTATGAGGATAAGGTATTATTATTCTTTGTTGATTTCAAATAAAATATTTTTGTTTCTAGATATTTATTATGTCAGATAAACACGCAATAAATATGAACAAGGTCCAATTCGACATTTCACCGCTTACCGATTTGCCTGTTGAACGAATAAAAAGGTAGACTCAATAAAAAAATTGAATATTCTTGTTTATTTTTAAAGCATTTTTGATCCATTCTGCATCCGAATGTTTGAAAATATCGCTAAGCCGTTAATTGATATCAAACTGGAATCTATGGAAGTCACCTTTATGCTTTGCTATTTATGCTTCCAAATATCAGGTTGTTTCAATATATCCTATATGTTTGTAACAATAGTTTAAGGTAAAGTGTTACAAGGACGAATTCTTGAAGCTAGTGAAAAATTCATGGAAAAAGTGTCGAACAATTTGCATGATTATTATGAAAAGGATGTGAAAACGAAAAATTATGCGAGCCGTCTCATCAAAATAATGTCGGTTTTGAACGCGTTTCAGAAAATCCATTCTGATCGGCAAGAAATAATTGATCTTGCAAAGATTTTCAAAATATTCAAAGTAAGACTCACTGAACCAGAAGTAAATATCGAATAAAAGTTTTACCAATAATATTTATTATATATGAAAAACTATATATTTAGTAAATAAGATAATTGTAATATCACGCATCAACTGATTTGCGAACTTTTTTTTACCAAAACGTGGTTAATTTTTGATTGAAACGACAAAATCATTTGGTTTCATTTTTAATTCGTCATAAAGTCTCGAAATTCATTCGATTCACCTGCCACTTTCGAGAAATAAATGAGCGAAAAGTCATTAAATGCACTTTATTAACAGAATTCGCAATATTACAAATATTATATCCCAATGTTTTTTTTTTCTTTTAATCATCGTAGTACATTGGAAGAGTGTTGGTTTTTCTGAACATCTTTTGACGCCAGGCAGGACCGAAATTGGCTGAAATATCAATAATTTTATTAGAATAAAATATAAAATTTTGCTTACCCATAATGCGATACTGAGCTTCCACAACCAACAAAATAAGCATGATGATGATAAGAAGACGGAGCGACATTTTCAAGACTAAAATGACAATTTGCGTTCCAGGTTTCTCTTTTATAGGGGCAACAACAACGGGTCAAGCAGGTGAAATTTCAGGTCATTTGCAGGAAGTGATTTCATTCTGAAAATTTCACCTGCTTTTGCTTAATTTATTAATGGAATCGAAAATAAGCCGAAAATGTGCAAACAAGTATATGGTGCTTGTTTTATTCTTCTAAAATGAGAATTTTTCCGAACGTAAAGTAAAAAAGAATAAAATGACGAATGAGCTTTGTCTTCAATTTATGGTCTCACAAATGAAGCAATTATTTTTTCATGGGTTTCCATCCATCTATGAAAATATCCACCAATTCGATTATACACACGTTTTCTATATTTTGTCGAGCAAATAGGGCTAAAGAATAATATGATGGGGTCTTAGAAATGACGCACTTTATTTCTTCTTTTCTAATCTAAAACCAAAACTGTTTCGAGAAATGACAAAGCCGGGATTCGGAAATTCACAGGATTAGGCTGTCTTTTTACGAATTTGTGACGTTGGCGACGCATTCGGAGGCACTATTCCTGCTGAAATTATTCACATTTTTGCGAAAATTCTGAAAATGAATCGGAGGAAACCTGGATTCCCGTGAAAATAGGCCATCGGAGGATATTGTACTGGAGCTGGTCGTGCAGTGGGAAATGGAGTTGGAGCTGAAAAAGTCTTATTCTTTTTTTTTGATGATCATGCGAATGTTAAACCTGGCCTATTAATTGTTGGACCATACAATGGTAGAGGACTATATGAAAAAGGTTGTGGTTCGGTGGCCACTACCGTTTGATATGGATACGGATAATACGGTGAATAATCTGGTAGAATTTGTTGTGGAGCCATTTGTGCTTTTTGTGCAAGTTGTGCAGATCGCATTCTGAAGAATTTAATGTCGTAGATACCAAAATTTTGTTGATTACGTGTAAAATGCGGGGAGATCAGCTTCTTCAATAAACTCGTAGCGTCCGCGCGATTCGACAAATCCGAACAATAAGAAAACGATCAAGGAGTAAGTCATAGTGTTTCTGACAAATTAACTATTTCGCTTTTTATACAGTATTCGCGAGATGGTCTCGCTCTCCTCATTTAATTGACGGTGTGACCGGGAATGCATTAAGTGTCGCGTTGAGTAAATCCATTTATTATACCGTAAAATTCGTACACATACAATCATGCATGGTTCTTCAAATTAGCAATCAACTCTATTATGATAAATGATGTCATCGGTGAATTTTCCGCCGTCCATGATGGTTTTGGCCGAGAGTGCGCACAACTCGCGGGTGCTTAAATCAACCAAAAAATTTCAGCTGTTCATTTTGGAAAAAAAAACTTACATATCGAACGCAACCGCGTGACACTTTTTCTGTTTCGCTAAGCATTTCACACAAAGTCGGCACATATCTGTGCATTGCTCCAATGAGTACGCTTTGACTACACGAATTGCTTCAACCTTTCCTTTGGGTCGAACTTCTACGAAACACTCGCGGACTCTTGTGTCCCTCAATCTTCTACCATAATCGCTTTTTGTATTGCTCACAACATTGTATGAATCAACAATATGTGGATTAACGGCTTTTTGCGTTGTCGTTGGTTTCGGGGTTGTCGTTGTCGTTGTAGTGGTCGTTGTTAAAATATCTTCTTGATCTAGTTTGCTCACAGAATCTGAGGGTCCGTCGTATCCAGAGAATTCGAGCTTAGTCCCCTAAAATTATTTTGTTTATGGTTCAAAAATAAAAAAAATCTATAACCGCATCCCCACTGGATATCCCACTTTTATGAAGAACAGTAGCGAGCGTTGTTTTTTCAATTTTAAATACTTCATCATCTTCTGAAAACTTTGAAGATCCTTTGAACACATCTGATGATTTCAAAGTAATTGATTTGTCGGAACCATCAAGGCAGGAATTCTCGATGTACACAGACTTGTCATCATCGATAAACAAATCAGGTATATCAGCTTTAGCCTGTGAAGCAATAATGCATTCCTGAAAACTATTCGAATAAATATTTCGAATGATTTTCTGCGGAATTTTTAGGAAATCCTTGAATCTCGAAAAAATACCTTTTCAGCCTCGTAATACATAGCACTTTTGCAAGTGACATCATGTTTCGATTGACTATTTGCGCAATGTTCTTGACAAGATGTGATTGATGGAACATCACGAATCAGTTGGTCCACAATTCCGATCAAAACTTTTCCCGGAGTCACTGCGAAACAGTTTGCGTTTCCTGGGGTGACATCACGACGTCTTGCAACCTTTCCTAAACATTTAAATGTGCAATATACATTGACTGGAAGAAATACCAAAGCATTTTCGGTGATAATAGTCAGCCATCGGATTCTTCGCAATTTTCACATCCATTTTTGATTTTCCATTCAATTGGCACATTTTTGATTTTTGATTGTAGGTGAAACTTCTGAACATTTTGGATTGCCAAACTTTCAATTTTCGAATCTTACTTGCAAGATTCACGTGGCATTTCCATGCATGCTTCGACGCATTTTTGAACCGAAAGACCTTTTAGGGACAAAAGAGGGCGAGCCAGAAGTGATTTTTGCGACGATTTCTCGAAACATTCGAGGTTTGCAGAAGAAACGAGGTACGGCAGAACTAGCAATAATATATGGTAATGCATCTAAATGACCTTGTATGGACACTGTCACACTGTACGAAGAAATCCGTGAATAAACAAAAAGTGGAAGGATAAGTAGCGTTTCAATTGAAGTGCTTAGATTTTGATGAGAAGTAATTTCTAGTATCGATATGGGACACAGTATGAAAAAAAATATACGGTTTCTGTCTAAATAAGATCATTTCAAGAGGATTTTCTTAACAGATTACAATCGTTTACACAAAATATCTGAATTGAGATAATTGACAATTTCCAATTATACTTTAATTCTAGGTTTTTTTGGGAATGGGGGAAAATCTTTTGGAATTGAAAGACAACATGTCTGTTTCAGTAATAATTTTTTTGATTCGTTAAATTCAAAAAATAGCATTAAAGCATGAAGCACTTTTTCAGAACCGAATTTATATTGTTCGTTTGCATAGCCAATTGAAAAGTTACAGTAGCAACACAAAAATAATAGTACTTGCAGAAAAATATTCAAGGCTGCTTACTTATATAGGAAACATTGACTCATAGTTTACAGTGGTCGTCCTTGAGTGCGATTGTATGCGAGCAAAATTGAAAGTTTCGCGATAAATTATTGACCTTGGAAGCCTTACTTGTATTGGTTTGTTGCTTGAGTGCCTAGAAAACACTGTACATCCATAGAACATTTTTATTAGTGTTCGTAAATCAACAAATTTGTTTAAAATTCGAGATCTACAAAATTGAAATAAATACAAAATACAAAAATATTTCCAGGAGTATTATCTACAGATTTTGCAACGTTTTAGATTCTCGAATCTGCAACTTTGTCGATCGAAAGAGCTTCGAGCTCCTTGGCCACATCCTTCTTCGGCTTCCCATTTGGCGGTTTCGGTCCCTTCTTAGTATCTTAAAAGTTTTATTTTTCAATTAAAAATCAGCCGAAAGTTGAAATCTTACATTGCTTTCCTTGTCGGTGCTCTTTTCCTTTGGCTCTTTGTTGAGCTAGTGTTTCTTGAGGAACAACCGACACAACTTGCCCAACAGCCTTAGTACGACCTTCTCGGAAAACCATTCGAGTTCCTTCAAAATATTAAATCCGTTTTAAAATTGTGTTTATTTGGCACCTGGTCGAATATACTCAGGTTGTCGGATGAATTTGAACTGCACTTTATCTCGGTCTCCAGTTCTCAAAACTTCCTAAAACAATTTATTCAGCAATTATATCATAGCGAATAATCGAAATAATAAATCGTGTGGTTACAAATTTCCGTTCCGTGCTCTAGCAACAATTTTTGATTTGAATAAGAAAGAAGTGCATAAAAATCAAAATGTATCACAGATACCCAAAAGGCGTAAGAATAATTGTTCCTTTCACGATAAGGAGAAATGACAATGTGTAGGATCGCTCAAATTTATTTTTTTTCAATCTATGGGTCTTTGGTAATATGCGTTTTAAATTATATCTCCAAAAGATTTAATATTATTACTGACTTTATCAACTAATAGCCAAATATTGATACCTTAGTTGTACTGATGAGTGTAGCCGTTTGTCGAATCGAACCAATATGAAGCATAGCTTGATAGTTAGTTTTAATTGTAGTAGGATGATGAAGAATGAGAATCTGACATTGTGGATTTTTATGAATTTCCTAAAATCTGAGCTACCTCTGCTTCGAATACCATGCTAGATTTCGGATTTGTTTTCGGATCAACCATCACCATTCCTTTTCGCACTTCTTTTTTCGTAATTTTTCTCAACGCGAATGAAGCAGTTTGACCGCATCGAACAGAAGTCACAGGCATTCTTTTTCTGAATGAAAAAAAAAAATCGTTTTGTGATTCAAAAATAGGAATTGTTACAATTAAAAACAACGAGCACTTTCTTCATATTTGCGGGGAAATTGATTCGCATGGTACCCGTAGTACCATGGTTGTCAAAAAAATAAAGCCTCTGGAGCGGCCCTGACAAAGAACAAACTCTGTTCGTCCGAGCCCCCCGTGGATCCCCTTTTTGAATTGTGCTCGTTTTTTTGTGATGGAAATTGTAAAAAAAACACAAAATGTACCTGTGAATAGACTTTACCGGCAGAGGAATGAAATCACCAGTTGAGGTTGGACCAAGGAGAAGAACGTCGTTCACCTTGATTTAAAAAATGACAAGCTTAAAAGCGAGGTTTAGATTACATTAACAGTTCCAGCCAGCATCGTTCCACTCACAACTGTTCCAACACCTTCAACCCAATAAACGTCATCAATCTGATAGAGTAATATATATATATATGAAAATGAAAATGTGCGTAGAATTTAAAACCTGAAAATGGGCAGCATCATTCTCACAAAGTTCTCGGCGGAGTGGAACAATGTTTAAAAATTGTCTAAGAAGGGGAAGATTGGTTCCTTCAACGTTCGAAACCTGGAAAATCGGGCAAACTCTGCAAATGAAAAGTTATTGATAAAATTGAAGGAGAGCGAGGAAACCGATTGCTTGGAAAATTCGAAGCGGCGTGAATGACATCGTCGAGATTGCGCACAATGACAGGCATTTTTTTTGCGCCTAAATTTCTAGAAATGTTTTAAAGTATTATATGATATATGACAAACTTTTAACAAGTCTGGCAATGTTTTTCATTGTTTCCTCAAGAATTTGGGGTGGACACATATCAATTTTGGTAACAACAAGATATACAGGAACAGCTAGTGAAAGTGCAAGCGACAAATGCTCTTTGGTGGTTCCGATAATACCCATATTTGCACCGATCTGTAAAAATCTAAATAAATTACACAAAAGAAATGAAATTTGAAATCTACCATAAGCATTGTGTAATCGGGCATATGCCCCGTCATTCCAAAAATAGTCGTCTTGAGGTATTTCTCGTGTCCCGCAAGGTCAATGAATGTGATTAACTAAAATATTGAGTTATCAATGATATTATATTTGAAAAATTGCCTTGCTGCATTCCTTTGAAATCTGTACCCAGTCAAGGTTATGATTATGCGGATCAGGTTTATTGACAACTTCTCCATGAACATCGAAGCCAAGAATATCATTTCCAACTGACGAAGTTCGTCCTGATTCAAATTCATGCTTATGACTAAATATCATCAATTTTAAAAGACAACATAAAGATGATTTAAATACCGGAACAGCTTTGTTCGGGCCAAACCTCTTCCATCATCAAGAGCACTGTGCGTAAGTACTCCCAATAGTGTTGATTTTCCGGCGTCAACGTTTCCGACAACAGCGACCCGAACCTAGAACAAAAAATAATAAAAGGTTTCATTATTCTTTTTGCCCACCTCAGTGAAATCTTGTTCTTTTGGCGGGTCTCGAATCAACCAAACCTCGGTGAAACGATTATTTCTAGATGATCGGCGCTCTATTTTTGTTCCAATTGCGGGAATTGTCTAAAACTTTAATTGAAAAAGATTTATAGAAATTTCAAACCTCAAGAAGTTTATTATGAACTTCAATTGCTTTTTCTAGGTCTTTTTCAGTGAGACCTCCACCTTTAAATTGCAAATAGAAATAATTGAAACAAAGTTAAGAATACCTTTGGAATTTTTAGTGGCTCCAAGTACGGGAACCCCTATTTCAATGAGACATTCGCCTTCTCCTTTCACGAGAAGCGATTTCAAATGGATCGCATACTTTTCCATATCTTCTGGCTCATTCCTAACGAGGAAAGTTGAATCCAGTCCCGTTTTCTTCTTCTTTTCATCATCTTCATTATCCGATCCTATACAAATGTGTTATCTTTGAATAGTTTCATATTTGCTACGAAATAATACCATAAAGTGCACAAAGTCCGGCGGTTTTGCTCTCGGACATTCCATTTTGTATTCGATCCATGTTTAGTTAGTTTGAACACTGTAAATTTGCGATAAATTCAAAAAACACAATGACACGAATATAACGCGTGAGGGAAATTTGAAAGAAGTCTATTTCTAACAAATGACTGACGACTTGATTAAAGAGGGAATACGTCAAATAATTGCCGGAGGCTCAGCAGGTTGAATCAATTCCAAATAGAGAATTTCAGCAAAATTTCTAGGTCTCATTGAGGTCTGCACGCTCCACCCCCTCGATCTAGTGAAAACTCGTTTGCAACTTCCGAATAACAAGGGCATGATGCATTGCATTGCATCAACTTATAAGCATGAAGGAGTACTTGGATTTTATAAAGTATCACAAATCTGAAAAATATTTAAAAACAAATATTTAGGGAATAATTCCTCCAATTCTCGCGTCGACTCCAAAAACTGCAATCCGATTTTTAACCTATGAGCAATATAAGAAGGTTCTTTGTGATCCCGATGTTCATCCAACACTAGTAAATGATCAATATAGAAAACTTCTAATGAAATCAAATTTGAGGGTCTCTCAATGGCTGGGCTACTCTCCGGAATGACAGAAGCCGTTATAGTATGTCCACTTGACGTAGTCAAAGTTAATTTACAAGCCGACCACAGCGCAAAAGGGGTTCATTTGAATGAGTTTTCCGCCTTCAATCAGTTTTTTATAGAAAAATACTATTGAAATGGCGAAGAGCATTTATAATGAGAATGGGTTTGGTAGAAATGGCCTATACAGAGCGGTTTGGACAACAATGCTTCGAAATGGACTTTTTAATATGTTCTATTTCGGAATATATGATGGTTTTCAACCTAATCTACCAGATCCAAAGGTCTGAAATCCAATATTTCATTTTCAACCAAAAAATATTCTAGGACCATCCAACTGCGATCTTTTTTTCTAAGGTCTTGTTGGGATTCGTCGCCGGTGCAATTGGATCATGCAGTAATATACACTTAGACGTGGCAAAAACTAGGATCCAAGGGCCTCAACCAGACCCAAAAATTCGAAAATATTATGGAATGACACAAACAATTCGAGTGGTATATAACGAAGAAGGGTAAGACACCCTCTTTGAGTATTCTTTTATATTTGGATTATATAATAAGCAAGATGTTTGAATTAAAATTTAAATATTTATAATTTAAGAGCCCGAGCCCTATGCCGAGGTTTATTACCGAAAATAATGAGACTTGGACCGGGCGGTGCAATAATGATAATTGCCTACGAGCATATTGATGGATTCCTCAAACGTAGTTTTAACTGATATAAATGCTACTAACATTATAAATAAATATCCTGTGAAGACGGAAGTTCAAGCGACATTCGTATACAATAGAGTAGACAAACCGGTTTTTTTTTGAGATATCATGGAAGATATACAAATAAAAAGCTATAATAATAATGCCTGAAAATTCAAATATTCGAAATAAAAATTGTTGGGCAATATCGCGCAACATTTGTTGCGAAATATAGCGTAACATTACAAAAAGAAATTAAAATTATGAAAACAGCATACAATTGAATGCCACTGTTAGTGTGTCAACAATGTGTCAGTCATTCTCAAATATAAATCAATAAATTCTCAAATATATTGGTTATGGGTTTAACTATGTGAAAATAGTAAATTTGCAATTTTAAAAAACAGCTATGGCCTACGGCCTAACTTATAACCGACGGCCAGCTGGAATATTTTGAAATAAAAAACGAAAAAATGAAAAAATGAATTTCGAAATTTATTCGATATACAAACTCGCGAGAGAAATGGTGGTTTTCCTTTAACCGCAGAATTTTTTCAATTTTTTTTTTTCATAGAGGATTGTGTAGTTTTGCACAATTTTGACGCAATGTATACATTGTATTGATTATCATATACTTAGCGAAGTCCAATGCGGGATTAATGAACTATTTATGGTTTTTTTCGTGCAATTAAAAATGGTTTGAAAAATAACACATTTTTTTGCATCGACGTAAAAGTATGAACATTCGACGAGGAACTGTGTTGAGCTCGATTTACGAGTATGAATTTGTTGCGACCATCTCACGCGAATTCTATAGAGAATTAGCATTCTGGGATTCATATCCATATGGTTAATTTTGAAAGAAAAAACGCTGCAAGGAAATAACTAATTTAACAAGGACACCGAATATTAAAAAAATAAAATATATAAATATACGCCGTATTTAAAATTGCCGTAATTGGTATTATCCTCATTTTTGATGTTTTTGATATGCCGTCAGCTGCAATAGTTGAAGAATTTGTTGATTTCCTATTAGTTGTGGATTTTGAATAAGCTGATTTAAACGCTGAAATTAATGTTTAAAAATATTTCAGTATAACTCTATTATACCTCTGTGATTGAATTTAGTGATGGTGTCGATGTTCCTTGAACAGGCATGGTGCTGCTTTGAGAAAACATCGATTTGTTTAAACCAATTGGATTGGTTTTCGGCGCAGTCGCAATTGATGCTGAAGGACCATCGAGGCACTAAAGTATATATTAAAATCAATATTATTTCGAAATAACTGACCTGAATATCGTCGTCATCATCTTCCGTTATATCAATTGTTGGCGGCTTAGAAGAGGTTGAAAACTTTTTAAGAAACGGTTGCACAATCGATAAACTATCACAGTTTCCTATTTTTCGTTTCTTAAATTTAAAATTAAGTTTGAATTAGTTTCTAAAAACTATAACCTTCGGAATCGCCTTTCTTCTTGATGCCGCTTCTTGCGCCTGCTCGAGAGACATTCTATTTTTAAGGTTATCAACGCTTCCAAACAGTTTTTCGATCACATTTTGAACCCTTTTCTCAATTGCCAAAAGTAATCGACGATCTGTTTTATTTTGTCTTAAACAATCATATTGTCTCGGAAATAAAGAACAATAACAAACCGTTGAATATAAGTCCATAGTCTCCAAAGTTCTGTACGAACAACGACTGGAGCTGGCGATCTTGGCTTTTTAGGTAATTGGGAAGCACCTCCAGGCAGCGGCGACGGTGTGTTTCTGGCTGAAACAGCAACTATCTCGAAAATGACAAAATAACTTTAAAACCAGATTTCGGCAATTCGACAATCATAGCGTCAAGAGACAACAAAATGAATCGAACCAAAGTGAAGTACGAGGTCTTCTCAATAAATTGACTAAAAAATGAAAATTTTGTATGATTGATCTAAAAATGGAAAAATACTCGTCATCAAACACAATTGTGGTGATCATAGCCATCAGAATTGAAACCAAATTATGAAGATCATTTAGATCTCGAGTCAGTTTGATGCCCATACGAAGGCATCGCTCCACATGGTAACAAAATGATCCAGACCGGTTGATATCACTGCACGAGATTTCGACAACATTCTGAAAATACTCGTCCAATTTTTGAAGAAAACCCATTCATTTGGATAAAAAATTTCAAAACTCACATCAAATAGATTATCATCTTTCTTTTTCCTTCTGAATACATGCTTCAAAATCTGATCAGATGCTGCTTGGATACTGAAATCAATGGCCGTCCAACAATGTTGAACAAATAAAAAACTAACTCCCTATTTGAAAGATGCATCTGAGCAAGACGATAGTAAGATTTGATATGTGGAAAGCGTTCGCAAACAAGCTGAAATCAAATGAAACTAAAAATGCAAAATTGATTGATTTCGTTGTCTTACCGTGAACGCTTTAAAGCACATATCCTTCAAACTCTCCATAATTTCTAACTTCCTTTTAATATCTTCCATCTAATATTAAAATATTTTCATGAATTTATAATTTATGCGAAATACCGTTTCAGCTAGTTCAATATCAATTTCGTCTCTTTCCAAAGACATTTGCGTAACTTCGGAAATTAGGGTTTCAACAGTTTCACGCACTTCTGGCGGCATACTGAACATCGAATTTCCGCATTTTACAACTCGATGCCCTTCGGCAAATGTTTTCAAATATATTTCAATTTTTTCAAGCGTTTGCAATGGCGGATTATCTCTGAAATTGATAAAACAAAACTAAAATCACAATTGCGGTTATCCAAACTCTTCTTGAAGATATTTCCATACTGCAGAATGTGCCTGGTAATGAACTTCTAATGGTTCGAAATTCGTCTGCTTTTTGGAATTCACTTTCAACGGATAATAAAATCCAGCAAGTTCGCATCCGCATGCAGCTTCATAGAAGCATTCAACAACTTTCACGATGTCAGCATCTTCCTTTTTCGATTCCAATTTCGCAATAAAAAAGTAGCAAAGCCATTGGAATTCGGGCGGTGTTCCGTCCGAGGCTGGATGAGCCAGTGCCAAACATCGATCGAAATGAATACTTGCTTCTTCTCGAAGAATTTCAACATCAACTAAACGCTTTCGACGCAAATCGTCACTGGGAAGCTGAATAACGACGTATAAAATAATGGAAATATCGTTAAAAACACAAAACAAAAATACTCACATTATTCAAAAATCTGTCTAACGCAGTGGCCAATTGGTACATTGTAGCGGCCATTTCAAAATGAATAACTGCTTCGTGCTCTTGTGATTGCAGAGCAAGTCTAAACGGAGCAATTCTCCATCTCCACTGCTCGTATCTCTCAAACGACTCAAGTTGAAACAATTCGTGGACATGCTCATGGGCCAATATAACCCAAGCAGATGCTCGAAGACGATCGTCGTATGACGCTTCGTTACTTGTCAGGAACAACTGATGTAACAAAAGAATAGCATATTGTGCGAAATTCTGCAATTACCTCGGCATACTTCCTGGCATCGTCGTGAGAACCTTGACGATAAGCAGTTAGAGACATTGCATACCAAACGAGAGATTGCATCTCGTCCTCATCCCTTGTCTTGATTTTCTCGAGTTTTTCACTAAAATTCAACAAACTTTTAAATAGATAGAAATGATGATATTCTCACTTCAATTGTTCCGTTTGGAGCATTGATGAAGTCTTGAGAATATATTGAAATTTATCCACACATTCCTGTTTTTTATCGCAGACGTTGAGAAGAAATTCAAATTTGGATTGAATCAAATCGGATACATCATGTCCTAATCGTTCCTTCAATTCGCCCAAATAATACATATTTGAATAAACAACTATTGGTGAATACCTTATCATCATGTAGCGGAAGTGGTTGAACTAGAATGATTGGCAACACTTTTTTGGCAATTGCCCAATCTGTCTTGCAATTCGATGCGCTTTCATGATCTTCAGCAAGTTTTCGCTTCTTGCCATATTTTCTGTAGTTTTTTAATATTCAAGATCCCAATTGTAACAAAATACCCAAAGAGACAATAAAGACATTGCGCTATTTCTTGATTCATATTTGCCCAAATCCACAAATTCTCTTTCCTGCAATTCGAAAAAATTGAAAGAAAATTGAGAAATCGAAAGGATTTACTCAAATATTGCATCAAGTACAGGTATGTCATCAATCAGTTCGCGAAGTTCATCAATTATGAAAAATATGAATGAATACTGAAATATTATGGTCAAAAACAGATATTTAATTTGAGATACAATAGCCTACATTATTCTGTCCGCAGATGCGATATTCTCCGAGCTTTTCGTGAGCTTTTACAAGCAAATCTAAAGCAAGAGTCGGCATTGCCAAAGGATCCTCGTTTTTATCAAGATTTGATATATATTCAAGTATTGGAACATCTAAAATAGATTACTTTTATTTATAATTAAATATTTCTTCTCTTCCTTTCATAGCTTTCAAGATTTTATAAACAAGTTTCCAAATTTCGCAATTCTTTTCGAATTTCTCGAATTTTTCCATTAAGACAAGAAGAAAATATCCAATCGATCCTTTAACTTCCATTTCAATTTCAGACCAATCGATACAGAATAGCCTAAATGACATCAGTTTAATAATTTAAAATAGTAGGTAAAACTAACTGTTCAATCAAATTCTCGGAATACATTTCAGTTTTTTCATCAGACAAGCCGCGATTATCAACCAAATATAAATGAAAAACCCTGTAAAAACGAAAAAAAATAGTCGAAAGATGAAATTTAAAACATACCGAACAGCTAATTGAGTTAATTTTTTGAAGTCTTTAACTTTACTGTAGGCGTCGATCCAATATTTACATAATTCGCAAGTTTCTTCGTACTCAATCTTCGAAAAATCGATGTCATTTTCCATTATAGAAATAAGCTCAAAAAGAGAAATTACAAAATGAAATGTACAAAAATGAATACATCTTCGTGATTTTTTGATAATTGAAGTCGTTTAACGGATTCTATTCGTCGTTTCTTCTCAAGTTCCGCAATCGTCGCAAGAACATCTTTCGACTCAATTGCTCCTATGACATCCAAACCTTACTTGGTTACTTAAATTTCAAACTAAATACCATTCGCGGTAGAATAACAATCATTTCCTTCTTCGAACATATCTTGAAGACAATACAAGAAGTTCAATTTGACATCATCGTCGTTAATTCGGTTCACATGCGCCCAGAAAAATCTTGCTTTAATTTCGGCCAAATTGCTCGGCTCTTCTTCAATATCTTCTTTGTCGTACGAATCAAACAAAAATTTTTTAATGCAATATGAATGCGCTTCGTTTTCGCCAAGCTCGAGCATCATTATATGCAAATTCCAGAATTTCTTCTCAACCGCGTGATTTGTTATCAAGTTTAGTCTCCGATAGAGTTGAATTACAACCACGCGCAAGTTTTTTGGACAAGTTCCAGATGAAGGGCAGTGCTCAGAAAGAAGAACAAGAATTATTTCTGAGAGAGAGAGAGAGACGGCTTATTGTTAACATTTTAAAAAATATTTTACCTAAAATATCGATGATTGTGTAATAATCTGTATAAATTAACTTCGATCGTAATTCGTTCAAAAGTTTTTCTTCGTCAAAATATGAACTCTCCTTTTTCTTTTGTACATCATCCCTGCGAAAATGAATTGGTTTTCGCTGTTTTTTCATGAATAAAAATAATTACGCAGTATTATTCGTTTTTTCCAACATATTTCCTCTAATCGGCTGTATCGAAGAGCAGGATAAACCAAACATTTCAGCGATCTGAAAAATCAACTTTTTTTCCATTTAAACTTCTTTTTTCAAATAAAAAACCTCGGAAATTGGCAGGTGATTTTTTCCGGTGGATTGTGAACTGTCGTCTTCCGTATCTATAATTTCCTCGTCTTCGGTGTCTTCTTCGGGCTCTTGGAATAAGCGTTGCTTCCAATTTTGCATATATTCATGTCTTTTTTTCTTCTTTCTCGGAAACACATTTGCCGTTATATTTTCGACACACGAAACAACGTCAACTATCTCTTCTACTGCACTTTTGATGTCGAGAAATTCTTGGCGATCTTCCCAACTCGCGAATTTGATCGTTTGACGAAAAATCTGCAAGATATATACATAGAAGAAAAATATATCTTAAACAGTCAATACTCCATTAAGAAATTAAAATTTACAAAATTTTAAGCAAAAAAAAGAGACCAACCGAAGAATATCCTTGAATTCTATCAAATAAATCACAAAATATTGTGGCGACAGTAGACAAACTGAAAATAAAATACGAATTCCTTTTTTTTTTTTTTTAATATTACTCTTGATCAGCACTTATTTCGACTTCAATCGGCTCAAGAATGTCATCTTTAAGAAGTTCATCATTCATTTTATTCGCTTTGTCTTCAATAGAAATTTTCAATTCTACTAGTCGCTTTTCAAACTAAAAAGTATTCCTTTTTTAAAATATTGAAAAAATATTGATAAATTTACTTCAGCAAACTTCGTGGGATGAAGTTTTTCCAAATCAGTGTACACTTCATCTTCTTCGAATATTTTATCGCAGAGAGTTCTAAAAAAAGGTTTATTTTTTCATAGGACAATCGTTTAAAATTTACTGGTAATAATGGTTTGTAGATCGAATTTTTTGCTTCAAAAACATCATTTTGTCATTTAATTTGTCCACGGTTTCCTGATACATTTTGAGAACACTTAAGCATTCTGCAATATTACTGTGCTTCTAAAATTTGTTTGAATCGTTGAATACCATGATATTCGTGTGTCAAATACAGAACAGTTGCTCTCGCTTCCATTGATTCATTTTCATTTTCACATTTTTCGAAAGCGTATTTTGCATAATTCAAGTTACCACTTTCAACTGCTTTCATCGCAACATTGAACCAGATTTCAGTATTTTTTGGCTGATGAACCAAAACTTGCAAATAATGCTCGACTGCTTTTCTCGGTTCTGTGTGTCTCGCAAGATTCTTGTGTATTCCAATGTAGACTTGATGAACTTTGGATAGCCTCGTCGGTTCCTCGAGTGTTTCAAAGTTGATGTTTTCTCGATGCAAATGCGAAAGAATAGGATTTCTCAAAAGCTTCTCCATTATTTTTATTCCGCCGTCAACCTGTTTGTCAGCTATTAAAATAACAGCTTTTTCAAATTTTGCAATTATTTTGGCTTCCTGAATCAGATAAATCACCAAAAATTTGATTAGCGATCACAAATTACAGCAGCTTCACTTGTCAGCATTTCACCAGCTTCTTCGTCAGCTGTAGACCACGCGGACTCATCTGAATCCGAATCATCGTCGCTAGACTCATTTTCCGAAGACTCTTCGTCTTCATTAGATTCTTCTTCGTCTTCAGTAGATTCGTCCGATGATCCCGAACTTCCTTCCTTTTCAGTGTCACTTTCGAGAATTATCACTGATTTCTTGAATACGTTAATGGAATTTCAAAAATCTAAAAGCAAAAAATACTAATTTATACCTCATCATCTGACGATTCTTCTTCTTCATCGTCTACTGACTTACTAACCCTATTAGTTAGTTTCGACTGATTAATTATGTCATTGGAAGTTTCTTGTTTAACATTTGCGAGCATCCCTCTATAAGAAAATAAGCAATTTTGAATTTTATGAACAGAAATTAAGTTCGAACTAAAAACTCTTGAAATGAATGAAAAATTCGTCACAAATTTTTAAATTCCCATAGTTTTTATGCTAAAAGCTAGGCTACTACGACACTCCGATGAAACGTGCCGCCATGTTGCAGTTCCGTTGCAAGTGTCGCACGGATTTTGTTTTTCGTTATATATCGTCGAGGGCCCAAAATTTTCATCTTTTTTCCGTACTTTTATTGAATTTTTGCATGTTAACTTTCAATTTTTTGATAAAATGCTTGCGGACAGCTTTGTTTTATAATTTAAGACTTAATTTTTTATACTAAAAAAGTATAATCATGAAAATTTTTATTTTTTTCAGATAAGTTATATTTCCTGAAATTCTGTCGACGTCGCGTAAGAGCGGAAATTGGCTAAATGCCAAAAAAAAAACAATCGCAGCTGTCTTGGCGCAAAACTACAAGTGTAGATTTATGGCCTTAAGAGCAGGTTAAAGGCGAGCAGGTCAAAGGCGCGCACCGAAAGCTCTTAAGTTTGTTGAAATTTAGCCAATTTTCCGCAGTCACGCGACGTCGACAATATATTCGTTTTTGCCGTGTCGTAATCAATTGACTTTAAAAACTTGTGTCATAAATCTTTAATAATGTAACTTACCATATTCCGGAATCTATGAATTCAATTTCAGCGAAGCTCAACAAGTGGAAAAAATGCCTTTGGCTGTTGACTTGCTTCACCCAGATCCAGAGCTCGAAAGAAGACGCCACAAGCTGAAGCGTCTTGTTCAGCATCCAAACTCTTTCTTCATGGACGTGAAGTGCTCGGGATGCTACAAGGTAATTTCTTTGGATAAACAAGATTATTAAACAGGAATAAATTTTAAAGTTTTGAAATTATTTTTTCAATCGGATTCATTGTGTCAATTCAATTGGTAAAATTTCATTCATAACATAATTTAGGCGAAGAGTGTCAAAGTGAAAATTACGTTTCCGAAACACGTTGATAATTTCAGATCACCACCGTCTTCTCGCACGCCACTACTGTCGTTGTCTGCGTCGGATGTAACACCGTCCTTTGCCAGCCAACCAGAGGAAAGGCCAAGCTTACCGAGGGATGCTCCTTCCGTAAGAAGCAATAAATACTTCGTTATTGTTACATAAATTGTTCTGTTCACGAAAGCTGTATATAATCATAAATATAAGGAGATAGAGTAGAAACAACAAACAACTTTATCGAGCTATAACTAATGAATAAGTTGAACGGAGATCATTTTACTATCGTAATGTTTGAAGGGGTGTGCACGTTCGCTTCGTGAATCGGTTGAAAACGGTGTTCCTTTCGAGCTAAATCTCGAGCAATGTCTCTTTTAGTAAACTGAAAAACAAATTTAAACAAGTAAATAAGTCGGATTTATTACTTGTTTTGTTTCTTCGAATAGTTTAAGTTGCTTATAACTCGAAACGTGGGCGGTTTCAGTAATTTCGCATTTTCCATTGGGATGTAACTTCATCGAATAAATGTCATCCTCAGAAGGTTCTCCATTGACAAAATCAACTGGTCGGATTTCGATGAGGTGCTTTATTGTCCACAATTCTTCGTTGACAAGCGGGCTATTGCGAAAAATTTCCATTCTTCCCACCTGCAGAAATCAATGTGTATTGTTGTACCATGGTATCGAATGAAAAAAAAAAAACAATGGCAGCGATCTTGGCGCATAACTAAGTGTAGATAAACGGGTCCAAGTATAAAGATAGATTAAAGGCGCGCACCGAGACTTCTTTTAAATTTTTTTGCATTTCGCCAATTTTCAGTAGCTGCGTGACATCCACATTACGATAAAATTAAAATATCACCTTGTAATCTTTTCCGAATATTTTTTCAACTCGTTCTTTTGTCCACTTCGGCTCACCGGAAACATTTCGGTAAAGCCAAGCCATCCAAAGTTTCGGTGCATTTTCCGAAGCCTAATTCAAGTTTTTAGTTAATGAACATGATCACAAAGTATAAAAAAAATTACTTCGTCAATTTTCATATCATAAATATGTTCTTTCACAGCATCGTTTCTACGTGGAAGATAACGAGTCCAACGGTTGTCTGGTCGGTAAACCCAGCGATCTAAAAAGGTATTATCGATGAACGAATTCGACGAGGAGTCTTTTGTATAAATCCTATTGCCGACGGCAAACGACATAAATGAGGCAAGGACTTCAAATTTGCGAAATTATTGTAGATTTAAATTTATTGCTGCGTGAATATTAATATTTACGGGCTTAGACATAAAGATAGGTCAAATTCGCGCACCGAGAGCTCTTGTTAGATTTGTTGGAATATTGTCAATTTTCGTAGTCGCGCGACGTCTGTACATATATGTATAATCGCAGGCAGGATTGTCCTAAGAGATTATAACATAATATGAAAGTGTCTCACTAGTATACAAACTTTTTTTTAAGAAAAGCATTTTAAAAGAAGATTAATTGGTTCGAAATTAAATCTGTGTAAATTTGCAATTCAGTCGAAAGCCAATAAAAAAAAAAAAGAATAAACTCACTTCTGATAACTTTTGCCATTCTTTGATCTGAAATAATGGTTTACTCAATTACACAGAATCATGGAATAATAAGATATTTAAATGAAGAATTAACTCCGAATATTGTTCGAAAATAAATGGTAAACACAAATAATTTATTTTGTGCGAATTGTACCGAATGCGTAAATTTTACTGGTTTCAATGAAATATTTGAGGAGGCTCGAGTTGCAGAAGATGTTCGAAATCTATCGAATTGAAGAAGTCGTGCGCGACTATCTGAGCATACGTGTAACGAGCTAATGGCTGAAAATCACAATAGTGAAAACATGGATATATATAGGCATAAAATTTTTTACATCGAGAACGAGTAAGTTGCTAATTAGGTGTTTGGCATCAACATCAAAATCATCGGGGAATTTGAATAAAACATCAGTGACCCGTTTGAAAATCAGGTACTCTGATTCATCATGGAACGCATGATCACCGGTGATGAATTGGTAAAGAACAACACCGAAGGACCACAAATCACTCGATGGTGTCATCTCTTCGCCTTTCAACATCTAATAAAGAAAAAAAATATTTAGAAAAACGTCGATTTGAACCTCAGGTGCGACGTATTGCGCGGTACCAACGAAGGAACACCGTCGAGGAGTTGAACTAGAAGAAGAAGAACAAGAAGTTTCTTCGTTTTCATTAAGGAATGCAGCAGATCCAAAATCACTCAGAATTATTTTCCCGTTTTCCTTGACCAGAATATTTTCAGGCTTAACATCTCTATGAAGAACTCCATGAGTATGCAAATGGTCTGAAATCGGCAACATAATTCCTTCATCTAAAGTTTTGCTATATTGAACTTACTTAACGCGTCTAATAAAACGGCCGCATAATATTTTGAATGTTCAACGGTGAAACATTTGTTTTCTTGTTTTAGCATAATATGTAATAAATCTCCATCTGTATAGAATAATTTAAATTAATAGTAACACTGAGTTCATACGCTTTGCATAAGTAAGTGCGAAATATAAATTTTCAGCGTCTTGAAATGTTGCGTATAACGTGACAATTGAATGATGCAAATTTTCTTTTATTGAGAGTTGTGCTAATACTTCTTTTTCTCTATGCACATATTTCACCTGAAATTGTTTCCAGCATATAAGAAAATTAAAAAAAAAGAAAAACAAACTCGTTTGTCCCTAATGATTTGCTTTTTAAGACACACTTTTATCGCAACATCTCGTTTTTTTTCATCTTTCTCTTTGGCATGGTATACTATGCTAAAAGAACCTTCTCCTATCTCTTTGAGTACCTAAAAGTTCAAATGATATGTACTGTTAAGATGGATATCGTCCCGAGAAATTCGTTTTTTTTGTTTCCGTATCCGATTGACAATTTGTTTTTAGAGTTACCAGAGCGCCGAAATAAGCAAAACACTTACTGTATAATCGGCGATGGAACGGTGCTTCGATCTCGATTCAATTGATCCACTGGGCTGCGATAAACTCAGTGGAACATCCATTCACCTAATATAAATGATAATTTTTTATAATTAATTTTATTTTAAGGCGAAGTGTAACGTGATTACTCGATTATTATTCACAAAAACATGTGTGCTCATGTTTCTCAATAGTTCACGATCCAAATAGTATATAGAAGATGAGCCCAAAACTTTTAAAGATTGAAAAGAAATATGTAAAAATCGATTATTCCAGTACAAAGTTAAATTGAAAAAAAAAATCATAAATTACGCCAGTTGATCACAATTTTTGCGTCAGTGTTTGTAGGGCTAGCGCTTCTTTTCGGCAGTGCGGTTCGCAGTTTCGAACAGCTCGAGATAGTTGTGCAGAATTTGCGCAGACAATCAGCTACTCTTATATTAAACTACGGGAGCTCTTCTGAAGGTCTTCTCAAACTCTGTAGAAACGCTGAAGTCTGCTCAATTTCGACTTTCCCGAAAGGTTAGAAGGATGAAACTCACCATATCCCGAATGTTTCACTGATTACGGTAACTCGATCATCGAATTGCGTGGATCCCGCGACACCTGGATGCATTTGTCATTTCTCAACAATACAATTAAATCCACACCGCACGAAGTACTCTGAAATAAGCTTAAATAACTGACCCGCTATTTTTTGCATAAAAATTGGAGCAAAGTCGGAGGAAGTTCTATGAAAGATTTTTGAGTGTCTGGACACAATCTGCAAAGCCACTAAGCAAATTTTGTTAAATAACTGAAAATCTGCTCACACGGCAGGTCATCTTACATCCCGTTTTGGAATTTTTTTTGTAACTTTGCACACTTACCCTAGAAGGTCTCCCTTGAATTTTCAGACAGCCATAACTCATCTGAAAGTAAACTTGTCGGATCCGATTGTGGACGCCTATTCATATAAGCATTTGAGAATCTCTCTCTCTCTCTCCCTCTCGGATTATCGTTGAAACTGATTTTGGTTAACAAGAATGATTGTAGTAAATAATACAATAACCTCTTCAACATCGTCAAAGTTTGTTTTGTAATCAATTACAGCTTTGATTAGCTCAATTTTACGGTTATAATAAACCGCAAGAGTAGTGAATTGGCGTGTGATTTTAATGTGAACAAGCGACCGGATGGTGAACATTTCGCATTCTCGCAGTAATTTCTCATCCGTTTATAGCAAAAAGTTGATTGTTGTCTTCATTTTTTCGAGTTTATTTTTCCATTGTTGTTTTGACTTCTCGACAAACGCGAGCGGATCTCAAATTTCCACTTGATTTTTCAATTGCATTTTTTGTCGGCATATTTTCATTTTCCATATTTACGTAATATTTCTGTTGTACCCAATTTCCGAACATATTCTGTACATATATGTATAATCGCAGGCAGGATTGTCCTTTCTTGTATTACTATAGTTTTACGAGCGGCCGTAATCTCCGATTAATATAAATTACAATAATTCGGAAAAAGTATAGCACTTGACATGTTTCACTTGGTTAACTTTCTTGTTCGATTTATTTATATATTTGCCAAATAAACACTAGAATATCTAAAATAATAATAGTAATTATATGCACATCAGTTTTAATAATGGTTTTTTTTTTGAGGAAACAACCTCAAATCCTCATTTATTATGCGAAAAGGTGCCTAAAACGACCTTTCATGTTTCTCGAATTCACATTAAATTAAATGGTTCGTTTCATATGCCAAAATGTGAATTTGTGTTCGAGGTCATTTTATCCATGCACTGCGAAAAATCGTCTGATTCAAGCTTTAGTTTTGTATACATCTATGTATTGCATATGCATATTCGGGTATTTCCGGTATAATTTCGCCGTATTAATTCACACCTCCGCGTGTCTTTTTTCTCTTTTATGGAACGGCGCGCGACAAAATTAGTTTAATTACCAAAAACTTACGCTTTCTTTGTGGAAGAAGGCAAAAAAAAACTTGAAAGAATCATCGCTACCCGGGTTTTTCTAAACTTCGAACTTCCGAAATTTCTTTCAAAACACAAAAATCGAAAATGTGCTTCGATCTTGGGCATTCATCCTCGAAAATTCCAAAGGGGTATCAGTTTATTGTTTGCTCTCGTTTTTGTTGTATTGTTTTGACGCCCGGCATCTTTCCGGACGTCTGTCGCGCGCACTGTCTCGCCTAATCCGTATTGGCGCGGCTGCCCACAGAGCTTAATCCAAAAATTGTCGCATAGATTTCATCGTGTCCTCAATGTTTGTTCAATCATTTTTTTTATTCAATAAATTCGCCGTTATGTTTTTCAAGATTGCATATGCCAAACGAGTTCAATTTGCTCAACCAAAATTTCAGATCGCCGTGTTCGTATGATTCTGAATCGAGCACCTCTTCCACAAAATCCAAAATCATTCAATCTGATTTCCATTGATTCCGACTGTACGCAGTGTTCAAACATCGCAATATTGAATTTGGTTTAGCAAGTAAACTTACTCGATTAGCATGCCAAAATAGGTTTTTGGCAACACTCGAAAAGCTAAACCATCGGCGAAAACAAGTTCCGCATCGCTTTCACCGAAATCAACAAATTGAGGTTTAATGTGTCGTGTCCTCTCTGCCGTACTGCTTTTTGTTGGCATATGGTGATCGGATTCCATTCAAGACTCATTTGAGCGTTTTGTCACAAATCGGACCGTCCGCTTTTTTTCGAAATATTGTCTAATTATGGACGAGAAGGTTAATTCGCACCAACGTTTTCAGGAGAAATTGAAAGATCTTCGAATCGTGGCTCAATTTTATGAATTGCGTGCTATGTCAAATCGACCTTTCTGATTTTCAATTTTTCTCGAAATTATGTTGATAATAATTTCCGAAAATATCATATATCGGTTGCTTTGATGTTTTTTTCGCTTTTTTACAAGGCGCTCCTTCAATGCTCATTGAGGCCGTTTTGCGCGATTTGTAAGACGGCGCAAATACGCAAACAGACAAACACTAAACATTGCCTTTTTTGGATGTTCGTTTGTAGGACTTGGAGCAGCAAAAAACAACAAACCGATAGCTGTCGTCTTGTCGAACAATTCGTGTTTCTTGTTGCTCGGCACGCGATGTGTCAATGTTGAATTCTTCAATACTTTTTTTTCTTCGATCTCCTATGATCTTTTCTCCAAAAATACACTATAAATTATTATTTGCAATACTTTTATTCAATATTCGATCTATTCAATATGCCGATTATAATATACAAATTCATAACAACTCTTAAAAATTGGAAATTTTTCAAAAATTGTCCGAAACAAAGTCAAAATTAAACTAGAGACTCAATATTGACCTCATTATTCCAACAAATTGCTACGAAGAAACACCGACTATAGCCATACATAATTAGCCTCCGATAGTATGGTTTTCACTTAACTATGTGAACATTGCGGTAGTTTCGAATCACAAAAAAAGAAACGATTTCAATGATTGAACCGCAAGCAATTTCATCCGATTTTTCGAAACATTTGATTTTGTGTGATCGACCATCTAACTAGTTATAATATGTGTCGAATGCGTTGTCTTCAGTCGCCGTTTTTCCCGAACTGCTGCCACCTGCTAGTCATTCTCATTGTCATGCAGATTTGTCACACTATTATATATCAATTTCAGTTTCTATATGTACATGCCGGTCTTATTTTGTTTGTGTACATTCGTTTCCATATTATAGTTTCGAGCTAACAAAATAGCTTTTGATTATTCGAGTTTTGAAAAATAGGAAATCAAACAAAATGAAGAAAGTTTCATAAAATTTCAGGAAAATTCATTGTGTTTTATATGCAGTTTTAAACATTCGATATCTTTAATGAGCAAGAAATAATTTACTTGCAAAAAAAAAAATTAATTTGTTGGTTTTTTCATCAATCAGGAATATATGTATTTATAATTGCTGATATCTCATCATATTTATAATTACAGAAAATGAATATCCGATATCTCCTAAAAAAACAAGTTTTAACACTTTTGAAATTGAATATTTCATGCAAGAAAATTGAGTGGCGATTTTTTTCTCAATTCCACCGGCAATTCTCAAACCTTTTTTATTTTTGAATTTTCAACAAGACGATAATTTTGTGCCAAAAAGCTAATATGATCGGAAGGTGTGCTTTTGAACGTGTGAACTCCGAAACATTTTCCAAATATTTCACATATTTTTGAGAATTGCCTTTTTGACACATTTCTAGTTCGACTTTCAAGCCATTCCAGTTTTTTCGCGTCAACTCTCGAGTAAACCAATGCCCAAAAAACGTGTTATTCGAAATCTGTGCTGCAAATATGGGCAGGTTAGTGCTCCTGTTGTTCACAATTCGACGAGACACCATTGGCGACGACGAGACACCGGCGAGTATTTGATCGGAAATCGCTCGCGGCGGCGGCGGCGGCGCCAACGAGAAGCTTGGCCCGGTTACGCGCGGTTTTCACGCGAAAATGCTGGTTCTGTTGCGTTTAGACGTGGTGTGCCAATGAGTTGACGATTGACCGCTTCCTTCCTTCGTTTATTTTCTCCTAATTCCCTTTGTTCGAGCATCATTCGCAAATGATTGTGTGCCAAGGCGAAATTTGATCATTTCGTCGTTGAGGCAACTCAACTTTTTTCAGCCCCCACCCCATTTCCTAATATTTCCACTATTCTTGTGGTCTTCTCATTCAAGATTATTTACAACCATCGACAGCATAAACAATGACGAATTTTCTTGTGATTTTATGCAATAATTACCCATCTATAAGGTTAATCGCCTCCTCATCGCCTACCGTAATCCGTCCGGTCACGTTTGGCGGACTGCCAAAATTGTTCGCGATTTATGTTTCTTCGAATAATGTCTGCAAGTTGTAAATTTTACGAGATGCTTCAAGGCTACTTGTATGTACGCAATCGAACGATTTTCGGCGAATTGTACAAAGATCAAGCAGGCAATTTAAGGCTCTCAAAAAAAATCATCGAGCTGCCGTCGTGAATCGAATTTTTCGAAATATTCTTAGTCGGATTTGTTCACTTAAACGACATCTTCGACAGTTCAATTAATCCTTTTAAAAATATCATCCAAAATTAATTATGATTCAAATATCAAAATTTAAAAATCAGCTTAATTAGTAATGAATAACAATTTGCTTGAAAAACTTCGCCCGATTCCTGGCCGCTAAATTTCGCCGCACATCCCTGTTGTTTCCAATAAAATATTCAAATGAAATTCAACAGTTTCGACAATATTATCCCTCATATTAATTCATTGCATATTTTTTTTTACATTTACTGTAAAACTGTTTCCAATAACGCACACACACACACATTTTGTATTCCCATAATTGTCGAGGTCCATCCCGCCTCCTTCCTCTTGGTGCGGAAATCGAGACAGACACTGGGTCTCATGGTCATCGAATCAATGCGAATAATTTGGTGCTTCACATTCATATTCAAATTGATGCCGCGGCATCACCGAACAGGTCAAGGTTCTTCGCACATGTTTTTCTATCAGTTTGATCCGATTCGGTCAAATCCGCTACAATCAAGTCCACTTGGCCTAAGCATTTTTGAAGCATCTCGACTTTTCAATCAAATTCTTGTTTTTTTTTTCATTCATAATCCCATCGTTTTCTATTGAATATCGGATGATTTTTTCATTGGTTGGTCTTCGGCTTCATATTTCTGAGATTTGACCACCCGTACTTGTGAAATGTCTGATATTCGTGTCCATGTGATATACATACATATATTGTTGTCGATTCGTTTCGTTTTTTCCGCCAATGTCGCATTGTCTTTCCGTTCCGCTTGCCGCTCGCATTATGTGGATTTCTTCAGCTTTTCGTCCATCCGTGTCACTTTAACGTCTTTTTGGTGGATCGAACGAGAAAAACTAAACAACATTTGAATAGCTTCTTTCATTTCCTTACCTATTCAATCTTACGTGATTCTCGTTCCTGCAATCCTTGACATAATACGTTTTTTGAAAGAATTTCAAAACACTTTAAAAGTTATTATTGAATAGCACAAATATTGAAAATTCCGAATTTCCACACTCCACAAAATGATTTCCATACGAGACCCTTTAAAAGAGAAGCATTTCAGAGTTCCAGGTATTTTCAATTCATATCTCCACAAATTCATCGCTTCCCGAATTGATAAATCATTTTTATGTCGATTTTTTTGACGTTTTCCTCAACATCATTTTCAGATTATCGAGTTTTTCTCGTTCATCGAAACCAATTAAAACTTTCGATGAAATGACCTTTCCCATCAAAATGCTTCCATTTTTTGCCTTTTGACGAACTGAAACATCCCGCATAATTCCAGGTTTTCTCTCCGATGTATGCTATATATAAATGAGAGTCTCGTTCTGTTTTGTTCGCCAAGATTTTCATTTTTTCCCCCCAAATTTCTTCTTCTTTTTCTTCTACTTCTATTCGGTTTGCACGTAAGAAACATCCCAAAATACTGGAAATGCAAAGAAGAAGAAGAAGAAGATGCAGAAGAAGCATAAGGTAGACGACACTTGCTACTTGAACTCCAGTCGCGATAAACACTTGAGAAGTTTTTTTCTCTGTTTTCAGAGAAGCAAAAAATGCAAGCAAAACACATTAAAAAGTTGCATAAGACTCGCATAAAATTTTCAATTTTGAATAATAATGAATGGCGGCCGGATCCGATTCAACATTCTTGGTTACTGTAGTTTTCTTAACGCAACGATCAACGATCAACATAATCCCTTTGTGGCGTCTCCAAAAAATGAAATTAATTCATTGCGCCATTCCATATTGGAATTCTTAATCCGAGTCGAGTTTCTCCGATGGCTTCGTACTGTCTCGCGAGACTACCTGCTGGCACATTATTCAAGAAAAAATACGCAACTGCTGTGTGTTGTACTACTTCCCTTCTGTATTTGTTTCTTATCGTGGTTTTGTTTCGCGCTTGTTGTTGTTGTTGTTGTTGTTTTCTGGCAAAAAGTAAACAATCTACTACAGCTATTTCTCCATCGGCCTCTCACTTTCGTTTTTCATATGTATACTATTCTTCCGGTCGCTGAAATATTTCCAGAAGTCTACTAAAACTCTCAACTAAGATAATGAGAAAAAATTGTTAAATCTGATTTTCTTGTATTGTCATTTTCAGTGTAAAATGTTTTTCTTTTCAGGAAAAATGGAATTGATTGAAGATTGGGTTGATCGCGCAATGTCTTGTTTCTACAGAGACAGGTATTATTAGATTTTTAGCTGTTAGGATAAAATCCGAATTTGTTAGGGACAAGGATGATCCGGAAAAAAGAGAAAACTCGCGATCGGAAGTCGCGATTTACCCAATAAGTCTGGATCCAGCAAAAGTGAATAAGGATTTTGAATGTCTTGTGGTGAGGAAACAAACAAGACTCCGTTGCTCAAATCATTGTGTTTCAGAAAGAGCTTGGGCTCAGCGATGAGAAGCAGCAGGAAATGAACGATTATTCGATAGAGAAGAAAATGTCGTTGTTGGTTTCTCAAAATGTAAGATTTAATTAATAATTCTAATTTTTTTGAATTATCTTCTTGTCTTCCTAAGACATCGAACATCAAAACAATGAAGGAATGTGGTGCAGCTCTCAAGAGAGACTTAAGCGAGGGTGCGAACTCAAATATTTGCCTATATTAATTTCGAAACAATTCAATTTGCAAAATTGCACCCGCGCAAGCGCTAAAACGAGCATCATACTCATCAATTCGATTATCTGTTGACATTTGCCAGATTGAACGATGCGCAAGTGCCTGCCATTTTCACTGTTCACTTTCCATTTTGCAGGGCTTACAAACCGAAGACGCTGCTCAATTCATACAGTTTCTCGAGCAGCTCAACAATTCGTTTATCGTCGATTCGAACACGTTGCGACAACTCCAAGAACTTGTCATTTCCTTAAGAACTCAAAGTTTCAGGTGAGAGCGACCTCAGAAAATGAAGCATTCATATTGAAACCCGGAGAGCGAACCATTTAAATAGATTAATTTCGATGCAATTTCAAGTCCCATTAAATTATTTGATGCATTTGAAATCAAACTAATATGTTTGTGAATGTTATGTTGCGAGTTGTGCATGCTCCAGCTCGCCACCCTCTCCATTTAACGCGCTTTTCACCCCGCCATTCACCAATTGTTGGTGCCAGACGTGCGCCATAAAACTGTGGGTGGGTGTCAAATGTGTTTATCAGATTTTGCACCCCGTCGCCACCAATTTCATTTATGTTTCAGTTACTTGGAGAGCTTTCTATCGCAATCGGGCCTCTCTCTACTCACTCAATTGTTGGACAAGTGTCATCTACAGTATTCGTTGGAGCAACCTGCCTTGTTTTTTCTATACGCTCTGCGGGCTTTGCTCAATTCGCCGGTAAGCAATTGAGACCAATTTCAAGACATAATGGAAAAATTATAATAAAAGAGAAGAAAATAAGAACCCGGAAAAAACGAAATGTTATGAACACTCTAGTACCGATATCAATGACGTAGACGTAGTGTTAACACAAGCACACTCGAACCCGGGCACTAATCCTCGATTTCGGCAAAAAATGAACATGGTGTAACCGGCCGACAGGAGTGTTCTTTCCTCGCGCCCAACCCAAATTCCCTTATTCGATCAGTCGCCTATATTATCGAGTTTGTTTGCAGAACGGCCGTACTGCAGTTCTACAGGACGAGAATGTGCTTCTGAATATCGCGCGAGCCGTCGATTTTCGCGATTTCAAGTGTAAAGTGAGTCTTTTTTTGGGGCGACCGCTATTTTTTTCCGAGTGGTAATTGTAAATAATCATCCGGTTTTCCGGCATTCAATTTGAAAAAAAAGTTAACCCGGCGTATCGAACTCATCGAGAATGCCTCCAATTCAATCTCTTTTGAGTTGTGAATTCAACAAAATTGTCAACTCGAATTATAGAATTTCGAATTAATATTATTATTTATTCAAACGTTTGTTTTCTTGTTGTCAGCTAGCTTCACCCCCGCAAAAATGATTTTCGATAAGAGCAAAACCGAAAACATTGTATAGTTTTACGTGATAATTTCCATTGTCTCTGTTGTCTTTGTTTGAATTTATTCGACGTTTTTTTTTGCTGGCGACAATTTGTCGACGTTCGTTTTCGATTTGTGTCATATCCAAGCCGGCATTCACATTCCAATAGTTTTACCCGAAATTGTTCGAGTAATTGCAAATCGGCCGCATTGTTTTCTATCACATTACCGACGTACCGTTTATCCGCGGCTCATAGTTTTCCAAATTCATTTCTATTCTTAATTCGCCCATTTTCGAGACAATAATTGTTGTTGTTGCTTCTGTGGAGCATTTAAGGTTTGTCCTCGCTCAATTTGTTGCTCTTTAATATTTTATTCGAATCAAACTCAACGCGTTCTCTTCTTTCTTATTTCGTTGCTTGTTTTATTTGCGGAAAAAAAATTGCGGCATGAAATCTTGTCAAATTGTAAACTAAAATAACCGTATAATCCCCTTTTCGGGGTTGGTCTTGTCGCGATCCAATTATCTCTAGATTTGGAATTTCGGAACGGTTCGGACTAGGGAAAGTGTATCCGTTTTTATCACACTTTGTCTTCAGGAAATCGCGCCTTCTTACCGATTTTCGGATCAACACATTCTATCCGATAACCCCTTCTTAATTATTGTTTTCGATTTTAGTTTATTATGTATGTAATTAGTGTCTTTAGAATCTGAAAATAATTAATATTTCGCTAGAAGAATTTTTCGAGAGATTTTTGAAAGATTTTGATAGCGTATTTTCCTTAAATCGAGGTTAATGATAGCAATTTGCAAAAATGGGGATAACAACCGCCGATAATCGCGCAAACTAGTAGATTATTGCGCAAGTATGTACTATGTACTAATAATTAGGCCAATTAGTTGAAATTAGAGACGAACACGATCAAGTAACTGATACAATCATGTTCGAGGAGCACGCGTTCTCTGCGTCTCTCCCCCCAGCGCACTGTTTGCGCTCGTCGTTGCGCACCTGCAAAATGTCTGTGGCCAGCACTCATTCATTCCAAAACTATATTGACTTTGACTATATTAGTGATTAATAATTCCGTTAACTGTGCATTAATAGAATGCTCTCCAGCTCGCAAAGCGTCTTTTTAAAACTAATATTCGTCGCCTCAAATGCATCGCTTATCATTTTGATATTCTTCGAAAATCTAAAAGAATGGCAGAATGCATTGGTAATACAAGAAAAAATAAAAATCAAAAATTGATATGTATTAATAAGTCTTGAATTTTCAGATAGTCGCCATCGAAATATTGGCGGGTTTGTGTTTTATTCCCGAAGAAGGACACGTTCAAGTGTTGAAGGCGCTTACACAGGTGAGCGAACAAAAAAAATACGAAAAATTCATTGCAAAATTATGTAAATGAGCAATTAAATTGCCAATTAATTTTAATGTGATGTGATTACCTTGTATAAAAATTCAAAATTTTTCTCGATTTTTAATTGTTTCAACAAACCGACAGCATGTCAACTGTTTCAAAGTGGTCCACGCAAGCCGTAAGTCTGATTAGTCAGCAATTCATGCTCGCTAAACAATTTAATCAATTATAATGTTGAACAGTTTTGTATTGATTTTGCTGACGCATTCTTTAGCTGATTCAAGGCAATATATTCATGCTGTAAAACAGGAATATCAACGAAATTCCCCCCTTCAACTATTAAGCCTTGATAGTCTTGCATTCTTATGTGATTCCGATTCCTAGGTGAGCTCGGTGATCGGCGAAAGAACGAGATTCCAAACTCTGGTTTCTGACCTACATCGATTGTTTTCGACGGATCGAGATACGGATCGGGTCCGAACCGCCATTTTCGGACTCATCAATGCTTTGTTGAGAACTGGACCAGCTGAGGTGAGATCTCCATTTCAATTCATTTCACTTAAGTTAGTATGTAGTATAAACTTTCTCTTTTGCCTTATTCTTCCGTATTCGGAAGAATGCGAATCAATTGGTCGTGAATGGATATCGTCCACATATCATTCAGCTGTTCGTATTCGTTTCAGACGTGCGCCACTTACCGCCAGCATTTGCGCTGCGAGCTGCTCTTGCTCGGTATGACGACTGCGATCGGAATGTGCAGAGCAGGCGCTTCATCTCGTCTCGAAGATCATATTGATCTATTCGAGATGATGCGCAAAGAGGACGAACTTTCGGTGTGTTCGACCTCGTCCAGCTCATCCGATGCTGGAATTGATTCTGGCAATCATACCCCGGTCGATTTCGAATCTGCAGTAGGAATGGCTGAAGCGCTAAATCAGAAGCTCAAGAATACCCAAGCGCTTCCCCATTTTATTTCCTTACTTCAACATCTATTTATGGTCCCTTCCGATGAGCAACATGTTCCGCTTTGGCGATTATTTGACCTTATACTCCAACATTTAACCCTCCAAAGTACCGTTGAAGGAATTTCGGATATCCATGCGCCTGTGAAGAATAATGTAGATATGGCTGAAATTCTCGCAAGGTATGTCTATGTTGACTGAGATTTTTTTATTTTCGAAATTTTAGACTTCAAAATCATTGTGACTATGAGAGAGTAGAGAAAGAGCTAGAGAAGGCTCGAGAAGACATGGTTGCTGAAAGAACGCGCATACTCGAGCTCGAGAATCGTCTGGCCGATGCTGGAGATCATGGACGAGCAACCAGTGGTAGCAGAATTTCAATGGCATCCACATCGGCCTCATCGAGCCCATCGGACCCATGTCCTTCACCGCCTCTTCTACCTCCAGTGTGTCCGCCAACTGCCCCACCGCCACCACCACCAATAATGGGATTGAATGCACCAAAAGAGCAGACACTAAAGAATGTTCCAGAACCGTCAAATAACATGAAACGGCTGAATTGGCAAAAATTGTCGGCTGACAAAGTAAAAGGAACAGTTTGGGATGGAGTAGAAGACGAGAAAATATACAAACAGGTAACCATTGTGCCTTTGATGTGCGAATAATAAATTCTGAAGATGGATATGACCGACCTCGCAAGTTGCTTCGCGGCCAGCTCATCACATCGAGACGATGACAATGACACCATTTATGGTACGATAACTCGTCGATCCCAAGCAAACGTATGTTGATCATCAAACGGTCTCTTTTCTGAATGATTCGTTTAAGATTTCCGTCATTGATCCTAGAAGATATCAGCATTGCATGATAATGTTGAGTAAGCTGAAACTGAGCCACAATGAAATAATTCAAGCGCTGATGTCGATGGATGAGAATAACAAATTGCCGAAGGATATGATCGAGCAGGTTTTTTGTTCAATACTAATATTCGATATCATGCAAAGCCATCGATTCCTTCAGATGTTGAAATTTGTGCCGACCAAGGAGGAACAAAATCTAATAAATGACGCCGTGCAAAAGCATGGAACCGCGACGGTTCTTGCGACAGCCGATCGATATCTCTACGAAATTTCTTTGTATGTTTCCTCATCGATATTATTATTAATATTTGATTCAGGATACCTCGATTTGAGCAGCGACTCCGTTGTCTCAATATTATCCGATCCTTCCGTGACAGCATTGACTCTCTCATTCCTCTGATCCAGACAGTTACAAAAGCTTCGATAACAATGCAATCTAGCAAACGATTCCGTCAATTTCTCACAATTGTTCTCGCTATTGGAAATTATCTGAATCATGGAAAACGATTGGGAAATGCTTATGGTATTCAATTTTTTGCTTCGAAATCTTCACATATTTATTTGATAGGATTCGAATTATCATCATTAAACCGATTGAGCGATGTGAAGAATTCAACAAGATCAGATCGCAATTTATTGCATTGGCTCATTCAATTCTTAGAGAAGAAATATCCAGATGTAACGAAGCTTAAAAGAGATTTGAATTCTGTTCTGGAAGCGACGAGATTCAAGTAAAACCTATTTGTGTTTATCTCGTCAAAACAACTGTTCAGCCAAGCGGAGACTGCGGCTCAAATTCGGGCTTTGCAAGAAAACTTGCTGACCGTGCGAAAGGAGCTCACAATTCTGGAAACATCCGGAATGACGGAGCTGCCGGAAAGTGTTCCGAATGAGAACGACCGATTTGCAGCAGTTGCCAAGTCATTCATCAATTCGGCAACTCAAGATTACCACAACCTTGAGAAACAATTTCGAGATATGCAACTCAAAGTAATTTTTTTGGAGAAACTTCAAATCAAAACTTATTTCTTTCTCAGTTTTCCGAGTGCACGAAATACTTCTGTAGTGGTTCAACGACTCCTGAAGAATTCTTTTCTCTAATTGCTAAATTCATCACAACCTTCTCCGAATACCATCAGCAATTATGGGCAGAAGTCGAAGAAGAGGAGAAGCTGAAACGACAGACGATTGCGAGAACGTTTCTAGCCAAAAAATGTGCAATCCATCTAGAAATATTTGAAATAATAATAATTATTTTGTTTTCAGCAACAACTCGTCGCAAAGATCATAAGGAGCATGACTTCGAGCAACTCATCAGTGCCCTCCAATCCGGTGATATTTTCAAAGACGAACTCTCCCGATTGCGCATCTCATTTCGAACGAAGAAAAATGTGAAATAATGAGTTTAAAGCTATTACATATATTATACCTGTAACGATCTCTCTGCTAACGTATTACCATATTCGGTGTGACTCATTTACTTTACAAGCTCAACACTGCGTGATTGTACAGATTTTCATTTTGTAATATTGAAAAATCAATAAAAATTATTTAATACAAATTTATTATATATGTATATGAATGTATAAGGCAACAAATTTATAGTGAAAATGAGCATAAGAAATTAATGTTTTCGTTTTGCAATTCCAATCGTTCCACACGCTACATAACCTTGAGATAAATGCGTTTTGATTCCCCATTCAGCTGTCGAGAATGGATAAATCACAAGGGCCCGGCCCACAACGTCCGCTACCGGCCAATCAACAACGTGATCGAACTTTCCGGATTCTGAAATGTCTTTTTTGTGTTCTACTGCAACGCTGCAATAAATCAACCTGAAATATCGCCTAGGGAAGGAGTTCGGTCCAATGATCTCGTGAAAGGTGCTCCAACCCTTGAACATCCTTCAGAAGCGTCTCCGAATTGATGAATGACGACCGCATGTTTGCCAGGTGGAAGGCCAAACGCTTCTCCGTGCACTTTCAAGGTTGTCAGCGTGAGTTGTGTGAACGTGAATCGTCCAATAGGCGTGCCATCTCGTGATAGTAGAATAGCAACCGCGATCTGAGGAGAATTATTAAGTTGCGCGGGTTTCTCGTGGTGTACCACATCGCTATTATACGGTTGTTGGGAAGTGATCTCACGAATCGTCGCCATTCGCATGAAATTAGGCTCGTCTTCGCTGGCGGAAATCGATGCCAGTCGGCTTGCGACAATCGTTGAGCATGTTTCTCGTGGAACACAAGGAGCAGCGACGTCGTTGCGGGATTTGATGAATCCCGGAGCACAATGACACCCTGGGCTGCATGTCGAAGAGCAAACTGGTACCTGAAAAAACATTGGTTCTACTGGTTTATTAATTGCCAATTTCTACCGCTGGTTGGCCGCAATATTCCGGGCATAATGTGCCGCACGATGACCAAACCGCATTTTTATCCGGGCAAACGCATCGCTGGGGATTAACTCCGAGAGAAACTATGAGAGGTCGGCAGCATCTTTGTTCTACCGGGCAGTCGATATCAGAATTGCATCCTCGACCGCCGACATCGAACGTAGTCGCAGGGCATTGAGATTGAAGGAGGTCGTTGTCGGATGAATCCGGCCGGAATTTCGAAATTGCTGCTTCAAACTTTTGCTCGTTTTCTGAGTTCGCCGACAAGGTCGTAGTTGTTGTAGTAGAAGTCGATGTTGACGTCGAAATGATTTCACTTTCGGGTTCTGACGGGCAATCTTCTAATCTAACGCATTTTGAGGTGTGCCATGTTGACGAATTCTCGAACACCAATCCATTCCTACAGAAGCACCCAGTTTGGCATGGAGCACAGTGTTTTGGATGGCGATTATCGCAGCCCATCGGACACGATGATCCACAGCTGACAAACTCTTTCGCCGGATCTTCGCAGCTCTTCTCACATTCTGATGGAAGAACACAACGCGATGTCGGATCGTTTGGATGGAGAATGACGTAGGGTTCTCGACAAACACAACCAGCAGAGCATTCTCCGGATGAGCATCGTCCGATAGGATTCGAGCACGAACGAGCACATTGCTGAGCGCCACATTCGGACCATTCCTTACGTGGATCTTGACACGACTTTTCAGACGAAGGCAACGCTGTACTCGGTGGAATCGACTTTTTAGGACAAAGCTGTGGAAGAATGCAGGACGAGTTTGGATCCTGAAGTGGATTGTTTTGGATCACAAAACACTAGAATGCTTACTGATGAATTGAGAAGAACGTAAGGCAATCTACAGAAGCAGCCCTGAACACAGGATAAAGCACAATCTAGAGAGGCAGATTGAGACAGCGGGCGATCACAAGACGCCGGACATTTGCTTCCGCAGCTGAGGAAGTTCTTCAATGGATCCGGACAATGTTCGTTGTTGGGAATTAAAGTCGGAGTCAAAGCCGTTTTCTCCTCGATTATCGTTTTTTGAGTTGTCGTCAAAAATGGAGGACGGGGAGTTGTTGCGTATTGTGGGAAATTCTGAAAGAAAATGAATCATGCTAATATTCAATGACAACTCAGGGAGTCGATGTGTCTGTTCAGATTTCCACAGTATTTTTCAGCTCCGAAATTCTTTGCTAACTCAAAACCAATCGGATCCGACAAAATTCGGCTCCAGCATAAACCCTATCAATTCTACGGATTCGATTCTAATTGAAAAATTAGAACAAAACGGATCAGACAAATATCCAATCGGATTTGACAATTTTACAATCTAATCCGTAGAATTACCAATCGGATCGGGCCAAAAATTTCGGAAGAACCCGCCCAAATTGAATGAAATTGACAATAAAGTATTAAGTGTATAAGAAAATGGGGTTGGAACAAAATAGCCAAAATTATTTCCAAATACTTTAAGTGTCTTGGTTGTCAGAAAATGTATTAAATTGTTGTATCCGATTATTTAGGGGGTCCGATCTCAAACTTGGGTGATAATGGAGTCTGACGCAATAGTAACTCTCGTTCTTCGTAGATACCAGTTACATTGGAGCAATGAAGGGGATTTGCAGGCGATAATTTATTAGACAAAAAGTCGACATACCGTTGCCAAATGTGGGTTTCTCAAAAGGAATTGCTGACCGATTTCTGATGGTGGCGTTGGTGAAGGAGGACAATCGGATGGCAAAATACATCTGCAACAATTCAAATATTGCGAGTCGTGTTCGTATTGGTTTAAACCTTGAATGCAGCGGGTCTTCGCCATTTTCCAAGATATACGGTATTTTGCAGAAGCATCCCGTTACACACCGCTCGCTGCATCTTGGTTGATTCCTATTCTCACAGCTTACTGGGCATGCACTTCCACATGTCTGGTACTGCCTTCTGTCATCCGCACATCTGATGGTGAGATCATATGCTTGACACAATGCTCTCGGAACACATGCACTTCTAGGGGATCCGTCCCTTCGAATATAACCGGGTAGGCAGATACATCCTGCTTGGCAATCAGGCGCTGGACACGCTGGAGTTGTCGGATCTTGGCATGATGGTTGACATGGAGAGTAACACGCCGAAAACTGCTCATTTGCTCCGCACACAAGAGACATTGTTGGACTTACTAAAACGATAGAAATTTACTAGTAATTCAAGAAAATCAATTATTTGATACGCTGATTAGATTTGGGAGGCTGTGTGAATGTTAGTACGGGAAGGCAAGCGTGGGTGGTTCCCGTTGGACAACATTTTCTGCCGATTGGGCATTCAGTGTCACAACTGCACGGGAATATTGTTAGCTTTTGGTTAGTAGGGTGTTTTGGACAAATTCCCGCATAACTGATTGTACAACCCTGAAATAAAAAAAGAAGCTTGATCGCCTTAAATGTCATAGTCAACCTTTTCACTCCTCGACACGTCCCTTAATATGGCAGCTGCTTTCAATGCTTGATTCTCTTGTTTTCGTCTCACTGTTTCACACTCTTTGTCATTTCTATACTCTTTGCTCGAGAGTCTTCTACCTAAAGACGTGACACACCAGCAAACATCGGTTCCAGCGAGGCATTGCCTGGAAAAAATACAAAAAAGTTTTTGGGCCGAACCGGGAGTCGAACCCGGGACCTCTCGCACCCGAAGCGAGAATCATACCCCTAGACCATCCGGCCACTGATGGCCGTTCGGTTTCGCGCGTTATATAAATGTGCTACTCTTGTCGTCTAGTGACTCTCTCATAGTAATCGCGTTATATGTATGCGGCTGCTGTTCGCTTCGACTAGTGTGGGGCAACGGGGAAAAGTTACAAGCGGGAACAACTAACCGTCGTCTGTAAGCCATTCCATTGTCTTCGCATTGTGGAATCGCTCGTCCGAGTATTTCGACACCGCGCAGATCATCAAGCATGGCCCGTCGACGCATCGCACACGCTGTAACAATTTTATGGACATATTGAGTAATTAAATTGCTCAAATTTCGTGCTATGAATGCCAAATAAGGCTCATTCGGCATCGTGCACGTCTCAATGAGCGACTGCTCTAATATTTCTACAAGAGGTTTGTGATATACAAGCGAAGAAACAATTGGAAACTTGCAGCTCGTCAGTCAAAATCTCAAGCTCAGCAGCGGAGGCAATTGGAAAACTTCGAGTTTTCGCAGCTTGCTCATGAACTTCCATTGGCTCGAGCTATCAGCGGTCAACATATTGACAAAACTACAATGGTCCGTCTTGCATTGTCATACATAAAGCTCAACAAGATTTTCGAGCCAATTGTGAAAAATGAGCTTCCCGATCTAAATTATTACTACGGATTTGACATAAGTTGGCTATCGAATCACTTGGAGGTGATCTAATTCAAGTGGATATGTATATTCAAGAGTTAATTATAGCATTTTGATGGATTCTTTATAATACTTGACGCCAAATGTGATATGCTGTATATCAGCGAGACGATCAGCATTTATTTGGGACTTTCGCAAGTTGAAATGACTGGAATTTCAATCTACGATTACATTCATGAGCAAGACATTGAATGTTTCAATAATGCGATTCGCTATTCTGCTCCGAATTGGCCTCAAATGTGCAATATTCGTTTGAAATCATCGCTAACGAAACGATCAAATAAGGACACAATTCGATCATCTCCCGGATATAAGGTGATTCGAGTGGAGGTCACAAACTTCGCGCCGAATGTTCGACTCATCGCCTGCTATCCGTTGCCAACACCAGTTCTTTCGACAATTACCGTCTCGCAGTCCTATTTTGTCATCATAACTAGCATTGATTTCCGAATCACGTATGCTGATGACAGGTATTTCGAAATGACTGCACAGTTTAACCTAATATTATTCACTGTTTTAGGGCTCAACAATTACTGACAAGCTGTTATTTATCAGATATCAAAGGATTCTCATTATATTTGTTCATTGATGTTTCGGATTCAGAATTGATCCGAAAAATGCATTATGAAAGTAAGAAAGAATTTCAAAAAGTTTTAGTTTTCTCCTCTCAACTTCTTGTAGTCTTCAATCTCGGCGCCTACCGTACCCCATATTACCGCATGATTCTGAATCAGACAAGTACGACATTTTACGTCGAGGTGCGTCATTTGATTCCATTCTAATCCATTATTACGTGAATGTATTTTCGTTTTCCTTTTTCAGACCAATGTTTTTCGATACACAAGTTCTTCGCCGAGAAACTACCAGGACTCAATCACATTTGTCACATCGATTCTTTAATTCCCGCCACCCGCCATCCATTTTTGACCCTGACAGAGTCTTTACGAGCGCATAAACCTTGACAAAACCAGTGGCAACAATTTTGTTTCGTGAATGTTTTTTTTCTACTCACTTTTGCAGCATTTTCCTTCATTGCAGACCTCTTCCCGCAAATTGCAATCTTCGTCTTTAGAACATCTGAAAATCAAGAATTAATTGAGCGGCTTATCGAAAACGAATTACCGCTTCTCCCATTTCGATCCGTCCGGACATGGATCCCCTTTTTGTGGATCAAATGTCTGATTCGATTTCGCTTCTGAGGATTAGTAGAATGTTAGTGAAAAGCCCGAATTAGTGATAACTCATAAAGCAATGTTGATTGGGTTAAACTCACGTTCTCGTTGAAGCGAAAATGTTGGCAGACTGTTTGGACAACAGAATCCGTCGTCGCATATTTCTCCAATAAAGCAATCATCCTAAAAATGAACTTTGAAAATATGGATAATTTTCTTAAAAATTGCTTTCCAAAAAAAGTTGTTTGAAGGACAAAAAAGATTTACAACAAATCGGGAATGAAAAGAAGATTAAAATGTCAATGACTCACGACATTTCAAGGGTTTTCTTTGGCTAAATTCAATGCAAGTGTCGTTGGAATTGTCATTTTAAGCTCTTGATTTCATGTTGAAGGTTGAATCAATTAGGAAGTGAATTTTTGCTAGTTCAACTTTTGAAAATTTTCCGTTTAGAAATCACTTGAAATGAGTAATTACCTGCATTCGACAACGATAATATGAATACCTGCCGTCTGCGCAGTGCCTGCAAGATCCCTCGGTTTCGCATAGCCCTACAATCATTGTTTGTGATTGAAAATGAATAAAAATTCGGATTCTCACTTAATTGTGCTGAAGCAATTTGAATTAGTATCGAAGTAGTAAATAAAAAATGAAAGGTGGTACTGCTCGCGATTGGCATTGTAGGTCGATAATGTTTCAAGAGAGCCAGTGACCCCGTTTTTTGGCGGCGCACCAATTATACCGCCCGAATCGCCCGCCCTATTGTGCCAAGCAGCCGCCAAAAATCGACGAGTGTATGTGTTGTGTGTAAATCAGACGCGAACAGATGGATTATCGAAGCAAATTAGAAATTGCCGTGTCGAGACAGGTGTACGCCGATAAATGTATGTATATGTGGTATATGTATGAGTGTTGGTCTCTCGAGGTGCGCAAAATGGGTGGGCGGGACAACGGCCGAAATCAACACGACAGTAATAAACGGCATGAAACATTTGATTGAGAGAATTCAGAATTTTCTAACAACAATTCCTTGAAATTCCTCACAAAATATGATATTAGAAACAATAAAAACTGAATGAATAGCATAAAATGAATTGAAACGCTAATGTCATGTTGAGTGTAGTAAATCGTCAAGTGTTTACAGACACGTTTAAATTATAGACCGCACGCGAACCGCAACGCGTCTAAAAATACGGTAACCGACTTGACAAAATTAAACTTGACGAAATTAAAAAAAGTGATTGCCTATGTGCCAATGGCAGCGAGATTGCGTACATTGCATTATAGCGTACGCGCATTTAATATTCAGTCGACGATAAATTTAAATCTTTTAAGTATTTTCTTGCCCGTCTGAGTCATAGTGAAACCTTCCTTCAACCAGCCTAAAAAATGATATTATTTCTCCTTTTTCACTTAAATACCTAAATCCTATAATGCGATAGTAGCTTCAACATGAGTATTTTTTTACGGTGGACAGAGATTTACACTCATAATGTATGAAATGCTGTTTTTTTATGCGGTAAATCGGTGTCAACTTCTTCTGTATTATCTGATGATTCGTATGCCAACAATTAATGAATAAATATAGACTATTTCTGAAAAAAAAAACGGCGGTCTATGATGTCAAAAAGTAACTTTGAATTGAAAAATTGGAATGAGTTTCAAAAAAAATAATTTCATTTTTGTGACTAATTTAACCTTGTCTGCAAACACTTGACGTTATATTACACTTAACAAAATATTGGCTTGAATTCTTTCAATGAAGTATTTCATATCGTTTATTTCTGTAATGTTGATTTTTTTAAATCTTAAGAGCTTAAAAATAATATAATGATATATATTTAGTGGAAATTTGTGTGTTCTGCCATAAAAGGGAAAAAAACGCGTGTGTAATTATTTTCACCTGGTTTTACCTTTTAAAATTTTTTTGTTTGATATTCTTATGTCAATGGACGAATATTTTTTCAACAATTACACAAAATGCCCTCCACACGGCTATTTTGATTCAATCGAATTTTCTCGTATTGCCGGCTATTCAACTTCGGCAATCGTTATTCCAATTGATATCTATGCAAACTATTTGATCATTTTTCATACGCCGCCACGTTTGAAACATTCAAAATGGTGTTTATTTCATTTACATGTCTGGTGTTTTATTTATGATTTACTAACAAATGTGCTCATAATTCCTTATGCTTTTTTCCCATCAATAACAACTATTGGAGCCGGTTTGTTAACGCAAATTGGAGTGACTCAAACGATCCAAGCATATCTTTATTCCACATCTGTAGCAGGTCTGCAATCGGTTGAACGATTTTCCCTTCACGATTCATACAGGAATCTGCATATCAATTACATTCGCATTTGAGAACACTCAACATTTTTTAATAAGTTCAAGTTGGTTTCGATTCGATCGAATATTCTTTCGTTCGATTTATTATGTCGCACACATTATTGTTGCATTCACTGCCATAATACCTGTGCTGATTGTATTACCAAATGCAGAAGTTGCGAAATTGGAGATTTTGAAGGTACAATAACGTCAAAATATTTCGTTTGGAGAAGTAACCTTCAAAAGTATAAAAATATCATTGCGGCCAGATTAAAAATCAAACAAAAAAATTAAAAAAAAAAACGAAAATTCTACAATAATCATCCGTGCTCATCATCCGTATTTCTGGGACCTGCAAAATCTAATAAATTTGGTATTAATAATGCTGCACTCTAAAAAATATTCATTATGCTCATATATAGAAGGTCGTGTTTCAATTTCAGATTTTTCGACTCAAAACGTACACAGACCTCCTAGGTAATGCAGAAATACAAAAAAAGACGTCGAAATGTAGCTGAAACTGACATTGCGGACTTGTGTATTTTATTTGCCGACAATACACATATTCTTTACTTTCGATTTTCTCCGCAACGAATTCGTTTTGTTCGTTTTCTTGGATTTTTTCGATTTCTTATCCGAAGTCAATGATTTTTTATAGTTTTAAAGGCTACCCTCATCCCTCATCCCCCATTAAAAAATATTTTTCAGAAAATTCCATGCCCAACAATAACATTCTTCGATAATCGTGCACTCGTATTGACTCTTACCTCTATTATTTTAGTGATTTGTCTTGGTGTATGTGTTACGGTCTACACAATCGAGATAATATTCTTCGCCTCCCATTGCTTTTATTATTTGAGCTCTTCAATTCGAAAGCATAATGTCTCGAAACAAACGCTAGCATTGCATCGAACTTTTGTTAACTCAATGACAATACAAGTTTTAATTCATTTTACGTATGAAAACAAAAGAAATCATTAAATTCAGACCCTCCTTCCAATTTTGGCTTTAACACTACCAATGTCATACTTTCTTGCTTCAATTCAATTCGATTATTATGATCAAAGTTAGTATTAATATTTGATGAATTTCGTATGATTTCTATGGTTACAAATTCTCGATAAACCAACAAAAATCAAACATCAACGACATAAGTAATTCTTTCAAAAAATGCGAAATGTTTTCAGAATTGAATAATTTCGGATTCTATATAATGTCACTCTATGGATTATTCAGTTCGATTGTTATGATAACAATCTACGAACCATATCGAACATACACGAAAAGGATGCTTTTTTTTCGAAAGAATGTGTTATTCGAGAAACGTAAAATTGAAACTATATCGTGTAACGTTTCCATATATAAATAATAAATTAACTATTTATTTAGCTTTATGTACTATTTGTTTGTAAACTGGCAAACCTAAAGAAAGCACCCATAAATAAGCGGGAATGAAATAAATAAGGGTTATTTTGTGGGTTTCGCGATGGTCGAAATATCACAAATAATTTTGTATATGGACATGGATGAGCTCAATGCGCATGCTTGCTTCTGGACATCCTCTGGAGACAATGTCGAGAGAATCGGATGATTTGTGGTCGCGGCGGTGGGATATACCGAGACAAGGCTTCCATCGGTTCCGATTGTTTGCAAAACGTCGGAAGTGGTTGTTTCGATCTCGGAAGTTGTTTCGTCCGGCATGTGTGTGGTCGTCTTCGATTGAGAATGAGTAGAATCACTTGATATTGTAGAATGTGGCTCGGTAGTTACCGTCTCTGAGACTGAGCCTGTTGTTGATTCAATCATTGGGGTGTTCGTTGAATATTCATGAAGAATTGGATCTGACGTCATTGTATAAACCGCTTCAGTTGTAACCGGAATTTCAGATGTCGAATGTTCAACGGGAGAAGAATCTGATGTTATGAAGTATGGGGTTGTCGTCGTAGTTGATGACGAATCTTCAGTCGTTGAAATAATCGATGATGTTTCAGGAATGTTGGAGTCGGTTGGTAAAACGACAACCTTCTCGGTGGTAGTTAAAAACTTGAGTGTCACATCGGTAGATGTCAAAGGCTCTTCAGTTGTACTAAAGTCATAGTCTTCCGAATCAGTTGTGCTGGTCATATAGTCGGCATTAGTAGTGGGCGAGTTAGAATTCAGCGCAGTTGTTTCATACGTCATCACACCTTCAGAAGTTGTATATTCGTCTCCAACCGTCGTCGTTGTTGATATTTGACTTGTCATGGTCCAATCAGTTGTTGATTCGCTGATCGTGAATCCCTCAGTAGTTTGCTCGTACGCTTCAGTGGTTGTTCCTTCGGATGCCGTACTAGTAATTATCGCTGGAGTTGAATCCGGGAATGTGAGTGTTGTTGGCTGCGTGATGCGCGAAATCCATGGTATCGGAGATGTCGACCTTTCATTCGACGTTGTATATTCATCGCTAGACGTTGTCGTTTCAATTGGTGCAGTTGTCGCAATTGTAAATATTATCGGAGTAGGAATAGCTGAAAAAAATGTTTTTTTGAAAATTGCTAATGCGTGTTTGATTGTAGATATACTTGCTAAAGAATGCAGATGCGGTGTTAACTCTTCAGTGCTGAAAAGAACACAATCAACCCTCAATCCGCCGTTGTTGATCGCCAATGGCACACGAGCGACTCTTCCATATGCATCCTTTGCTTCTAGAACCGCACAAAATTCTTCCGATTCCAGCGGGGTTTCCGCTTCGTAGAAAATCTTTCCCGATTGCGGCTCAACACTGAATCTTCTTTCATTATCAGGAGTGTACAGAGCATAGGATAGATCATCTCCTTCGGCAGCAAGTTGTCCAATAACAGTTGAGGGTCTTATTTGGAGATGCGGTGGAATTTCAATTCTATAATTGGTTTGCTCAAAACTTGGTCCTTCTCTCTCGTTTGTCGGAATTGTAAACTGCAATGCATATGTGATCACTTGTTGATTCGTCGATCCACTCGAGTCGATCCAATTGAGCATCGGCGTTCCCTGAAGTTTAAAGCTAATATTCAATGGTAAAATATTGATACATTTTCTTCAGTTTCCCATTGAACTGCTTGCAATTCTCGTGGTCTCGGTCCGCTTCGATCGACAATTGATGTAAGCTTTCGTTTTCCGGAAACTTCCGGCACCGGCATTTCCGCCCAAAGAGCTCCATTGAAACTTTTTGATTCCCTAAAAAAAATAGTTGGAGCTAATTTCCAACAAAACTGACATATTCCGGAATGCCGCGTGTACGATCAATTTCTGTGGATCAGAAGAGTTCGAAATTTGAGTCTGAATCGTATTTCTAGAAACCAGCGAAAATTGATTAATTACCGATAAAAATTCTAGTTTTATAACATTCGTCATTTGCGCTGCAGCGGGTTTGAAATAAAACAAGGGAACATCTTGATCGGGAATTGCGAGAAGCATGCCTAAATTAGAGAATTTTTTTGGCAAATCTGGATTATGTTCGATACCGTAATCAGAAGGACCAGCTGCTCTTATCGCATAAGTTTCTGCACTTTCTAAAGGCAGCAATCGTCCGTTTTCAATGCATGTGATATTAATTGATTCGACAGTCGCCTATAACAATCCAACGAAGCATTTTTAGAAATAATGGAATCAATCATACAGTCTGATCTCCATCAGCTAGAATAAACCGAACTAATTGGGTTGATCCACTCGGAATTGATGTGAAATTTGGAGATATGGTGGGAAATTCTGAAAAATCCTTGTTTAAAATTTAAAATTAAATTAACATTGAACCTTGCTCTTTTCCATTGATAAACACACTGTGTAGTTCAGCTCTTTGTTTTGAAACAATGTTGTCAAATTTGATTCTCACATTTTCAAGCGTCGAATATCTGCAATACTCATCTGAAATTGTGAATCTAGCTTTGAATAGGACCCTGGATTTATAATTGATGAAATAATTGAGAAATCGACGCCATCTTTTGGTGATTTTCCGTCTTTGATAATGTTAATTGCCTTGACAGTTTTCTTCGGAATTATTCGGAGTTCGGGCGCATTCAATCGCTGCTGCGTTTGTTTGCCGTTCGAAGAAAACGCGAAAACGATGATCGGCTGATAAATTGCAACGCTAGACAATCTTCTAGACGACGTGACCAAACGAGTCCAATGAATTTCAAAAGAGCCCTTGCTATCGATTGTCCCGAGACCCGTCAAACTGCCAATTCCAGCCGACCATGATGGTCCGACATTGAAATCAACATTTGGTGTTGATGAATCTTTTTTGACGAACGACAGAGACACACCAATGTTGAACAGTGACATATTCTAAAAAAGGATAATTTATTTGATCTACACAATCCAATTACCGATTGATTTTCGATAAAAACTCTTATTCGAACTTGATTATCTTCTTCAACTTCGGTTTGTTCAATATATACATTAGTTGTTGCACATTTCTACAACATTCAACATATGATTTTTTGTCTCAAATAACTCATTACATTCTGTTGGCTTTCGCCAGTTTCGAGTGTTCTTTCCATATAGCCGTGCAACATTGCAAACGGGTCTTGCGCAACATTTTGTCTAGTCAGAGACTTGACGCGGTCAGTTGCCTGCACGAGATCCCTCACAGCTTCGTATTGAATTCCTTGACGCTTCGCCAACATATTTCCAGATTTCCAATACTTTACAGTATCATTCCACAATTGCGCGAGCCTCTCGCCGTTGGCTCCGAGAGCAGCCATTTCTTCTCCACTTATATGGTTTCCTTGTGGAGAATTATCGGCAATCGATTTGATGAAATTCTCAATATCTTCCGAAGTCATATCTTGGTATAATGACGATGGGAAAACGCTCTAAAGAAATGAAATAGAATGCAAAATGCAATCGGGTATCGAGCACCAGTAATTTGTCTATGAACTCTATGAAAACTGTGGATATTCGAATTGTTTGAACATCAAGAACATTCAGAACTGGAAGCACTTTCCCAAGATCCAGATTCACAGAAGAAAGCTGAAATTGAAGGCATTTTATATTTTGATATTCAAATAGTTCATACGTGATTCACAATTTTTACCGGCGCATCATTGATTTGTCGTTTGATTCTGGGTAGATTTGCGATCGGACATTCACTTTCTATGGAAGCCACACATCTGAAACTCAATCGATAATTTATGTATAATAATTCTTCGACTACTCTAAAGATTGCCGAATCTCGTTGAAATCCACTGAAACTTCTTTGCATTCAAACAGCATCGACAAAAACGAGGCAAGGACTTCCAAAGAAATCTGAAATTATTCATATTTCTGTGAAGAGAAGTACATCAATAATTGCTACCGTGTCATCGGCAATTTTTGCCCAAGAAGCTCCACAAGCAGTTGCCGGCTTATATTCGGACCTGCACCTCGTCCTCGCGCCGTCCCCACAATTGCACATCACTTCGGTTATCATGGCCGGCTCAATCAGTCCTTCCTGATCGCAAATGCTGTTTTCAGCCATCATCGAGGCTTTCGCTAACAATTGCGACGAAACATGTATGGGAAGATTCGAATTCTCTGGCAGGAAAACGAACGGAACATTCACAATTTGAGTTGCGCAGTTTTCATTCAACTCTTCATTCCAGATGACTGTCGTCCAGAACGATTCGTTGACATTGACGGTTCTTCGCGAATGAAGCTCAAAATTTTAATTGATATTCATTAATATTTAAATGTTTTTATTTCTTACCACTTGGAACTGATCATCCTCAGTGTTCCATAATCCAATGGATCCTGCAAGATTTCCGCGAGCGGTCACTAGCGTTTTTTGTCCTTTCTTCGTTATAATCGAGGGTTCAAATTGGAGATAAGGAAGTGGTTGTTCGGTCGAGGATAACGCCGACATTTTCGGTTTGCATTCGCTTTCATCTCGATGACACTGAAGCGAAGGAACAGCTCCATCCTGCATCGATTTCAACGTAATACAGAATGTCGTGTTCATTGGATCGAGTTCGAGCACTTGCACAAAATTCTCATGGCGATCACTTTTGACTTGGAGCTCATAAATTCCAGGAGGAATTGTGAAGTCTGCCCATTGAATGTTCAGACGAATATTGCTTCGAGTGATGTCGATGTTTCTCTGGATATTTCGTAGAGCAATGGTCGCAACTTCATTAAAATCAACTTCTTCTTGTCCATCCCATTCGTCTCGAAGACAAATCTAATTAACCCAATTATTAACTTATGATAGTAAGCATCAAAACATACCTTGAACGTATAATAAGTATTCTCGGAAAACTGAATGAAATAGTACGGTATAGTAATTAGAACCTTAAATTTCAGTAATCAGAAAATTATTTTTGTACAAAAATATTGTATACATACCTGATCATCCGATTTTACTGCAATGGAACCATTAATGTGTGACAGACCAGTTGTGGCGAAAAACAATTTAAGAGTTTCCGGTTTTTTCTCGACGAAATCTTCAATATTTGGATCTGACGACAACAATTCCAAAGAGTCACTTGATATTTCGATTTTGATAGGATTAAGGGCTTCAATTGGAATTTTCAAAACAATCTGTATCAACACATCGGAATTGTAGGTTTTATTCGGATAGTTTAGTTGGCTACCTCGTGAAATGTTTCGATTCCGTTCTGATAGATTATCACTAGTTTGTCAGGATTCGATCGTGTTTGTCTGACTTCAACAGGCGGTGCTCGAACAATCTCCGGCGGCCTCTGATCGCACTGAATTTTTGCCAGAACTTGTCCGTCCCATTCTTTTTCAAATTCTAGTAGTAAATCGGAGCCTCCTTTAATCGGACTCGGATTTTGAGCGCGCGGTTCCAAGAGTGTTGCTTCACATTTTTCTGCTCCTTTCACTTCGATTTTCAATGTCGTTCTTGTCGAGTCTCCGATGATCGGAAGATTCAGATTCGGAATCGTAAATTCGATAGTATTCGACGTCTCATTCGAATTTGGGTGGCTGATTCCGACAGAATACGTTCCGGATGATTCGGGAACGTACTCGTATTCGATAATTCCGCTATCATCGGTTTCCGCAATTATTTCGTCGATGAAATTTTGCCTTCGAATACGAATCACTACCGGTTTCTGTTTCACCGAATCTCCGACAACCCTTCCAAGAATCCGCGCATGAGTTCCGTCGATCGTTACATTCAGCACTTCAGAAGAATACGTTGGATCAACGGTCACGTTCCAAGCTATACTGCTCTCTCCGGCCGGTGAAAAAGCAGTCACATTAATAGTGTACGGATCATGTGATCCTATGGGTTCTGGCCATGCAATAATTCCTTTTGACGCAATAAAATTGTAATTCGGAATGTTTGAATTAACACGTAATACCGATGATGTCTAGATTAAATTAATTTTTAAAAACTTGAACGAACGAATTACCATTGTCGGAAGCATTACCACATATGGAGTGCCTTCGAATGCTCTATTTGCTCTTTGATGTTCCAAAAATCTTCTGTCAATAACCGGAATCACTTCGATAACATCACAGAAGACTCCAGTCTTTCCTTGAGGACAAATGCAGAGCGGTCCAACACACGATCCTTGACAAACCGATGGATCACATCCATCATGCCATGTGAAGTGGATCGGTCTCACCGACGAAATCGATTGGAATGATCCGGGTTGAGAAACACTGAAGACATGTCGTCCAAGGGTCATATTCGCTGGAACTGGGCCTGAAATTGCTTGTTTCTTTTTGTTTCATTAAAAAAAAACAATTTACATCTAATCAAGGAGGATGATATTCGAATTCCTGTTACCGAAGTTTTTCCGTAAGTGCAAATATAAGAATTATTTGGTGTTTTCGGGAATTCCGATCCGTAAACACTAACCACAGTGTTAGTATTATCGATTTCTGCGGTCGAAGGTTCGATATAGTCGATTCGACTTGTGTAAGTGCATTTAGCAGAGAGACACACATCACAGGCTCCTCCACTCCAGCCCGCTGAGCAAGAGCAAGTGCGTGTTATCGGCTCACAGTATCCATGGTCGCATTCAAAATCGCATTCGCTACACGAATCTTCAACGCATTGAGCACATCCGTTTCCACTATAGCCTTCGAAACACGAGCATCGGTTCGGCTCCACACAGATTCCGTTCAATGAACAATCACCGCAGACTGGTATTTGGCATTTCGAGCCTTGCCATCCTTGTTCGCATAAGCAGACCCCTTTATGACAATGACCGTGAACACAACTTGAATCCACGCATGTTGTAATCCCACATGATGATCCAGTCCAACCAGGATTACAATCGCATTGATTTGGTGCAACACATTTTCCATTCGAATTGCAATTGTTTGAGCAAATCGGTTTGGAGCAATCAGTTCCAGACCAGCCTTAAAAAGAAATTTGTCATTGGCAAGATTGGTTCAAAGTGCCTACCTAGATTGCAAATGCATTTGTTGAATAAATCACAGAGACCGTTGCCACTGCAATTGCAAAACATTGGAAGCGAACAATCAAAGCCGGCAAAACCAATTGGACAAATGCAGATTCCATCTGAAGTCGGAATACTAAAGAATGTGTTCTGGATTCTCTGAATACCTTTGCAAGTTCCTCTCGACGAACAATGATTAAGATGAGCACAACCGAAATTGGCGGAAATTGGTATAGTGACGGGCTCCATCGTTGTCGGTGAATCGAGCTGCAGACTCTGATTTGCTGACCAGATTGGGAACACTTGCACGGAGCCTATAAATCTGCACAACGTCATGAACTCAATTCAAATTTGAATACCTTCGGGCGCGTCAAGATACTGGAATATTTGTTCGGATTCGACTGATCCCCAATCATTGTTTGTCGCATCGACAATCTGAAATATGCTCGTGACTGTGCGCATTTCTGACTATCATGTGTATACTTCGTTATCATCAGATCCTGGGGAGACCGCCAATTGAAATTTGCTGCCGGGACTTGAAAACTGATTTGTTAGAATTTTCGCATTCGCTGATATCACTTTAACCACACTTCCGCTATTCTCGTTTTCTGAAGTTCAGTCGCATTATAGTCATCGGATATGTTCGGCGAAATTCGCATCTGCCAGTAATTGAAGGACTCACCTTCAAACAAGTTATCTGTAAGAAACAGCTCATGCGCTTTTGAATCAACATTCAATGAGTAGGTTCCATGATTTTTATAAAAATCATTCGCCGATATTTGCATTATTGCATTTTTCTTTATAGCCGAATTTTCGCTTGAAATAACCACTGTCGAGCCGACACCATCTTCGTTGTTGCTCAAATACGAGTTTTTCTCCATCTGAAAATATGAAAATAATCAACAAACGCCTGTGTCATCTTGAATTTACTTGTAGATTGACACAGTTCGCCAGGTTGAAATGTTGCACGACATTGTGATTTTCAGAAAATGTCGAATTTTCGATTCTCAGAAGACGTTCGTTGAAGTCGTTACACTGTAATTCTTCATTTTTGTTTTCATTTTCTGAGTTTCAAACTAACTTCTAAAGCAACAATTAAACTAGGTACTAGATTGTTTGTAAACTTGAGTTGATGCAATCCGATGTTCTGAACCCATCCACCAGAAATTAGGATGCCGGCTTGACCGCGTTCCTGATTTTCGACAGTAACATTTGAAATCAAAACAGCGTGTAGTGGCGTTGAAGGGAATTCCGCGAGGTGAATCGCGTATGATCCGATGTTGCTGATGCGTGCGTCGCTGATTTCAATATTTCCTGTTGGCGTCACAAAATCGACTCCACTACCAGCACTATTCTGGATTACGAAATTCCTAAAAATAGAAATAATAATTCAGATTACGAATCTTCCTTGTTCACCTTATTTTCAAATCATCTCGTCTCTCATCGACTCCAATCGCTGCGTCGTGGGCTTCTTCAATCAGAATTCCTCCAAGATCAACCACATCGTCCGAATTGTGAGCTATCTCGATTCCATGAACTGTCGGGCGAACAATTCTTCCATTGTTAACCGTAACTTGGTCTGAGTCGATCCACACTCCAACCGAAGGATCTTCCATGACGACGTTATTCATCTCGAGTGCACCAAACGGTTTCGTCACGAGACCTCTCCAAGTATTTCCATTCTGCCCGCGAATTACAATCGGCGCTTCTTCGGTTCCGTTTAGAATCAATCGGCCACCGCCATGAACGGTGATTCCAGTTCCTGGAGCGAAATCAAGAATTGTTCCCGGTTCAACCACTATCGTCTCATTATCAGCGACAATCACTTCTTCTTTTATCCTATAAGGCTTTTCTGATGATTTAATAAACGTCGAATCGTCGATGAAAGGATCAGGAAGATATTCGAGGTTCGGATGATCGGTTGACGTACTTCGTTGCGGCATATCATTATGGTATCGATCATACGAATTGTTCTTGTTGGTACACAACCAATTTTCCCTCTAAAATATACTGGTTTCCAGAATTTAGACGATTTATTTTTTGCTGTTTGATACCTTGCCAAAATCATTGTCGAGCATTTCTAAAATAGCAGAATCATCGAGATTCCCGAATGTCACTTCACATGTCGATTTCTTGTCGGAGAACAAATTTCCAGTGATGTTTACAAATTTCGAATTGGCCAGAATCGCCGAGTTTCCGAGATTCTGCATGAACATATTTCCAATAATCGAAGCATCCGAGTTTTCAATGTGAACTGTATCGTGCATTGTGTTCTTCACGAAATAACTCTCAGCGACGTGCACCGATTCACCTGGAATAATGATTGAACCCATCGGAAAGTGTCAAGTGGTTGTAAGAGAAATGCACAATTTCACACGTTAACTTTCATTCAGCAAATTTCTACCTTTTTCAATAAATAAAACGGCATCCTTGGCATCATAATCCTTGAAATTGTTATTTAAAAACCAGCACTTTGATACATACAAATATGAAGATTCTGCTTCGGCCTTGAAGAAAACCGTACTGCCGGTATTTCGAGTGAAATTTGTGTTGTGAATGTGGACCTTAGCAGAATTATGATTATTTCCTTAAATTACCAATACCAACCGAAACATTTTTCGGATATCCTCTGATTCTCAAAGCACCAATTTTGTTATCATGAACATGCGAATTCATAACTGTCACATGTGATGAATTTTTCGTCAAAATTTCAACTCCAAAATTGTTGAATTGAGCAGAAATGTTAACATTTGAAAACTGAAATTATTTTTATTTTTTTCTTTTTAGTAATTAAAGTAACCTCAATCGATCTCTCGACTTCCGCATGAATTCCATAAAAGCCATTCGAACTGACAGCAGTGTTTTCGATTGTGATTGGTCCAGTTCCTACATAGACGCCTGTTCCATTATTTGAATAGACAAATGCATCCCTTAAATAATTACTGTTTCTTGAAAAATAAATTCTTCCATGCGTACCGTATGATGATCGTTGAGTTCGTGTTTATAAATATTCCTAGGCCACCATTTGATGCAGCTACGCAGTTGTCAAGAGATATCGATCCCTAAACAATTATTCCGTCTTCAAAAATTTTTTTTAATAACATTTTATATTTTTGATACACGGAGAGATTTTAAAGCAATATTGTGATATTCTTTTTTTCGAAATTGATATAGTCGAGCCTCTGACTGCTCTACACAGGTCTATTTTCGAGCATGCATCTTTTGCAATGCTCTCGTAACATGTCAATTCTTATTTTATATTTGAATTTTTTTCTTGAGTTTGCCTTTTTACGTAATTGAATGTTGTCAGATATAGAGTATAATTGAAATTTGAAAAAGAAAAACTAAATTGTTTCGTTCTGTTATGCGATATTCATTTTCTTCAAAGCTATAAGCATTCATGTCGTCTAGTGAACATTAATTAGTATTATTCAAACTGCTCATACAAGTTGAATGGCATCCAATCAGCTTGACTATGTTTTTTTTCTTTTATTTCCTAAAACGGTTTTCAATTTAATAAACTTAAAACAAAGAAATCTGCAACGAATGAATGCCTGCTGACGAAACGTTGATCCCATTGACGACACTTCCCAACATAAATCATTCGCATGCACTTGAAAAATCACAAAAGCAGAATAAAAATGCTCTTTATTATTCGCAGTATTATTATATTATGGTGCTCAAAAATATACATATAATAACGAAGAATGTGATATTAATCATGGAATCAAATAAATTAATTTGTATGATTGCATGAGATATGAAATGGACGGGACGTTTGCAAGCAAAACGGACAAGAAACCCGAAATTATTTGGTTTTTGAGTGATTGTGACTTCGGTAGTGCCCAAAATAGCAGAAGAAGAAGAAGAAGAAGTGAAAAGAAAAACAAGAAAAATGGTTTTATACCTTTCCAAGGTACTCGATACCATTCTTTTCATTATTCACCACCGTCACTTTGAATAGTTTTGCTACGCTTGAGTCCTAAATTTCATGTGATCCTCGGATGGATTCACATTTTGCCAACCTTCAAATCGTTATATTTTACTCCATACGAGTTTCTATCAAGTATAACGTGCTCAAGAGCCGGAGCATTTCCTCGATCGACGTGCACACCAATCGCACTTCCAGATATGTTTGCGTACGATATTATCGATCCAAAATCAGCGTCGACGAATTCGATTCCTTTCCAGTCTTCACCATCCATAATAACCGGCTGATTTCTCGATCCCTTTACGATAAGCCTTCCTAGATTAAATAAATTGTAATCCAATTTATCCATTTCAGGTTTACCATGTACTGTGATTCCAGAATTTTTCGAAAAATGAAGTTTGGCTCCTGACACAATCGTAAGCACTTTTCCTGCTCCCACCACTCTAGGTTCTTCGATGTTATGAATTCCCGAATCGATAATTTCATCATTTTGCGAAATTGATCTAAATCGATTCTCAATAGAGAGCAAGAATCATATGTTTAGTACCGTTTCGTTCTTGTATAATAAGGAGGATCCATAAATGAAGAATCAATAGCATGGATAACACCACCAGTTTTGCCGTGCCGATGATTATGACCATTAGATAAATGGCGGCAATTATGGCTAAAATGTGGAGATTCGTGAGATTCTCTCATTTTTGTTCACCTTGTCAGGTTGCTATTGCAAGATTCGACTTGTGCATCAATAATCGACAAATCCCATCGGCTCGATATCAAAAGTCGAATCGCATTAATAGGCTCTTTTAACCAAAAATGGTGTTTCGAGTTGGTGTAATGCGCCACCTTCCAATGGCCCTTCGGGCATTCCGAATAGAGGAGATCACTGCAAAATATTCAAGTTGGATGTTGTTGTTGCGAACGTACGAAATCACTCAAAACCCGAGATGCGCATGCCCGTCAGAAAAAGAAAAAACGAATTGTACCTTGGGGAGATTTTCGAGTACACGGGCGGGTCAAACCATGAGAATACTTACATTTCTTCGGCGCCCGTCAACTCTTTTAGACAATGGATGTCGATTGCGTTGATGCACGTCAAATTGTGGAAAAAGATTTTTGTGAAATGCCCATAGTAAACATCACCTGAAATTCGATTTCGCTCTTTTCAAAATTCGTTGAAAACTGTTTGAATTTGGAAGAGTTTGAAAGAGATTTTGAAGGTTTTTCAACTAACAAAAATTTACAAAAATTAATTTTCTAAAGATAACAGATTTTAAAATGAGTTTAAAAAATCAATGTGGAAAATATTTCGATAAAAACGCACGTCCGTCGATTGCAATATTCTGATGTCCAGTTTCAACCCGTAGAAACAATGCTTGCGCAGTTTGCCAAAACGCGAAAGCGACCAGACAAAATGATTGAAATGTGCATCGTTTTCGCATTTCTCACATTACTTGAATTATATTCGTGGCGATATTCTGAAAGTGTTTTACTGATTGAAAAAAAGAAAAAAAAGAAGCGCCGACAATGAAAAGGAGAAGGATGAATATGGACTATAGTTGTTTGGTGGATTGAATGTGCAAAACACATACAGGGTGTCATTTAAGTTCCCGCACAAAAGTTTGACGCCATGAAGAGATTGACTGTCGCACTTTTTGTGCACCAATACAATTTATTTTTGTTAAATAAGGTGTATTGTACTTATTTCCCAAGTTTCACCTCATTCGGATGTGTTTCCGAGAAATGGCGAAGGCTAACATCCATCGCGCTTCCATTATCGAACTTCATAAGCAAAATGTGAGCCCGAGAGACATCATTCAACGGGTCGGTGTGCTTCGTAGAACGGTTTGCGACACCATCAAACGATTCAAGTAGCTAAATACGACCAGTGTCCGTCCCAGACAAGGAAGACTCGTCTCAGTAACCACTCCTCAGAAGATCAACGCCGTTAAATCGAGGATCAGGCGAAACCCACACAGGAGCATGAGAAAGATGGCGTCAGACATGGGAATGAGCATCTTTGCTATGGAACAAATCGTCAAAACAAAGCTTGTACTGACCCCATATCGTGTCCAAAAAGCGGCAATTCTATCGGCCGTCAACAAGCAGAGACGCTTCGAAAAAGCAAAACGACTTCTTGCTCGCACGCGGTCTGGAGAACACCTCGTCACTGTCTTCTCCGACGAGAAGCTGTTCAGTGTGGAGGCGGCATTCAACTCACAAAACCATTGAGTACTTGGCCAAACATCCCAGCAAGCTTCTGAGAAAGGAAGAACATATCATCCAGCCTCACATCCTGCCAGTGTGATGGCTTTCGGTGCCATCTGCTCAACCGGGAAGTGCTACCTGGTTTTCGTGGATCAGATGGTGAAAATGAACAAAGAAGTCTACGTTCGGGACATTTTGGAGAAGCATGTGATGCCCTGGACCCAAACGCATTTCGTTGGGCAGAAATGGGTCTTTCAACAGGACGGAGCACCCGCCCACACTGCCAAAACTACTCAGGAGTGGTGCCAGACCCATTTTCCCGACTTCATCAAGTCATCCGAATGGCCTGATTGCTCCCCAGACCTGAACCCGCTTGACTTTTCCGTGATGGGGTCTTGCAGGAGAAGGTCAACGCAAAACCCAACTCAAGTGTAGAGGCTCTGAAGAAGACATTACTGGCGGAATGGGACAATCTTTCCATCGAATACCTGCGTACCACAGTCACATCCTACCCGAAGCGTCTCCGTGAAGTCATAGCTGCGAAAAGAGGCCGAATCAAAAAGAGTTAATTGATAAATATTTGTTATACTATAGATAAAAAATATTTCGAGTCTCGTTTGATTTGGACTTTTAGTTTCAGAAATGTACGTCTACAAAGTTGTGCGGGAACTTAAATGACACCCTGTACAATTATTTGAGATTGAACAAAAAATGAGGAAAAAAAAAAGAAAAGAGAAGGAGAAACGGCAAAAAAAGGTGTGTGGATGAAGGAGACGAAATTCGCTGTAATTATGGTCCAACAATTCGCAAAAAAAAGAAGTCGATGAAAATCACAAAAAACTAAAATTGTTTTTTTTAGAAAAATGATTGGATTAAATTGATGATGCATCGGAAAAAAAAGAAAATTTCTGCCATAAATTGAACAAATTTGATGAATAATTTACGAATGCGACGTCAAAAACAAGTAGAAAGTTGAAAAATGAAGGTCGCTCAATTATGAATAGCAATTCAATTCTTCTGGAAAAAAAAACTCCCTAAAGGAAAAAGGAGAAGAAGAAGTAGTAGGAGACATTCAGATAACATGCATTCAATCGCTTAATTAGAATTTGAGAATTTTGCATTTAATATATGTCATCAGACAGCAAATATATTTTGAGTTTCTTCTCAAGAATAAAAAAATTCGAGTTTTATTCAAATCTAGTTGATATGTGTGAAAATTGAGAAATTATATTTTGTTTTCTATCGAATTGAAAAATGCAAATACTTGAATTTTGTAACTTCCGAAAAAAAACAATTTCAAAACATTCTTTTTTTCGAAACTTGTATTGAAATTCCAAAAATAAAAAATAAAAAATACGACGAAGTTTTGATTTTGAATTGGCCTCCGTACAACAACTATGATTTCTTTGGGAAGTAGGTGAAAAAAAAATAAAAGGAGAACGAGAGAAAGCACATATTATTAACGCTTCGCCCTCTCCTTGACAAAAAAAATAACGGAGAAGAAAACGAGAATTTGGAAAAAAAAAACACAGACATTCTGAAAAATATGAAGGGAAACGAAACGCCGAGCCGAGCAGATTTTTCGGGTTAAACGCGTCATTTTGCCGCCGCATGCCTTCTATTGAATTCCTAATTATTTGCTTTTAATTTCAAGAATTCATATTGTGCAAAATATGCGCAAAATAGGCACGTGAAATAGTGGTTTCTCTTCATCTAAAATTTTTCTTTTAAAAATATCAAAAATAAATTGCTTTTGAATTTTTGAAAATATTCAAGAAACTAAAAATTCGTAAAGCCATAGATACATAAATATGTGATATATATTCATGGATGAGAATGCGACAATCTCAAGGGTCCACCAAATCATGTTTCCTGTTATTCGTTGAGTAATCGCCTAATTCGATCATCTACGATGTATATTTAGGCGATTCGATAAAGCAAAATTAACAAGACAGGCTAAATTTCAGTAGAAACTGAGGACATCAGAAAAGAAGCGAAAAACAAAGTTGAATGTTCAGAAATCGAATTTTGAAAGAGTAAAGGAGCATGTAAAAGTGTTGCAGCAAACGGCAGAATGTGTGAGATGCGATTGAAGAGTCAAAATGAAGTCCGTATTCGAGTGCGTCGAAAACATCCGTCGCATCCGTCCGTCGGTTGGTCGTTCCATAACACGCAATGCAACTTTCTGACCAATTGCTTGGTCGAAGTCGTCGAGCTTCTCGCATGAGCCACGTCAGTCAAGACTAGCTTTCGCGCGGCTCTAAATAAATCAAGCGGTCGGGTCGTGAGAGCGAAACGAAACGCTCTCCGGCCAATTTGCATATTACTATGTAAAGTGTTTTATCGAGGCGAAAAAGGGCGGAGCAGTGGTGTGGAGTAGGCAAGTTCATGTCGGGCAGCTCCGGTTTTTTCGCTGTGACCTCACGTTTCTGGAAGGCGAGCTGCAGAGAAGCACTAGCAACAAAAATCGCGCAATGAAATTCGAGACGATCGAAATAGATTTAGGGGCTCTCGATTTTCGGCGAAAGAAAAGAAGGCGATGAAGTTGTCGAAATCTAATCATGAAACTGAGGGAAAAACTCGCGGTTTCGGATTAAAAGCACATTTGAATCATTTCTGCGAAATCGCCTTAATTGGTACGAAATGAAAATCGGCCCACTGGAGATGGATGGATTAATTTGAATTTCGTGAATTAATTGATGAAGGAAAAACAAAAAAAAATTTGGTCTCGACGGTGAATTTTTTATGTGTTTCCGTCGGATGATTTTCATCCTTCGAAGCACTTTTGATGAATTTTCAATATATGACAATTCTTCGAGAAACTTATTTCATAAAAAGAAAAATGAGATGTTTAAGCTGCAATTCGTACCAACTACTTGTAGAAACACTTGAAAATTAGCATATGCATTGCTAAAAGGAAAACGTGAAAATTTGAAAATGCGATAAATTGAATAAATCTACGGCACAACAACAAAAACTGCTCTAATTCGGAGCGAAATTCTAAAACACAAATTGTGTGTGTGAATTACACCACAAGTACACACATAAATGAGCAAAATGGAATTTGTTGATCTACTCTCGTTTTTTTTTTTGTAAAAAGGGTAAAAGGCAGAGTGTTTAGCCGATTGGTCAAAATCCCGCGAGAATTCGCCAAAGGAGTCAGAAAATGGACGGGCAGAGTTCGTTTTGGCGGCTCATAATAAAGCAACAAAAACTTTGATGGACGATTTTTTTTCGAGTTGGGACGAGACGAAAAATTATGCGAGAAGAGGTGCCAAACAAAAAATATGAATTTTTTTTCGAAAACATGAGATTGTTTGTTCGAAAAAAGTCGCGATACGACAAATATTGATAAATTTTGCTAAAGAAAATCTGCAATTTCAGTAAGAGCTGAAGAAATTTTTTTTCGGTACGCAGTTCCTCTATTCGTCAAGAACAATCATTTGTGCGGCGAAAGTTCAACATTCCAGGAGAAAACACAAAGTAGCCGTCGGCGACGCCTTCAGAATTCATGATTTTGTGAGCCATAAAAACAAAATTGGAAAGAATTGAAAAATGGAGAAAAATAAAGAGATGGTGGATGTTGTTTCCTTCGTTCGTTAGTTGGACAAAAATTCTATTCAACGTGTGTGGCTGAATGAAAAATCCTAATTAAATTCCAAAGGCGAGTAACACCATATAGGAAGAAATAGTAGTAGTAGTAGTAGTAATAATAATAATAACGACTCACATATGATGAAAAAAAAATAATATTCGAAAAAGCATCAAAACGGGCAAAGCGATTCAAGGGAAATTCAATGCTCTGCATTCTCACACATTACTCATGTCATGAAATGTTGAGCTCAACTCCTTTTTTGTGGGGGCAAAAGAACGAGGTTTTATGTTGATCGTGCACGACATGCCCATAAATGATGATGAGAGGAGAAGCTGAACGAGCCGGGTCTCCCGCAAGCCACAAAAAATAATGACTCGCGGAAAAAAAAAGAAGAGAATCGTAAAACGAATGTTTATTGTTTCAAATTGCGCACTTCCCCGAAAAAAAGATCATGCAATTTTAAGTTGCCTTCCTACTGCGGTAGGTTGTCTCATTTATAACCTACCTCCACAGAGCTTTTTGATAATAATTCTATCAAACTTTAATATTTCGATATCTTTCTGATTATTTCAACGATAGAGAATTTTGCAAAGAATACAAAGGCGAAATTCTGATGTCCGTTTGTTCAACAAATTTCCTGTTTTTCGATTTTGTTTCACGAGTTTGAGGGGAAGCATTGAATAAAATAATTTCCCAAAAAACTAACAAAAAATAATCCGGTTCACATTTGCAGATCCAAGAAGACCCTGGACGAAATATGTTTGTTGATAAGAATAACCAAATAAGGATACAATATTGAGCAAAAAACAAAGGTGAACAAACTTCGACATTGAGCATTGCGCGAATGTTTGTGACATTCACAATTAAGCGACATTCATGAGATCATCGCGAGATAACATAACAATTCAGAAGCCAAGTAAATATTCGCGCGCGCAAAAAGAAAACAGACACAGAAGCAGCGATTATTTGAGCGCTGATTGAAATGAAAACGAACGGACAATGCGACGACGCAGACTGTTCGACGTCCACAAACGCACACGCATCCGGTAATTGTGTGTGATTGAGTTACGGACCGTATAATTATACATTACTATGTATGTGGGAGGTTATTCATTGCGTTCACCTCATCCAACGATTATTTTTGTATGAATCAATGGTTTTTAAAACATCGAAAAAAGGTTTTCTTGAATTTGGACACTAGATGATTACAAGGATGATGGCTGAATGTAGCCGTTCTTTATTGTTCGTTTCTGTTATTTCGTCTTCAAAACATTCAAAAAATTAAAAATTGTAGTTGAAAATACAAGTCTTGTGATTTTTAAGGATTTGAGTTTCGATCTCTTCATAATGATTACATTTTATTTCTTTTATCTATTTTAATAATAGAGGTGAACACTTAACTATTCATATATTTAATACCGGAAATAATAATGAGATTATGTGTTAAAAATGTTAAAAAAGAAAAGAAAAATTCAATACAGTAAAAAATAAAAATATTATTTTTAGTTTTCCTTTTACTGAATTTTGCTTTCTTTTTTAAAACTGTATCGACCCCTTTAATTACAAAAAATCACCATTTGAATTTTCTGTTTTATTCGTATACATAAGAGTTGGAAGAATGAGAAGTTCGAGGATCACATTTAAAAAAGAAAGCATTAGCGCGAATCCGATTTTTGTCACCTTGACAACTCGCAACCACATAAGAAAACGTCAAAAGAAAACAAAAAACGGCATTTTGTTCGAAGCGAAAAAAATAACAAACGAGAAAAGAAAAGACATTTTGATTTATTATTAATGTTAGTTACTAAATTAAAATCTCACAATTGAACAGTATCACATAATAATTTTGGCACAATGTGGAAATAACGAAAATAGATAGAATCGAAGAATTAGCTCAAGAAAATTGCTTGGAAATGGGATTGGACAATAACCTGCGTTTTGGACTGAACATCTGCCAACGAAGAAGTGTGTGCTGACGGCGGTAGAAGAAGGACGAGGAGACGAGAATTCACCTGTTCAATTTAATGTCTTTTGAATTATGCATACTGGTTACGTGGAATTAATAAACAAGGCCAACGAATTCGGAAGTCTAGAAGCAAATCTAATGTATTAGGAAAATTCAAAAAAATTGTTTTCTTCTTTCTCTGGTACTTAAAAACATTTGAATAAAAATGTACAACAATTGCATCGGTAATGAACAAAAATTCGACAAAAAAAGGCATTAAAAATATATTAAAATTTTGTTTGCAAAAATTACCTTTTTAACTACTATCCACCAATCGGTGTCCGATTTTACAAAGCATTCTCCAAACTCTTCAGAGTCCGACACAAAATTTGACATGGTGTCACACACGAGCCTGAAATTGATCACTCTAAAATAGATGTGACATGCTAATTATTCGAAGCAGGTGTCAGGAAATTGTCGTATTGTTACAACGACCGAATACATAATTGCTGCTCAATAAAAACAAAAGCGATGTGTATAATCGAATTTAAGGGAACTAAATTTATGCCTATTTCCATTTTATTTACAAAAAAGAATGTATTGTGAAATAAGAGCGGAAACGATTACCTATTCACATCCATTGGAGGCATTGCAATTTTCGGTAACGAATTGACCGTTTGATAGACATTCGATTGATTTGCCAACGACGACAATGAAGAAGTCATCGATAGGGAAGCTGGGTTGAAATAAATATAATGGAAATCAGTTGGCATTGATGTTTGCTCGAGTTCGCTGCTGATTCTGATTTGGAGCTTTAAATTAAAATAATTTTCAAAGAACTCACTCATCACCGATTTTGTTTGCAACAATTGATAATTCAGTTTCTAAGAAAGAATCGATGTTTTTGAGCATTCTTCGACTAACAATCCGCTTTTGAACTCCATTAGTCTGAGCTGGTTTTTCTGAATAAAATAAAAAAGACGGTATATTAAAATTATTAAATACCTTCATTGCTGCTCACAGAACTTTGCCTAGATTGCTTTTCTGTGTGCTCAATGCAGCGAACAAACATACAAATTGTCGCATTTAAGCAGCGATAAACCATCTGAAATATATGCAGAACTGAATATAAATTAAGACACCGACTAACCATTTGATATTTTTGTAAGAGTTCTTCTTCTTCTTCTCCAATCCCAATATCTACGGACCCTCCGAGTTCAGAAGTGTGAAGATGCACAATTGGTAAACATTCATCCCCCAAAAGCGGGTCGTCTGATGTTAAGTTAACAGGTCCTCGTAAGTATCTTCCTTTCGTTGATTTTGTCCTGGAGTAAAAATAGGTATATTGAAAAACGCAACAAAATATAGATGTTACGTGGTTGGTTCCAATTCTGGGGCGAGAACTGTTGGCAAAAGATTTTGTGTGAGATAATGAAACAATGAAGGTAGATCCCGTCGAGATAATGAGTAATAAAGTAATTTGCTCTGAAAATTGCACAATTAGAATAATTTCATTAATAGCGCTATGTCGAAAACTCAAGAAAGTGATTAAAAAATTTTTTATTCGGCACAGGGTTTATAGTGTTTTTGATGTTTTCATATTGAACCTGTTTATTCGTTTCTTGCAAAATCTGCATAGTCCTATTAAATTAATACCTGATAGAAGAAAACTATTTTTTCAATAAGAGGGAACTCTTCTTGAAGTTCAGAGATCAAAGTAACGACATTCAGGTATAATGGTCCAGATATCCGCAAAAATTCGACGCCGCCAAGATGATCCAATAATGGCATCTGAAATAAAATAAACAAAAAATAATATTAAAATAATATGAAAAATACCTTATGAACCTTAAGAAGAGGAATGTATCGGGAAAAAAAGAAATCCAGGCGATCTTTGAATTTAGATTCATCTTCAGTCAACCTAAATTTTTTATTTTTTTTCTAATAATCCTGTAAATATTTTTAGCTTATACTTGAAGGATTCAAACGTGCCAAAAAACATTCGGAACATTTTATAGGCATCACAAAGAATGTTTCGAAGAGCTGGTTGAAACAATGGGTAATCGGAAACGAAGCTGAGTTGTCTGAATCCCACAAAATATATTATTATTATAAAAAAACTCACTTGGACAAAGCGACTCCCATGATGAATTTATTGTTTTCTATCTATAAAATTTAAAATAATCATTAGCAAACATTTATATAAATAATATATATTAACAAACCTGAATATAAATATGTTCCGCTTTCTGAGTCGATACCGTTCGATATTCGAATTCGTCAGTGCCTGATAAATGAAAAGGTGGTCGATTCGCATGTGACAAAAAATTATCGGTGAAATTAACAACAGCTTCAGCAAATCCGGTTAATTCTGTCTGTAATTAATTTACTTTTAATTGTAATACAGAAATTACTGCAGAAATTTACCTGTCGGTCAATATTTTCGCTTTTCGGATGAAAATACATAACTCTTTTGTGTTCATCGCCCTCTTTCCGTCCACTATCAGGATGTGCAATAAAGAAAAAGTCAAGAACATCTGAAAAATCATTAGAATTGAGCGAAACTTATAAGAATACCTATAAATCGAATAACATTACTCGAAGATGGGGATGTTGTCGTGGAGTCTGAGAAGAAATAAAGAGGATTTGCAATAGACGCCATTCTGAAATATAAATATGGATATTCATCAAATAATAAAGCAAATATATTTATTCATCACAAGCAAAATAAATAAACATATTCGGACTAAATACTATATTTTGCAGTTAATGTAAACGCGAAGCGTCGTTGTAAAAAGTGAATAAATGAGAAGAACTGACATTTCTAAAAAAAAAAGCAGCGTTCATTTCAACTAAGAAATTGAAAATTAATATGCGAAAAATATGGATTCAATTAATAAGTTTAATTAGTTTCTTTCCGACGGTAACGCACGGTGAAGGTATGTAAATAAGAAGAATGCAAGCATTTAACAGTTAATAACTTTAGATTGTACAGAAAAAGATATTCGAAATGTTAATTCCGTATGTGAAACTTTTAGCTCAACGCTTCATATAACTGGTTTTGACAATGGCAAATTACTCTGTTACTGAAAATATATCTAAATAGAATTTTAGCAAATTTGAATAATGTGAAATCGAAATTAGATGCAATTAAACACCTCAATGATGGTTTGATTATAGCAAACAATAGCTTTAATTCGATAGAATTCTCAAATCTTGAAACGATAAAATCGCAAAATGGTTTTTTAAAAATTAATGTATTAAAATGCAAAAAGTAACTTCCAGATGTGCCTCTAATTTTAGCAAATAATAAGCACTTGGAAACAATATTTTTTCCAAAATTAAGTGATGTTCAGAGTGGACTGACGGTAATATTTTACCCATATTGTGTGAGCTCTGCAAATCGTGACGTAGAAAAGTCGAGCTCTGGTAACTCAAAATCAATCGGATTATGCGTTTTGTTTTAATATTTCAATTCGAATCGGATTCGACAAATAACCAATCTTATCCGACAAATTACCAATCGTATTCGAAAATACCCAAGAAACTAATCGGATTCGACAATTTTCCAATCTTATTCGTAGAAATACCAATCGGATAACGTTAATTCCAGAGCCGAATTTTGTCGAATCCGATTGGTTTTGAGTTACCAGAGCTCCTCCTCTTGCACTCACACTCTTTCAAAACTCGATTCACCGCCGTTTCGATTTTTATGGTTTGAAATATTTCCCGGAAAACTAGGCATTTCTCGGTTTTTTCGAAACACGCAAGCTCCACCGTTACACCAGATGAATTTTCGAGTATACAATGTTCATTTACGGAAAATTGCCTATTTTCGTAACTACCGTACTTTTTCAGTTGACATTTCGAATTAATTTTTAATTCTATTTACCACTGAAACTGGGGATTGTTAAAAAATTGAAAGAAAAAAATACTTTTATTGTCTGAACCAATTTTCATCCACTTTCAATCCATTTCTTTTTTGTCTTTTTCTCAGTTGCAGTGACGGCGGCTATTAATCTTTCAGCCTGTTCTTATTAGAATTATCAATGATGATTACGCAAATTTTATTTACAAACGGGTAGAATCGTATGTTTTATTAATTAATCTTAAATAATGCTCTTCTTTTAATTTAGATACAATACTTTATTAGCGTTGGAACGTTTTACTACCTACAGAAATTGCTCTTCCAACTTTTTCGAGATAATTCAAGCTAAGGGTAAATTCCGAAATTTGAAAATGTAATATGACCTTTTAGTCATTAATCGAGACTATACTTTCACAATTATTCTTTCCATTACGGCAGTCGTTTTAATTTTGATGAATGGTCTCGTTGTATTCGAAATCACATTTTTCAAAAACTGGAGGGAATCGAGGAATAAAGAAGTGAAAACAAGAATTGGTTTTTTTTTCAACGATTGATTTCAGACTGATGTGCCAGGCTTTCAACATCAGCTAACGCCCGCTGTTCCCCCATCCAATGTTAATCTTTCCAAATAAAGTTGATTTATTCTTTGGGTTTAATTTTTTAATTATTAATAATAAAAAAATTAAAATTAGTCCTAATAGGAGAAACAATCAAATTTATGAAATTCCTACTTCTTGATTAAAAAAAAACATTTTCGAGTTCTCTCATATTTCAGTAATATTTATATGTTGTCATTTCTAATAATGCAGGTGATTTGAATTATTGCGTTTTCCCCGAAGTAATCCCCCAAACAATACTTTCCAATGTTTCCCTTATTCCTACATATTTTTCTTCAAATCGGAGTAGTGGCGACCATAAAATGTGAATGTGTAGGGTTTGTATTTAAAATCTAGAATGATTGAAACAACAAATTGATATTCAGATTCGTGGGGTGTTGTTATGGGTTTGATTCGTGCGAAGGAGATTTTTGCTTTAGTGCTTGGGGAGTCGCTGGTGGATCTGTTACAAGAAAGGTGTGTCCAATAATTATATTTGATCCTGTATTCAATTAACGGCTGAATTAAATAATTAATTAAATATTGTGTAGCCAAATTCGTTTTTAGGGGTGCATATCAAGTCGCGTAGAACTTAACACAAAAACCTGTCAAGCTCAACGAAAAGGAGAAGTTGCTTGCCTTTGTATGCACTTTTTATTTACCAACACATTCGACAATTTTTCCAGGTGATTCTGATAACTGCAATAGTGACTCGTTCGCAATTCCTAACGACGCTATCATAGCAACCAAGCCAATCATTAAATGCCACATTGACAGTACCATTTCTGATGATTTTTGCTTTGGTCAGCAATGTTTTTGGGGTGCTTCAGGAGTATGTTTTCATATTTTTCCCGAAATTATACATATAAAGTTGGGCTGGAAAGGCAAGAAATCATACATTTACAGTATGTTAACGAATTTGGAGACTACTCATTTGATTACGTTTCTCGGAAGTGTTTCGACTCCATTTGTAAGCATTCATTATTAAAATTGATACAACTCTGCTTTAGATGGTGACGGATTCAATAATCTCGAAGATGCTTGTGAAATAAATCAACCCGGAAATAATCACGTCACGATATCATGCTCTTGTTCGACGGTATGATCCTTAGTTTACGGTAAATCAAATTTATTAGCGGCTCTACTGTCAGAGTCAAACGACTTGTCGAAATTTTAAAAATGATTGGCTATGCGCCAAGGCTTCTCGAAGTAGCGAGAAGTACGCGAGACAGCGTACATTGCATTATAGTGTACGCGTATTAAATATTCAGTCAACGAAAAATTTAAATTTACACAAATTTCGCCAATTAGAATTTCCGGCTCCCTTCAGTCTTTTGACGCCGACAATATATATCGAATATTTAATGCGCGTACACTATAATTGTGCCGATGAGATCCACGCAGGGTGCCGAATACATTTTGATCGCGGGGGACCTATACTGCACTATGTGGGTCCCTTAAATGCAATTTTCCCGCGGGACTGTATAACGCACCATGTGGGTGTTTATCTGCATGTTAGCAAAAAAATTAAATTAATTATTTTAAAAATTTAAAGATTTTTATGGAAATAGTTTCAGGAATTTTGCAACGCCGAGCAGCCTTACGCAGTAGATGTTGGAGATACTATTTGCTATTTACACCATTCAATTGAAACACTAGGAAAAACGAAATATTGTAGAGGTTCTAATATTTTTTGTAATAATTCAAATGAACACGAGATTTTCAGGACATCTCTGCTTTCTTCAAAAAGAACCTACGAATGTGGTACGTGGATGTGTAAGGTCTGCTTTTTTAAAGTTTTGTCTTTTCGTGATTTCATTTGATTTTTTATTTTCAGCGTTAGCAATGGAGCGGAGATACTGAAACAAAACGGAAAAGAATCACTCGATACCAACACCAGATATCTCTGCAATGAGAATCTTTGTAACGGCGACTACGTTACTGCAGCAGCCGTCAAATTTTGCAATTATTGCATTTTATCATTTATTGCTTCTTTGTTGTTAATTTGACGTAATAAACGTTTCCTATCAACGGTTGGAGTATTTGTTTATCAATGTTACAAAATTATCTAAATGTTTTTAGTTTAATTCGTTAAAATTGAAAATTAGTACTTCATTTACCAATATTACTATAATTGGGTATTGAATAGGTTTGAAATTGTGAATTTGTATCACGCAGCAAGCGCGCGCTACCGGACGGATAGCGGCAATTTCGAATGTGACCCGCGTCGGTTGCGCGTACCACAAACCTGTGCGGCACGCTCATTCAACACATATCTTGTCATTCGCAATCTTCGTATTTATGCATTGATATTGAACGTAGTATTTCAGCCGTCTTCGTGACTCTCGGAAAACGTAGACAAGATGATGCTCCGATCGAAGTCGAAGAACGTGCCAACTATTCCCGGTAAGATCGTTTGATTCCGCACAGCTCGTTTAGGCCGACACGATTAGTTTTAGACGCTCGTCAAAAACGTAAACAAGACAATTTAAAATACCCAACCGAACCCGCACCAAAGAAACAAATCGTGAAAGGAGTTTCGGATTTAAGCGACGGAATCTCGGGATTTTTAATTGACTCGTCGAAACGCGCGTGCCGTTCGAACGACGAAAACGTCAAGTAGTTTTTATTATGAAAATGATATACATATGTTAAATTAGGCCGGGAGAACTTGCCGTCGCTCGTGTTGATTCGTTCGTTGATCCTATTCCGGATTACGATTTCGATAAGGAAGAGGCTCATAATCCGGACAGTGTGTCGGAATTTGCTCAAGACATCTTCCGCTATTACAAGTCGAGAGAAGTAATCTAATATTTCTAATTTCCAACTGATTTTAATCTTTCAGGTTAACTTTCGCGTTGTTGATTATCTTAAGAGACACCCTGAAATCGACATCAAAGTTCGCGCGATTCTCATCGACTGGCTTGTCGAGCTTCAAGAATCGTTTGAGCTCAACCATGAGACGCTCTATAATTCGGTCAAGCTTGTAGACATTTATTTGTCGAAGACAAGTAATGTTTCAAGGGACACGATCCAAATGATGGCTTGCGCCGCCATCTTCATTGCTGCCAAGTTCGATGTAAGTTGTTCGAAAAGTGTGATATCTTGAGCATCGAGATGTTGGGGTTGCATATATAAACTCGGATAATGGTGCACCAGTGAAAAGAAATGTATCTATCTCTCAAACTCACACACTCCATCAATCTATTCACCGCCGTTTCTACGGTTTGCTGAGTGGTTCCGAATTTCCGCATCTCCTCGCGATTGCCCAATTTTTTCACATCTCTTTTTTCTTTCATAAATGGGGAATGAATGGTTGTTAAATGGAGTCCCGAGCCCCTCCTGTTTATTAATTTACACCTAATCCTAACGCTAAATTCTTATTGGTGTGTGTTTCGCCCGCGGCTAATTGTAAGTATCTGCGGAAACTTCCGGATCTCCTGTTTTTTTTGCGTTGTTTCGTGAATATACGTGCAAATTCAAACATAAGCTCTGCAAGGGGCCACTTTAAGAAATGAACGAAAGAAACCCAATATCTGTCAATATACTGACTTGGACTTGGCGAATTTTAAAACCCCGCCTCCCTTCAATCGCTTAACGCCAATCATCAAACGTTGAACGGAAACTGAAAATTGAGTTTTACCACTTTTTATTCTTTTTTCTAGGAACGTTCACCTCCACTCGCTGATGACTTGATTTATTTGGCGGGTGATCGCTTCGATCGTGATTCTCTTATGGCAATGGAGCGTAAACTGTTCAAGATTGTCGACTTCGACCTCGGAGCACCATTGAGTTATCGCTACTTGCGTCGTCTCGGACGTGTGATGCGTATCGATATGGCGACGCTTACTCTGTCGCGTTATTTACTCGAAACTTCGCTTCTTGTCTATGACTACTCATTGGTGTCGGCGAGTCGCATCGCATCGGCTGCGTTTTTGCTAGCGATGAAGATGAAAGACCGCTCTTTCAAATGGTTTATTTTTAATTTTCACCATTGATTTCATTATGTTTTAATTTTTAGGAATTCGATTCTCATCAAGTATTCCGGCTATATGGAAGATGAGGTAGTTCCGCTAATGGAACATCTGAATCATATGATTCATTTCGTTAACACTCAATGGGAGCAGCTTGTCAATATAAGAGAGAAATATTCACACGAGTATGAAACAATGAAAGAAAAATGCATTTTTCCCTAAATTACAAATTTTAGAGTGTTTTTCAAGGCGGCTTTGGTGCCATTGATTCCAGATACTTATCCATCTACAAGCGAAATTCCGCCACTTCCACAGATGTCTTTCCCATAATTAAACGATTAATTTATGTGGCACGAAGTGCAAATTACTACAACGATCTCTGTATATTGATCAATCACTGTTCGATTTTTGCTGCTTTTTTGCTCACTAACCTCCAATTTCGATTTTCTCTCAAAATTTTCTCAAATTGTTTACCTTCTGAAAAGATTGTATTTTGAATATTTTAACATTCCGTTTTAATAATACGTTTTTGCTATATTTATTTATACTATTTGAATATGGATTGATAAAATCGAATAAATCGCATCGTTTCGATTGCCGAACGTAAGTTCTTCTTTTGCAATTGTCGACGTCAAATGGCCTAACAGTGACTAGAAATTCAATATTGTAAGGAAGTTTCGATGCAGATATAAGGAAAACATTATTACTCTTTTATTTTTCTGAATTGCTTCAATAGGAATATTTTCAAAAATGACATCCCTTGTTAGGCGTAATTGTTTCTAAGAAGAGAAAAGTAAATAACAAAAATTCATTTCGTGACACCGTCGAATTAATGTATCGAGCTTGAATGTGTCGCGTGTGTTCGACTCGTGTGATGCGGTACAACTGAACTGGTTCCTCGGCTTGCGTGAAGAATCTTAAATTCATTTATAATTTATTTTTAATAATTATTAATGAATAATTTATTGTACCTAATCATGAAATGTTTTTTTTTACGAAACAATACTTTTAATTTGCATTCTTTTACAGCCCTGCATGTAAAAATTTAGATTAAAAAAATTTTTTTATTACATGAATAGATCTATATGATTTTGAATACGAATATACGATACGATATACGGTTAATACGTTCAATTCAATCCAAAATATGCTTACCTTTTTTCGGAAAATTCGAAAAACTCCCTTCCGAATAGTTGTATTCATAAGAAGATAAATAATTGCTGGGCATCCGTGGCCAAGTTGCCACGAAATGTGGCCAATCACAATTATAAAGTCGGCAACTGGGAAGAATTGCATGTAGACGTAGACCATTGCAGCAACGAAATTGACCAAGCAGATGATTGTTGATTGAAGGAAAATCTGGTCATTTTGAAATTTAAAAATCAAATAATTGCTTTGATTGTTCGTCTACCTGCGTATGTGATCTCTTATGATTGGATTCTTGATTTTTCTTAAATTGCTTTGCAATTCTTGAACAGAAATATCCGTAAAGAAGACAAGTTGCGACGACAATGAATAGATTATTTGCAGTATGAGGTATGTTTTGGTATTGAAGCGAAATTCCTAAAAAATTTTATCCAAACTGCAGTAATTGCTTTTTGATGAATAAATACCTTCAAATATAAACGGATCAAAAAACCACGCTTGGAATTTTGATGTGAAAAGAAGCGGCGGTGTGAAGAACACAAAATAAAGCCCATATAGGGTTGGAATGAGAAGTACCAAAGTCGTACGATGTCCAGAGAAATAACGCTTAACTATAGTTGGAAACAAAATATCAAGGATTCGATTGAGAACGAGTATCAGACATATGAGACAGGCGGCACACCAGAAGCCCAATCCGAGAGCACCGCTAATAAAAATCAGCGTTGGATGAGAGCAGTACACAGACCCTTCGATTAGGAAGTAGCCAGTTTCAATTGAATTCACACCTAAATTATTATTACATTTTTGTTTTAAATTTTAATGATACTGATTTACCAATGGCAAACATGTCGACGATGCCCAAAAGAAGCATAATTTTGAAGCACGACAATCGAATATTCTCCTTTTTCATCATTACTGTCAAACATGGCAAATATACGATCTGATGAAAAAGTTAAAAAATAGGTTGAACAATGTTTGAACAAAAAAAATGATAGAAATATGTACCTCAATAAATGCTCCATAGATGACATCAATATGTAACTCCAAGAAGGATTCGGCGGGTCCCGTCATTTTTTGTGTATTCTTCTGGAGTCGCATATTTCGCGCTGAAATGGTAATTTATTTTAATTTACAAAATCGAAAAATAAAATGAATACCTGCAATTGAAATTGGGAATAGTGTTGACGTCTCCTCCATGAGAAATAAGCCATTCCATTGAAGCTCAATTGAAGCTCAACACTCAAAATGAGTTATCATTGACGTTTTATACAAATTGCCGCCGTCCATTTTCTACCGTATTCCTCAAAAGAATTATTGTTTGGCTGTAATTCTTTACAAATGTCTTAATCCGACTAGTGAGTAAAATAGTAAATATTTGAGTCGTTCGACGTATTTCGCGAATACCGGAATGACGGATTCTCGGGATTAAGCTTTGAGTATTCAACTGATGCCAATACTATTTAAAATATGATGAATGCATATGTGTATATATATATATTTATAGAAAAAATATCAGTGAAGTACATACGGAGGATTCGAACAAAAATAAACTTATTATTCAATTATTATTATTATTATAAAAATAACAAACTTTGTGAGAATCTTATTAAAAAAAGAAAAAAGAAATTAGCCATTTAAACTAAAAATGATAATTTTATACTACAATTAAGAAAACAATCGATTTTTCCGTACAACATTTGTGCTTTTTTCCTTCTTTTCTAATAATAACACACAGTGCAATTTCAAATATTTATGTTATCGCGAAATTCATTCGAGAATGATGGTTTTTTTCAAATGATCTCCTTATAGTCGATTGCGAAATTAGTGATCATTGTGGCTACAAACCACGCTTCTGTCAGCTGTGGTTCTTTTTAACGAGACCTCGATTTTGTGTAGGAAAAACAAATGAATGTTGGTATAAAAGAAATTTGAAAGAGTGAGTTCAAATTACTCTCGATGGCTGTTCTTATTCTTCTTCTAACTTTAATTCTTCTTTGGTTGGTTTACGAATTAAATTGGAAACGTCGAAACCTTCCACCAGGTGAATATCTTTTTTTTTAATTTTTTTTCTAAAAAAAGAACCCAATTCACAGGACCAACTCCATTCCCATTAATAGGCAATCTGTATAGAATGTTTACTTGCAAAGCGCCGGGTCTGGAATGCTATCAAGAATGGAGAAATCAATATGGAGATGTGTACACTGTTTGGATGGGACCCGAACCAGTTGTCGTCATTGCGGGATATCAGAAATTGAAGGAGACATTTTTAATGGACGGCGATTCATACAAAGACAAAAAAATTTTTTCTAGCTTCAATAATGCGCTTCGAGGTTTGTTTGAACTAAAAAAAAACAGTTTCTCTAATTTTGTGATTTTTTGATTTTCCCAGGAGGAGACTATGGGGTAATTGACACAAATGGGGAAATTTGGAGAGAACATCGACGATTTGCTCTTCACACACTGCGAGATTTCGGTCTCGGAAAGGAATTAATGGAAAATAAAGTTAGAAAACTTCGTGAAATCTAAAAGAATAATGCACGTCGAATCTCAGATTCTTCTCGAAGTCGAACAATTGATTTCGGAAATGAAAAATACGCCGAACGATCTAGATATTCAGGTTTAGACAATCTCAAAATTTATCAAACCATTATTTCATTTTAGAATTTATTTGATATTTCTGTGGGAAATATTATCAATCAATTTTTGTTTGGAGGTCGATTTGAGAATGCGAGTTTTCATTCTCAATTATCGATTATATTTGAAAATTTTTTCAGACGAAAAAATTCCGCGACATCAAATTTCATATTAATAAATTTTTTGAAATTTCTGGAACACTTCGAATAAATCTTGCGTTTTTGCCGAAGGAATACCAAAAAAACTGAGTGAAATATTAGCACCAGAGTAAGTGAAACTCATTTTTAAATTCAAATTTTAAATTTTATTAAGTTTCCTTGAATGCCGCGATGGAATCTTTGAATATATTAACAAAGAAATCAATGCTCATAAAATGAATATTGACTACAGTCTCGAAGAAAGTAAAGATTTCACGGAGGCTTATTTGAAGGAACAAAAAAGAAAAGAAGCCAATGGTGATCTCATTTCATTCTCGTAAATATTTTAATAGAATATTACTACTTGAATTCGTTATATTTTTCAGAGATATTCAATTGAAAAATGTTTGTTTCGACATGTGGATAGCCGGAATGCATACAACGATGAATACGCTCGGTTTCCTCGCAGCTTATGCTATTCAGAATCCTCAAAAACAGGTTCGATTTTTTCATAATTGAAAACATTTTGATGGTTATTTGAGAAAAAAGTTCATGACGAATTGGATAGAGTTATTGGCAATCGCTTAATAACGATGCAAGATAGACCCAGTCTACCGTACACAACAGCATTCATTAATGTAAGTGATTATCATACGGTGATTACAATACATTCTACTATCCTTAAATGTTCAAAGATTCGGAATTTCGAGTACGGCAAACCGAATTGAAATGATTTAAGGAATCGCAGAGAATGGCAAACCTTCTACCGTTAAATCTCGTTCACGCAACCACGCGAGATGTCAACATTGATGGATACAGAATTCCGAAAGGAACTGCAGTTGTACATCAAATCAGTAGCGTTTTAAGCGATCCCAAGGTAATTCCTCCCACAGAAACACATTCTTTCTTCCATCTGTGGAAACGTGGCCGAGCTTTTATCATCCGAAGCTTCTTTTAGGGGGGGGGGGTTTTTAAATATAATCGGCGGTTAACGACTACGGAAAATAATAGGATACCTAGGGGTGCATAGCAATTAGAAGGAGGGGATGTTATAAAGAAAATAATAAATTGTTATTTTAGATTTTTCCGAACCCCGACGAATTCCAACCGGAGAGGTATCTCGATGACCTAGGAAATCTGAAGAAAATCGAAGAACTCATCTCATTTTCCATCGGCAAAAGAGTCTGTCTCGGCGAGGGTCTTGCTCGAACTGAGCTCTTCCTATTCACTGCAAACATGCTCAACAATTTCGAATTGCTTCCAAATTCCGATGGAATTCCTTCGAAACACGTTGATTTCTCATTTATTGTCAAACAAGCCGATTTCAAATGCAATGCCAGAAATCGGTTCATTGATGATTCGAATAAATAATTATGTATTTCGAATGAAAACTAAGAATGACATCCCGCAATATCCATATCGATTGCTTCGGCCGACGATCTTTTGTCTTTTTCATCTGATTTTTCCACAATTTCATTGCTACCAGATTCGCGAGAATGCGAGCCGCGGTACGACGCGCGGGCAATGTCGAAGTCTAAAGTATTCGACAATTATAGGCAATCAATGAATGCGAATGCAATACCAGAAATACTTGGCGGCTTTTCTTTGGCAATTCTTGGAATTTCCCCATCCGATTTATTCAATCTTGAATAAACGTCGGCCGTGTCGCTGTTTTTCAGACGCGGTGTCATTCGCACGCAGGTGAATCTCGGACAACTCGCATCATCGTCGATCGCTTCCGTCTCGATAACACTCCGCACACTTCTGCCAGACACTGCCGCTTCTCTCTGCCGATTTCGAAGCGCCTGCCTTCTCTGAATGTGAATTTGCTCCCGAGTGCGGTCATTACACGAGCACATCATTATACTATACACTGTGATGATTGACATGATCGCAAAATTCAATACTAAACACAAGTATAGTTTTCCAATTACCATCAGCAAATTTTGGAGGCAGTCCTCCGGGAGATAAGGAGGCGAATTGCGATATGATCTGAATTCGCCCATTCTCAATCTACTTCCGCAGATGGGCAATTTGCCCACTTACTCCCACACAAACTGTCCCAAAATTTGCAGAGTAATTATAAATTAAGGAAAAAAAATTACGTTCATTTATTAGAAACCCAGTCATGTATCTTTAACGAAACCGATCAACTCGAATGAAAATGAGAAATAATCTGAAAATCGAAAAGCGCCTATCGCGTGAAATTAAATATTTCGTCCAACGGTGTGTTTCTTGCAAACTTTCATGAATAATTCACTCTCAGAATATATAATATTGATTGATTCGATCAAATTTGTAATGGAACATTATCAGCGGAGTAAAGTGTTCATTTCCCAAAAAAGCTATGTAAAAGTATACAATAATTTACTTCACAATTTTGTAGCACGAGTATGAAGAGACGTCCACAACTTTTGGCAAGTATTCCTTGGCGCATCCCCATTCTTTGGCGTTCATCTTCTTCGCCAAAGCTTTGCACACCTTGTCGACGAACTTGCGAGTGACTGAGCCGATGCATTTTCCGTAAATTTGGTTCATGCATGCTTCTTGTTTAGCAGCACCAGTCTTCTTATTGTTCTTCTTGCAGTTGTTCAACACTTTCAAAGCCTAGAATCAAACAATCCGAGAAGAAATAAACACTAACCCTTACCAAATTGATAACCGGTTTGGTTTGGTTAAGGAATGGTGTCATAAGCTTGTTAAGAAGCGCCATCAAATCTGTGCAGCCGTTGACTTAAATGTTACAAATTTGAAATTAGATAGAATAGTAAAAGCTCTTACATCCATTGTACAAACTCAATGCTGGAATTGCTTTGCTCATCGAATTGTTGATCACACAACTCTTGGCATCTGAACAAAGTAATATTGTTTAGAGATTAATATTTGTTGGAATCCTACTGGAAATGAATGTGTCAGTATCATTTGGGTTTTTGTAGAAGGGACCTTCGCAACATTTAATAATATATAAACATGTGAATTGGACTATATTAGATGAATATAAATATCGTTACTGGCTCCAATTCTTTGGCTGTATAGAATGTCACACCCAAATTGACGGCCTTGGTGCACACTCTGAATCGGTTGGTTTGTGCCGACACAACGGCAGCCAATAAAGTGATTCCACACAAAAGTTTGAACATATCTGAATTTGGATAGTTCAATAAAATGAAAATTTGAAAAAACGGGGTTGTCTTTTAAAATGATGTTCTGACCTATGATTTATACAACCAATATGGGCGTGGCGAATGAATTATCGCGGCTCAACTACCGTTTTTTTTCGGTTTCAACAAAAAATTCGCGAAACGAGAATATCAGATTAAATGATCACAAATCACTGGGAAAATAATTGTGGAAACTAAACGTTTTTTTCCAAGCTATTTCATTTGAATAAAAACGAAAAATTAAGTATATTGTCGATTTCGCCCGACTGCAGAAAATTGGCTAAATGCCAAAAAAGAAAAATCTCGGTGTACGTCTTTAACCCATCCTTGACTGTAAATCTATACTTTTCGTTTTTTTTCGTCAAGACCACTTCCATTGTGTTTTTTTTGGATAAAACCCCTATAAAAATAATCAAAATATTTATTTGCTGTATTTCTTTCCATTCTAACTTAAAATTTTTAATAATTTTAAAAATTGCCAATTAAATTTCGTCAAAATAATCGTGTAATAATTTGATTACTTCTATTATCGAAAATAGATAAACTTTGGGTGAATTCAAAAAAAAAAATAGATAAAACTACAATGTAGTAAAAAAGAAAAAATTATTATAATTCATTTTTATTTTGTATTTTATTTTATATGAATATTTGTCATTTTTTAGTACATCACTGCTTAATCAACTTGTTTTTCTTTTTAATAGATTTGATCGAAATGACCTCATTCTTATATGCTCATTTGATTCAATTGTAGTTTTCGAAGAAATCGAAGATGATTGCGGGACAATGACAAAAATTTCAATCGTGACTTTTGACCGTTTTCAACAATTTGGACAGTTGGATCGAGTATTTCCGAGAATTCACATTGGCGCAGTAACGACAATAAAAACGTATCCTTTGAGCAACATTTTTGCCTTCTTCTACCAGAAAAAATTGTTTTTTCTTCGAGTGATTTTGAATACATCGGAACATAACATTATATTCAAAAAAAAGCAGCGACGATACTGTAATCTCGATTCGTAATCCTCTGCTCATCCAAGTTTATTTCGAAACGTTTACTAGTGAGCAAAAACCAAAAAGATTAGTTCAATTTTACTTATTAATGTTAAAGCAGTCGTAGTTGTTAACATTGGCGACTTTTGGTGCGTATTGTTTGACACACGCCCATTCCTTCGCATTCATCTTCTTGACCAATCCTTTGCAGACTTTGTTCAAGAATTGTTTCGTAACTGAAGCCATGCATTTTCCGTACACTTGGTTCATGCATGCTTCTTGTTTCGCCTCTCCTGTCTTTTTGTTGTTCTGTTTGCAATAGTTTAGTGTGCTTTTCGCCTAAATGAAAAAAAAGAATTAAAACTTGACGGAAAGCATTACCAAATCAATAACTGGTTTAGCCAAATTGAGAAATGGATGTGAGCTTTCCAAGCAGTTCCATTATATCTGTGCATCCATTAACTGAAATAGAATTCAATATTGGTTCAATAATATACCAGCTTAAATTACAGCCGTTGTACAAACTCAATGCAGGAATCGCTTTATTCATAGAATTATTTATCACACAACTCTTCCCATCTGAAATTTAAAGTAATATCAAATTTGAAGTCTGAAATTCTAACTAGATATCATTGTATCGGTGTCATCTGGATTAGTATAAAACGGCTTCTCGGCACATTTTAAAATCTGAAAAAACTCCCTCAAGCTCCATTTTGTCATAAACCGCAAATGTTACTGGTTCCAATTCTTTCGCAGTGTAAAATGTGACACCAAGGTTGACCGATTTTGAACAAGCTTTGAAGCGATTCGTTTGGCCTTCAACAAGGGAAACGCAAAGCAAGATAACGACAGTTGCTCGAGACATTTCTGCAAAAAATATCAGAATATTAGAGTGAAATTTCGAAAATATCATGATATCAATGAAAATGTTAGTTTTTATTTATAGACGAAATCTTTGATCGAAATGGATTATTTCAGATCAAGCCAACGGTAAACAATTGGAAATTCTCGCGAAAATTGATGAAAACGTACAAACATTCATTATTTTCAAATTTTAAACGAGGAATGTTTTTGCAACTAACGTGTTCTAAAAAGAAATAAAATCGCAGTTACATTTATTATCAATTCTTGATATATTAATAAGCTACGATTGAAAAAAAGTTTAATTGGACCTGAAAAAATGATTATATGTTGAACATACATACATATTTTGCAGCTCCATTTTTGAATGGTCCCGGCATTTGCTGTATCTGCAGATCCATGGACCCGCATCTATCAATATTCCCATGATCATAGTAAAATGGATAATCCAGATTATTGATCTTTTTTTTTCCACTACACATTCTTCTTCTTGTTGTTTCGTTTTTTAATGTGCATGGTCTCACAGCGATTTTCGGACGTGTTACAGTTGTTTCGAATATTTCGTTCGATAGATTACTCGTCATTGAAATCCGCTCACGGGTCAAATTACATCGCGCATTCATTTTTAATCCGACCACATTGTTTTAATTGATTCTAAATACGAATTCTATAGTTTTTGAACAACGATTAATTAAATCGAGGGAAATTTGAGACAAAGTCGAGGGTGGTCCGTGAAATGTACAAAAAAAGTTTTCTAAGAGATTTTCGTTTTTTTTTTGTGTTTTTTTGTATCTCTGAACGTAAACAGTACACATTAATGGAGAAGCAAACGCGTGTTGAAACATTCATTCCTGACTTCCGACTTGATCCATTCGAGTCGAGCCAGAGATAGGAATATTATATAGTTTCTTTCTACTGCTTTCTGCTAAAAGTCGATAATTTTCAAAGTAGAATTTAGTCTTCATGGTAATAAGAATCTCATACCGACAATCAGAGATCAATGGGCCTATTCAGCGGCACATTTTCTCCACAAATCATCTCACACAAGTATTACATAGAGCCCATAAAATTTGACATTGAGCCTAGGCCTTTCAAATGCGAACCGCGCTTTTTCGACGATGTTTGTTTACGGAGGTGTATCAAATGATTTAAAGCATTATTATAGAATAAATAAATATGATGGGTTCAATTTTTGATGACTATAGGGCGCAAAGTTTTCGATTGATATTTCAAAAAAAAATTATTTAAATGAATAGTAAATTATAGACAAACGAAGTAATTAGATTGTGATACTAATTTCTAATGTTTACGCATGCTTCATGTTCATATCTTCCTATAAAATTTAACGCGGAAGAAATAAATTGAAGCTAGAGAAAGAAGAATACCGTCGGGTTCCATTTTATTCCTTTTTTGCACGTGCTCACACAGACGCAACTTTCCACACATTTTATTTCACACTTAACAATTTCCTGCTAATATTTAACATTTTTCTTTAAAAAATGGAGAAAAAAAGATTGTATTCACACATTCATAAAATTTTTAAATATTTTAATTCATTTAAATATATCATCTTTTATCAAAGCAACTTTTTAAAAAGTCAAATAATTTAAAAAAAAAAACACAAAATACTAGAAATAAGTTTGAAATTACAAAAAAAAAGAAGTAAAAATTGGTCAAAGCAGTTTTAAGAAAACACTTTGTTTTAATTAGATTTTCTTCAAAAAAATAATTTAGGATCGTTAATGGCATTGTTTGGACGGGCTTCGGATAAATCAAACATGTCATGACAGGAGTCATTTTCATGTCGTCGGATTGAATAAATTTTAGTGAAGAGCTAGGGAATGTCCAACAAAAATATGTATTCCAATCAATTTTCTGTCAAGGTAAGCTAATTTTAAGTCAAAAAAGTTATCTCCTGATGAATTGTGAAGAAAAGAGAATGGAAAATCGAAGCTAGATTGCGCCATCTGTTTCGGCTTGCTCTGTTGTAACAAAAATTAAAAGTTTTAATTTAAGTGTTCAAACGTGTTAGTGGAAATGAAAAAAAGTAAATTTAAATCTTAAAGTGAGCAAAATATTCCATAATTAATGTGAAAATATCAACAGACTAGTTGAAATTAAATCGGAAAATGATGGTCCGTAAAGAATCGTCCAACTGAAATAATCTTGAATCGTCCAATTGACACACCATTCATGACCTCATCGTCGACAACATAACCGACACATCACTGAACCATAACTGCATTCTGAAGCAGAATATAAGCGCCATATATGACATCCCATTATTTCATTTCGAGTTTTTTCCGCACATTTGTATGCAAAATTCACGGGGGGAGGAAGCTACAATTTGAAGGTCCATATCTCGATAACTAGATTTTTGCGCAGACCTTGTTCATTCGATTGGAAATTTTTAAAGACTCTGTATGCAAAAAATAAACAACATTTTAAGACGGACAGCAAAATGACCTCCGTTACCCTTGTGAGATGATCCTCTATCAATCGCAATCGTGATTTCTTATTTTTTCCCAGATCATTGGTTTTTTCACTGGACGACGACCAAACAATCCAGTATGGCGGAGTCGATTTTTAACAGTCTCATCGCAAACCTATATCGATTATATCATTAGAATTATCAAAAAAAAAGCGGCCTCAACTTCTGGGGGGGGTCTAATAATGAGCACATACTGGAGGACCTACTTATGTTGCAATAAAGAATTAAGAAATCAGTTTCTTTGAATAAAAATTGGATTTCCGCGTTGATGTTTTGGTGCTGTTCATTGAACTTTGATACGATAGAAAACTCTCATCACATGTTCCCCCCCCCCCGTTCTTGAAACGAACCGCCGTAGATGAAAAACAAGAGTGGTTTTTCAAATTCATTTTGGAGCGCGAATTCGGTCGTCTCACGATGAGCATCATCCTCATGTCAAAACTGTCGCGCGCCGTTGTTGTTGCGCTGCGTCTCATCATCTCGAACGCTCTCTCGCAATGTGTACGTTTTGAGCCCGAAACCGTCGGTCGGGAGAGGGGGCCGCGAAAGGGCGAAGAACCGCGCGATTATATCCGTGCACAATAACATTTGTTCGACACATTATCCGCTGGCTGGATTTGTGTGATCATCCGGCTTGAGCTGCATCGCCGCCACCGAGACAAGCTTTGATTTTATCTGGCGCCGAAGAGCCGCAGCAGCAACGTGTCGTCACGCAACATTGGTCCGAACTCCACGCAAATTGGCTACTGCCCAAATTCTACCGAGGTAAATTTTTTGTGATCTAGAAATTTCATTTTAAAGTTTGTGCTTGTCCAAATTCTGCAAATCGACATATACAGGGTGTCATTTAAGTTCCCGCACAACTTTGAAGACGTATATTTCTGAAACTAAAAGTCCAAATCAAACGAGACTCAAAATATTTTTTATCTATAGTATAACAAATATTTATTTATTAACTCTTTTTGATTCGGCCTCCTTTCGCAGCTATGACTTCACGGAAACGCTTCGGGTAGGATGCGACTGTGGTACGCAGGTATTCGATGGAAAGATTGTCCCATTCCGCCAGTAATGTCTTCTTCAGAGCCTCTACACTTGAATGGGGTTTTGCGTTGACCTTCTCCTGCAAGACCCCATCACGGGAAAGTCAAGCGGGTTCAGGTCTGGGGAGCAATCAGGCCATTCGGATGACTTGATGAAGTCGGGAAAATGGGTCTGGCACCACTCCTGAGTAGTTTTGGCAGTGTGGGCGGCTGCTCCGTCATGTTGAAAGACCCATTTCTGCCCACCGAAATGCGTTTGGGTCCAGGGCATCACATGCTTCTCCAAAATGTCCCGAACGTAGACTTCTTTGTTCACTTTCACCCCCTGATCCGCGAAAACCAGGGGGCACTTCCCGGTTGAGCAGATGGCAACGAAAACCATCATGCTGGCAGGATGTGAGGCTGGATGATATGTTCTTCTTTTCTCAGAAGCTTGCTGGGATGTCTGGGCAAGTACTCAATGGTTTTGTGAGTTGAATGCCGTCTCCACAGTGAACAGCTTCTCGTCGGAGAAGACAGTGACGAGGTGTTGTCCAGACCGCGTGCGAGCAAGAAGTCGTTTTGCTTTTTCGAAGCGTCTCTGCTTGCTGACGGCCGATAGAATTGCCGCTTTTTGGACACGATATGGGGTCAGTCCAAGCTTCGTTTTGACAATTTGTTCCATAGCGAAGATGCTCATTCCCATGTCTAACGCCATCTTTCTCATGCTCCTGTGGGGGTTTCGCCTGATCCTCGATTTGACGGCGTTGATCTTCTGAGGAGTGGTTACTGAGACGAGTCTTCCTTGTCTGGGACGGTGACTGGTCGTATTTAGCTCCTTGAAACGTTTGATGGTGTCGCAAACCGTTCTACGAGGCACACCGACCCGTTGAATGATGTCTCTCGAGCTCACATTTTGCTTATGAAGTTCGATAATGGAAGCGCAATGGATGTTAGCCTTCGCCATTTCTCGGAAACACATCCGAATGAGGTGAAACTTGGAAAGTAAGTAAAATATACCTTATTTAACAAAAATAAATTGTATTGGTGCACGAAAAGTGCGACAGCCAAGCTCTTCATGGCGTCAAACTTTTGTGCGGGAACTTAAATGACACCCTGTACACCCCCCCCCCATTCTGGTCACAAACAAATTCCATAGAGTCAAGTGTTTTTCGTATTATTCCCATTTTTGGCTCACTTTATGGGCGTGGCTTCCTGTAGAAACTGAATTGTTTACCCGAACAAATGTCACTTTCAATGGTTTTCATTTTTATACATTTTAAACAACTGTATTTACGTTTTCCATATTATATATCCAATCGAATCAAATTTTTATACGAAAGAGAAGCAAATGTAATACTCTAATATTTTTTTTCGATTAAAAAATTAGTATATTGCCAATTTAGTTCAGTTCATTCCAAACTGGAGTAAAATAAAACAAATAAATTCCGTTTAAATTTCTTTCGCGAAAATAGAAATTTTTAAAAATTATGCATGATGTTATTATTTATATTTGACACTCATCAGACGCGTGAATAATGTAAAATTGTTGAAATTTTTTCGGTAAATTTCATAAAAATTAAGCGATTGCACACTTAATAGATTAATTAGTGTTAGATCAATTATTAAACTCAAAAAAAAACGAGCAGGGTCGATTTACGGTGATTTTGCTTCGCAGGTTTACGATATCTGAATTGTTTAAATTCAAGTTTGAATTTCCGCTTTGAATGAGTTCGATGGTCCAAAGTTATGCACAATTCGATCGTTATCAGTGGTATTGTTTCAGATGCGTGCCGAAATGGGTTCGGTGCCCTTAATGTGCATCTTTTCGATGCTCACAAACAGTGTTCTCACCTATCTTCCTAATGAAGACCTTACAAATTCTTTACCCAATTCGATTCTTCCTGGCGGCGGTTTTCCAACAGAATCAATTCCATTCATTCCGTCCGGCGAAGAAGAAGAGACAGGATCACAAGAAGATGAAGATGCTGATTCGGTGTACCGCAAGAAGGCGACAAAATTTCGTCGTCGGAACATAAATGGTCCTTTTGGAGGGTTAGAAATACCATATTCGATGTAAAAGTAAATTGGTTATTTAGGCGTATACCATTCAGTCGAATGGCTTATAAAACAGGGTATGGTTCAAATAGATTCGGAGGTTCTCGTATGGGTGGAGGAGGTTTCTTCGAAAGAGAACGCAATCCATATGGAACGGTTACAATTGGTGGAAATGGTGCGTACGGCCCATATCCAGGTTAGTTATTGTTTAATTTTTTAATTGTTCAATTTATTTTTTAAATTTCATATCAAATACTTGTTGTAGACGAAGTGTACAATATGCGTCCGAGTCCGCCGTATTCTGGTTTAATCGGCGGTAGTCGAAACGGCTATTATGGTAGTTCAATTGGTGTTCGAAGACAAACACTGAGCAATCGAAAGCCATCTCCAGACTTTTTACGTATAATATCTCGGTAAATACCGAAATTTGAAATGTTTTATATTCAGCTGATTTTCCTGCGAATGATCTTGTTGGTAGCTTCAACAATAACAATCAAGCATTGCCATCGCTTCGCGAACTAGCAACATACGCTTCAAGATACGGACCAGCGTATCTGCGTGAACGATTCGGTTCCTCAGATGAGCGGCCGAATCATCCATTCCCGGGCTCCCAGGTGGCATTCCCGCGTGGCGGTGGCGGTCATACTGATTTCGGATTGAATATTGCCACTAACAACTGGAATGGAATTGGAGGAAAACTGGGCTATATTTCAAGAGATCCTGACTCTTATCAGCACGACGCAACTCCATCAACAACAACCGCACCAACAAAAACAAAAATTCCAAAGAAGAAAGCGAAGGCTTCGAAATCAAAAAATGCGGGAACTCCGAAACCATCTGCAAAAACGACTCCAAACCCGAAAAAATTGAATTAAATTGAATGTATATTGATTCGAACGTATAATTTATAAATTACTCATTATATTAAACCGATATGTAAAATGTTTATTTTCAGCTTGTAGCGAAAAAAACAACACATCATGCATTAGAGAGAAGAACCGAAAAATCAAACACCGGTCATAATCAAAATTGCGTTAATTTCGATTTCTCCCCCGGGCGACAAAGATTCGAAACTCAAGAAATACCAGTAAAAATATTTGTGCGATTCAATAAAATTGAAAAAAATGAAAATAGTGAATCTCAGCCACTGATAGTTCTCGATGCTTCTTTAGTAAGAAACAGGAAGATAAGAGACATTGAAAATACGTACAACATTACATACTGCGCCAATTATAGTTGGAACGATGGACTTGGTTCTGAGATCTAGTTTGATGGAGCAGGAGTGGAAGGGGTAGCCGCCTTTTCCTTAGTGTGATCTTTTGCCGGGATGCAGATTCTTGGCTTAACAGTCGACGAAGTACGTGCAGATGAATCCTTGTGAACCTCGTATCTATAATAATAATAATAATAATAATATATTTTGTTTCTATATATGAATATCTACCTCAAAGTCTCTGAATCTGGAATTGATAATTTCGCCTTCAAAACCATTCCAATGCGCAAATTGACATCATCACGCGACGAATCACGGGTCCAGAGAGATACCTTTTAACAAAAAGTTAAACACGCTTAATATGAGAAATAAATACCTTATCACCCTTTTGGCGGACATTCACGACAGCTCCGCAAATATATTCCCCCAAATCTTCGAATTGCTCACCAACAATAGCCATAAGAAGTTCGAGCCAGTAATGGTCTAGAAGATGAGAGCGTCTCTGAAACGTTTCAAATGAAAAACACTGAGAACAATACGAGACTACTTGTTTATCGACAACGACCAACCAGCGACCTCCTTGAACGTTGTTCACGTCTTCCCACATGGGTTTGATCCCCTTAATCCAAATAATAATAATTATTATATTAAGATAAAAAATAAATTACCTCTTTGAAAAGATAATAATCAGATCCCCAGTTCAACCCACCAGCTGTTTGAATGTGATTATAGAGACCCCAAAAGTCTTCAACGGTGTCAAACAGGGAAACCATCTTTAAAAATATATTTAAAAAATTCCTGAGTATATTTAAATTTGCACCTTCAAGCAATCTTCCCAGTCCTTATTACGATCATTCTTTAAATACCAAAGAGCCCAACGATTTTGAAGTGGGTGCCGAGTGAGGAGTTGGGGTGGAATTCCAACTTCATTTTTAGTTTCATTTTCTTTCTAAAAATAAATCAACACTCGGTACAAATAGGCACTACTAGAAAAACTCACAACGTGATTAGATTCCACAGTAGTAGCCGACATTCGTGCTAAAAAATTCTATGCTTTTGGAATAAATGTAAAAAATGATGAACACGAAGAGATTTTAGGTAGAATCGTGACCTATCACATAAAAAAACTTTGATTACGAAAAAACAAAAACTTCCGAAAAAAAATACAATGCTGAATAATTCAATGAGTTGAATTTGAATTTCACCATGCGCACAGCTAAACAACGGTTACCGTAAACTGGCGCTTAGTAATATCAAAGTAAATAAATTGCATGCGCCTTTAAGTTGAATACGTTTTTTCAACATTCCTCGTTGTAACTAAAAAATTTTGGGAACGATACAGAGATATTACTGAAAATTATCAAAGGAGAGTGCATTACTTATGAAGGGAAACGAAATTTCATGAGTAAAAAGAGAATTCCTGAAATAAATAATTCGAAAATAACATAACGACGAGATTATGTGTCAAGGTTTCGGGGGATAATTCAAAATTTATCTTGTTCATTTAACTTCATTCATCGCCTCGAAGTTCATTTATCAACTTGTCGTGCTCTTTATGAATCTAATATGTATCCCGTCGGTTGGATTTGACAAGTTTCATTTCATTGAAGTACTTTCATTATTCCAAGTGTTTAACGAGATTTCAAGCAAATTAATTCCACAAATATTTTCTAGAAAATGAACTGTCATCAAATATTTATAAATGTAATTTAGAAAATGTTGACAAAGAAATAATTGAAGAATTTTCAAAAATGTATAGCAAAATTGTCCTGGGAATTGTGAAGGGTCGAATAAAAATAATGAGTGTACTTAAGCTAGTAGCAGAAGTTTCAATAATACTATAAATTCACTGAGATTGTGGGCGTGTGCTTGAGAATAAAAATGAACAAGTAGGAGTTGAGTAAATAAATAATTATTTATACACACATATATATATATATATATATATATATATATATATATATATATATGCTCATTCACTTGTAAATATGCCTTTTAGTTTTGTTCGTTCGTCAAAATCACACGATTTGTGCGTTCATCAATAACAACAAGGAGAAGAAGAAAAAGATGAAGATGGCGAAGACACTCACATAAAAACATTTGAAGAATGAGAGAGAGTGGCGAATGAAGAGAGGAACAACTATGCATTGGTCCCGAAAAAGGAAGACACGAGAGGCGGTATATCGATTTTTAGCAATTTTCTTCATCTCATTCCTCCCTCTTTTTCTAGTCTCCGATTTCCTTTTGGGAAAACTGGAGAGCAAGAGGGAGGAGGGTCCCAGGGTGGCCAACACCCCCCCCCTTTAGCGTTTGCTTTTTTCTTCTCTTCTTTTTCTTCTTAGTCAGCTTCAACGTGCTGCGCGACATCAGCATCCGGCTTTTTGCTCGATACGCTGCTCACAATTTTCTTACTTTTCCGCTCATATGCGATTTTTTAATCCAAAATAGCCAGCCAACGATTATTAATAGCCAGTGAGATTATTTTAATTGTCCAATTAATCCATTTCGCATTGCACTAATTATTAAGCACACAAGAGAATAACGCATATATGCGAATTGCTCATACTATCTTGCAAAGGAATTCGTGGTTACCATTCGATTTAAATCAGGGAAATTTATGAAAAAAGACCAAATAAAATAAATGATTCGTTTTGAATATACTTTTGCATAAGTTATTTTTTTTTTTAGTTTTTCTCTGCGACATTATTTTCTTATCTCTAAATAATACTATAAAAGTTGAGAATTTTAAATTAATCGTAATAAAAAAAATTCTGAAACGTCAGTCTATTTCGCCTTTTCCAAATATTCTATAATCTCATTAAATTTCATTTCGATAAGACAAAATATATAGATAACTATCAAAAATATGGTCGTATTGTAAGAAAAAAATAATGAGGAAATTGCGAGACTCGTTTTGTTCTTCTCAATTTTTGATGTTTAATGTTCGCCTACAAGCGGCTAATTTGCAGACGGTCTCTCAAACTGACATGCGAAAATCTTGGTCTCAGCGATGAGAAACGGACGAATGATTTCATTTCTGCCAATTAGTTTCGTCCTATTTCTATTAATAGCCTTACATTGGAATTGTTTCGGCAAATAACGAACACACTTTCTGACACCACTCTTATCTACATGTCTCATTTTTCTAAAATTGTCGGTGTCAATCGACGATGGAAGAGAATTAGGACCGTCAGTCTCGCGAAATCAGTGTAGATTTACTGCCGGAAAAAATTTATCATTGATTGAATATTAAATTCAAGTCTATAATGAAAATTGCCATTTTTCTGAATTGGATGTTTTCGATTGACACCGCCAATTATTCGTTTTAAAATATTTGTTTGATTTCTGTATAAAGTAAATTTCATTTTTCTTCACGTTTAAGTGATTCCCCGTTTTCTCATCAAAATTGTCAATTTTTGAAGAAAACCAATTTCTCAAAGATCTTTTCATCCCATTTTTTGTTCGCTGTCGCAATTTTCAACCCACAACTTCTCAATTAACGTTTTTTTTGTATGGTGCGCTGTCGAGAATTCGGATCGAGACAAAAAATGGCAAAACGTTGCACTTTCGGGCATAAAATTTATGGGGGAAATACGAATTTTAAATGCGCATTCAAAACATTCATTTTTACTGATGGCGGATATGTTTTGACATTGGAAAAATAATATGAATTTGTATCCAAACGAATATATAAATGGTTTTTTTTCGAGAATTCGAATTCATAATGTTTGCTGAGATTTTTAATCTCCATTTCTGATTATTCTTTGTTTTTTTTTAAAGATTTTTGTTTGGTGAAATTGGGAAAATAGCAAGAACCGTCGTTTATGGAAATTGCAGTCAAATTTCAGAGTTTACTCACTAAACACCATAACGGGTCCAGATTGTGTTTTGACCCTATGATAGCAAATGTAACCAATCCTGTTTGTTGAGAATTATCTGTTAAAGTTTTGATGATTTCTAATCAAGTGATTTTTCAAAAAAGATTTTGAATGTAGCTTGATTCAGTCAAATCACCGAAGTCTATTTCCGCCATCTACGCCTCTACATTTTTTTTTCAAATTGAAGGTTGATTTCTTCTCATCTCCTTCTCCTTCGTCAGAAGATGATCGAGGGTTTTGTTTACATTTTCTTCTCATATATATTCAAACCAGATTTATCTAGACCTATATATATTTTCTTACTTCTAACGATGCATTAATAATTTTGCACATACCAATAACGGCCAACTCGTATTGGCTTCACATCTTTTTCTTTGCTCATTTTTTTGCGTTTCATCATTCGATCTAATACCAGTTTCTCAAACTCTCATTTATCACACTTCCGTTCTCGATTCGTTTAATCTACCTGCTTCTGCTTCATCTGGCTGATTCATCTTTCTTCGGCATTTCTCGTTATCAGTTAGTGCATTTCAAGCTCCAGCGAATTTCGCATTTATCATGAACATTTTTTTGTGACAAAGTTCTTATACATTCTCTTCCGCCTTATTTATATCATTTATATAGCTTTATGTATGTGGCGACTGACGTAGACGGGTAGATTTACGGGCGCGTCTTTCGCAATGGTCTCACCACGCATCAAAGCGAATTCAGTTATTTTTTATTTTTCTTGTTGATATGTTCAACTTTTGAACTTCATTGAAGCTTTATATTTCTTTCGGAAATATACCGTTTTCCTTAGCGGATAAAATATGATAAAACTCTGAGTGAATTTCGAATTCATCCCTTTTTCTTGACTGTTCTTATATATTTTTTTCGGTTAATATATTAAGAAAATAATCGTGGCTTAATATTGTTACTAATAGTTTTGCAGTTCGTTTTGCTTCGGAAAACCGTATCAAATATCTCGGGGAGGTGGGCGAAAAAATGGAATTTGTTTTGTTTTTCTGCTACAAATCGGATTAAATCACTTCTCTCGTTCACTACATTCCATATTTGGAATTGGTTTGTCGCCAAATTTGCAAACAAAACGTTATTAAATTATTTGATAAAATACTACCGCCTCCTCGTATCGAACTCAACGCAAAACGTTGACGAAGAGAGAGAACCAGCAACATCCGCCATTCTTTTTCCCTTTTTTTTGAGTGTTGTCTTCTGTTGGCTGTCAGAAAAGTTTTATGTCGATGCAATAAAACATTGGTCGGTCGGTTTTCGCGGCCCAAAAAATCTTTGCTGGCTCTTTCTTTCTTTTTTTTTTGTTCGTCGCTTTCTGTGTCGCCGGTTTTTTATTGCTCAGACATTTTGTTTAATAGACGTAATAAGGAATCACATTTTTGTCTATAAAAATGAAGACGGTTTTGTGTTTTTCGCATTCAAATAACAACAATTTATAAATTTTGATGATTTTCTTCTGAAATCGCTATATTTTCAAAATAATTTTTCGTCAAAACTTTACTAAAACAGAATTATTTCTTTTTTGCAATCAGCAAACATTTTTTGAAGTTTTACGGCAATGGACTTTCACGGCGAAAACACAAAATTTCGTTTTTATTTCTTAACCACCAGTGCGTTTTGTTCGTATTTCTAGAGATTATATATATATATGCTACCTTCCTATATTAAGAACAAATAGTTTCTTAGTAGATACTTCGTGAAAATTCCAAATATTCATATACATAAATACATATGAATTTCCGTCTGAACATATGAAAAACAGCGTTAGTCAATGCCAATTTCCGGAATCTCAAATTGCAGAAATCTCTTGAATCGAATAAATTTTTCAAATTATTCAAATTTCTCTAGTGAAAGTTCCAGCAATCACCTATTCTTGTCACAGAGTAACGCATTAAACTGTCAAATGGGTTGCCCGTTTCGTAACCACGGGGAAATATCGTAGAAAGCGAAACAAATTTGCGTTTGCAAAAGAAATTAGGTGTGCACACGTGCAATATTTCAAAAATATTTTTAATGTAAATCGAATATTTATTTTCTTACGTTAGCCATATTCAGTATATTTCAATAAAAAGTTTTTGCAAACCTATGACTTTTTTTTTGAATAGGTAAGAAGGGCACGAGTTAAGAGGGTATTTCTCTTGTT